TGGGCGGAGACCGCGTGTGACCTACTCGGGGTTGGAACTCGGGGATCTGCAGGTTCGCGCCAGAGGAGGGAAGAACGAGCGGTTTCTGCACGGTCGGAGAGAATCCAGTGGCTCTCAGCCGGCCGAAGGGGCAGAAAACCGCTCGACGAGGGAATAGGAAGGCTCGCGGCAGAATTTCCGGCCCGGCTGGCCCGACTCGCGCGATAACCGAGGGGGAGAGTTTCGATCGTTAGCGCGATTCGAGAGAGGGTGAGCCCAGGAAGGCTCGTCCTTTCGCGAAACTCTGCCCGTAATAGGGACACCGACGATTTATCAGGCGATCGGGGGGTGCGTCGGTCTTCCCCGCATCACCCAAAACACCCAACGTTAGAGGAAATATCGCTCGACGCTGGGAAAAGCTGAAAGTACGCGGTCGTGAGTCTCGTTTCGATTCGTCTTTCGGTAGCGCGCGACCCGCCGCTAGTGTCGCGATCGTCCTTTCTCTTTTCCCTGTCTTTATCGCGAACGTGACCCGGCTGGACGTTCGAGAACGTTGACCTCGACGCGTGGACCTCGACTACGCGGCGAGAAACCGATAAACGGTAACAAACGCGAGGGGGGAAAAAAGCTCACGTGGCCTCCGTGTCGCGAATGTCGATCGTTCGCGTCGCGCGCGGATTCCGTTTCGGATTCGGAAATTTCCGTGTACCGTGGGACGTGCTCGATCGAGTCGTCCGGTTTCCGCTGGAATCCCGAATCTACGTCGTTCGACAAACACGCTGGAACCCCAACGTCCACGGGGAATAGGTTTCCAACCCCTCCGGACGCCACCGCAAACCGCGACCAGTAGCAAACAGCTTGGCCCTTCGTACTAGTTTGACCAGAGTCGGGCAAATTTTCATTAGCAAGCTACCTTCCGTTTACGATCCATTTGTGTATATTAGAATTCGTTAACAAGATCTTTTAAAAACTCCCGTGACACTGCTGGAACCTGCATTTAACCCTTTGCACTCGAAGTGTTTTTTTAGTGAAAAGATCATATTTACATATAAGTAAATGATATGCACATTAATTTTTTTTTATTATTATTTGTCTTCGTCCTTATTTATTCATTCATTAACGGGTATTAAACCCTTTAGTACAAAGATGTAATATGCAAGGAACTACAAATGTGGATTTACATAGTCAAACATTATCGCTTAGCGAATGTAACAAAATAAATTAATTTACAATATGTTGCAAGGATAATCTTAGACTTTCTAACGATTGTTCGATTAAATCTGTTTTAGTGTGTAAAAAATTTGCATTACTAATCATTCTGAGATCCAAACGTAGTGTGGTAACTTATGTTATGAACTGAAAATTATTTGCATTGTCTCCATAGAGGAGCCCCTCGAGTGCAAAGGGTTAAAATACGAGTATCGGTGTCTGATTCTGGGGTGATTTTTTTTTTGTTAATTTGGTGTATTAGTGCTCGAGGGAAAAGTTTCAGAAACCTCCCAGACATTGGGGGGTCGTGTGCTTGTGTAGCGAGTATGGAAGATGACGTCACGGTACTAAAAGGAAAGGGATGATAACGATGATCGACAACCCAGATCGAAATTTTCCAATTATTCGCTTTATTTCGTACCGTGGTTACATCACTGCGACGACGTACGATGGAGGGGAGATTTACTGTAGCTAGTAATGCGGATGAATGATCGACGGCGAGTGTTCCATCCACGTTGCTAGAATACAGAATGCGTGGTGCCGACTTTATCCAGTAGGAAAACTGCCGCGACGCATGGGAACTTCCGTTTGTTGTTGGTCCGTGGATACGCGCGACGCGTGCTCGAACGTGTGTTATCAGATAGCTATAACTTTTATTGCGTATCGGTGGAATTCGACGGACAAACTATCTCGACGGGGGACATTTCGAATATTTAAGTTACCATGCTTATTATCCTGTACTATCGTTAGTCACGTTCCCCAGGCGGTTGAATTCGTCGTAAGATCGTCCGTTAAGGAGAAAAAAAAATTAATCGCACGTGTACGTGCATAATGCGCGCCTCGATATTCCCGGAACGAACGAATGAAGATCACGCGACGCCGAAGGCAAGATCGTTCGCAGAAGAATTAATCGCGCGAAGGTGTCGCGGCCGCCGTGCCTTCCGTTCGTGGAAAACGCGGGAATTAAATCTTCGACGACGATGACGAATCGAAAGGCTGAGAGGACGAGCGGTCTGCTCGATCGAATATTTTTTACGAACAAAGAAAAAGTAAACGTCTCGAAGGTACGCGAGGAATTGCATCGCGAGCGTAAACGTAACGAAGTATAATAAAACAAGTTGTACAAAGACGCAGGTAGCTATGAGAGTTTAAATTTTATTTAAGATTGCGTGGATCGGAACGCGTCGAACGCCGTGACCAAATAAAGTATTCCGCGTTAACTCAGCCATCGGGCAATTAAAAGATACTTTTGTATTCTGTATTCGACGATGGGGCCGAATAAAAGTATTCTGTAGTTGTACACCTACCAAACGCAACCAACGAATGCTCTTAAGCATTCGACTACAAACGGAATACAAATTAGCGAGACATTCGTTGTTCGAATACTTTGTGAAATACACTTTGTCCATCCCTGACAGCGATATACCAATCTCGATTCCTAGCCCTTTAACGATCGTCCTTGTACTTCATCCATGTCCCTACAATCCTGGTTACGTTCCTTTTTACATCTAGCAATACCTACATTTTATCCATTTTGCAAAGTAAAAAGAGTGTTAATGTTAAGGAACAAGTTAATGTGTTTACAAAAAATCAATTGGTTTTACAACAAAAAACTTTCAAGTATTTTGTGTAATTTCTATAAAGTATATCTAAATATGCAAGTATTTATTTCAAAACTGTTTTATACCACCCGCCTATTTTTAATGTGAATATAATGTGCTTGGAAGTATAGGACCATGCTTTGATTTTTATTAAATGTTTTTCGAAGCATAGGAAAAGCATTCGAAGGCTTTTCCAATGTCAGGAAAAAGAACACTTTGTATTTCTTTAAAAAGGAGGAAGACCATTCTGTTCGACAGAATAGAACATAAATACCTGGTATCGTGAATCGGATTCGCCGTGTAATCCGTGGGACGCATTAGAAAGCGTTGGGTCGGGATAAAAGGTGCGTTCTGGCAACGTGGAAGCTGTTGGGAAAATTCCGCTCGAATCCAAGCACCAGTTGGGATTTGGGATTTGGGTTCGGGTTCGGGTTCGGGTTCGGTTCCATGTCCGGGTTGGCTCGTTTTGCTACGGTCTGGCTTGCAGTCGGCTCGATCCAGGGAGGAGGAACCGTGACGGACGAACGAAGGGATCGAAGTACGCGGGAAACGCAATTAGAGCAGAACCGGTCGGTGCTACGAACAGCTTTCGGGGGAGAGACGAACGTTTCTCTACGCCGTGCCGTACCGTTTCCGTTCGCTGCCCTGTTGCACGGTCCTTACGAAAATAAGAAAGTTATCCGATTTAATAACACGAAAATCCGTGGTTCTCCAAGACCAACGGACGTGTGCCCGAACGAAAATACGAACAAGAATCGTAACACGCTTACCGTGTTCGTCGAGCCACGACTAAACTATCCGCGGAATAAGAGTCGCGAGGTCCGTGCACGGAGGCCAATCTCCGACATCTTCTCTTTGCCGTTCTACCGCTTTTCTCGCGAGCAACCTTTTTATCGAGTCTACAATAAAATCAAATACAAATCGTGTAAAAATCGCCTACTAATGAGGTTAGTGCAGGACTAAAGGAGGTTAAAAAAAAAGTTCTCGAACAAGTTTCTTCTGCGCCTGCGCAGGATTCTCGTCCGAAAGAACCTCCGATTCACTCGTCTTCGAATCACTGCGGCGTTCCAGTACGTTCTCGATCCGAACGATCGAAATCACCCTGCGATCCGATTCATTTGCATCCGTTCCGAGAAACTGGCTGTTTTGCACGGGCGAATTGCCGCTTCTTATCTCCCACATGATCGATCGATTGCACGAAATTTCCCAACGACCGAGCAAAAACAACATCACGGGCCGTGCGCGTCTCGTCGTCGTTCGAACGCGCCGGTAGCGCCCTCGGGTGACACGTACGGGAAACTAACCTCGAAAGATTAGAGGACAAGTTTTATCGACGCTCGCTACTCCTTGTTCGCGAATGCACACGATCGTCGGAGAAACGATGCTGGGGCTCGTTCGGTTCCTCGCGTTTTAGTTTGCGGCGCGGGTATTCGCTGGAACGGGGCGTTTATCGCGCGAACGCGTTCAGCTCGCGACGCAGAAGATCGCGAAGGTAAAAAGAGACGAACGTGCTTGCCTGTTCTTCGGGCCAACGAACAACGATGACCTCGGTTTCAGGGTCGTTTCGACTATTATTCGCTTGCGCAGACTTAACTCGCCTTCTCTTCGTTCGCATCGTTCCCCCGTCACCTCTCTCGCGTTGTGTCCTGCCTTGCCTGCACCGTCTCGCCTCCTATGTAGCGAGCCATGCATCCTTTCGCCTTCTTTCGTTTCGTCTCGCCTCCTCTCGCCGTGCAACGCTTCGCCTCGCCGCGCCATGCTCTCGCGAACGATCTCCGTCTTCGTTCCGGTTCTAAGGGTGCAGCTCCTTCGAATAACAAATTCATTCTAACCATCCTATTTTCCTTTACGTCCATTTCACGTTCGGCGTACGAGATTTATTCAAGACGTACGTATCGTATTCGTAGTTCCGGGACAAAAGATTCCTCGAAAAGACTCGGATGGATTCGTCCAGCTTCGTTTCGTTTCTTCTTCCGTTAAAAAATGCTGCCACGATGTTTAGCAGGCACTTCCGGCGCGCATCTTTTCGCTACGGAAAATCGTACGATCGCGCCTTAAGCTTGAGGGCGCTGCTTTCAAAGAATGTTGCATCGGAAGGTTCTCGCGATATCGCAACGATGGCGACATCTGTACGCGACGAGCGCATCGTCGAGAACTAGAGACCAATCGAATCGAACCACATGGACATGGCTTGACTTAGCTGTCGTCAGCTGTCGTACGACGCATCGTCTTCGCCCCGGACGAGTTTAGTCTGGGTCGCCAGGAAAAACGTATGTCAAAATTTACCGAAAGTATGTCGCGTGTCGTTGTTCCGAGGAGCTTTCTCTGCGGATTGTTCGTGAAATCATGTTGGTGCCGCGCGCGAACCTCTATCACGCGTTCAACAAAACGCCCGTTTACGTAAAAGGCAGACGTCGAGAGAATGCATCTGTTACTATGACGGTGAATCGCGTCGTCGTGTTTCTAATCTTCGCGTCGGGGGTTGCGGTTGCAGTGATCGGCACATTTCTGTCTCGATACATCCGCGATTCGTCGACGAATCTGCCTGGTAAGTATTCCTCGAGTGACTAGCTCGTCGATGATACATAACCTCGTTTCGGACAATTATTATCCTCGTTTCCAGAAAATCAGGATTATCGTCATGTATTTATCCCGCTTCCTTCGGAGGGCATGTTGAACGTCTACGACGAGGGGTCTCTGGACGTGGCTTTGCCGAATTTCCAGTCGGACGATCGACTCGAAGTCCAAACCAGAGCGACGACCACCGCGGAAGCTCTAACGTCGCTCTACCTGGCGTTGGAAATGAAACTGTCTGGAAAGCAAAAGAAGGCGGTTAAACTGTTTCAGCATGCCGTGGCGTTGGCACCTCGTCACCCGGATATTTTGAATCATTACGGAGAGTTTCTGGAGTACACTCAGAATGACATCATTAAGGCGAACGAGTATTACGTACGCGCGTTAAATTACCAACCTAATCACGAGGGGGCGTTGATTAATAGCCAAAGAACGGCACGGGTCGTCGAGGAACTAGATCGTAGAATGCTCAGACGCATCGACGAGAAACGAAACGCGCTCTCCGCGATACCTGATAACAACGTGGCGTTGATACGCGCGAAAAAGGAGGCGTATTTCCAACATATTTATCACACGGTTGGTATTGAGGGAAACACGATGAATTTAGCCCAGACCCGAGCCATAGTCGAAACACGCACCGCGGTCGGTGGCAAGAGCATCGACGAGCACAACGAGATCCTAGGGTTGGACGCTGCCATGAAGTACATCAACGCCACGTTGGTGAACAGGGTCGGTTCTATTTCTATAAAAGATATATTGGAGATACACAAACGCGTGTTGGGTCACGTAGATCCCGTCCAAGGCGGTCAGTTTCGACGGACCCAAGTTTACGTCGGCGGACACGTGCCACCTGGCCCCGGAGACATACACTATCTGATGGAGGAGTTCGCGATGTGGTTGAACAGCGAAAGTGCCATTCGAATGCATCCTGTTAGGTAAATCTATAGCTTTCTCTACGTTGCTACGACGTTCGGGGTCAAATTCTCGATCGATCTTAATGGCTAGAATCAAGTACATAATATTTAGCAAGGGCTGAAACATCGTGAAAACGAATTTGAGAATCGTCGATGTCGGCGAGGGAGGGGACAGATAATCGAGAATTTCACCGAATTCGGTTTAATAAGCGTAGTCTCTCTAACGTTTTATTTCATTGTTCGATACGTTTCCCAGGTATGCAGCTCTGGCGCATTACAAGTTGGTACACATACATCCGTTCTCCGATGGAAACGGCAGGACGTCTCGTTTGCTCATGAACATGATCCTAATGCAGGCTGGCTATCCACCCGTTATCGTTCATAAACAGCACCGACACACTTATTACGAGAATTTACAAATAGCAAACACGAGGGATATCCGACCGTTCGTTAGATTCATAGCCGAGTGCACGGAACAAACGCTGGACCTGTTCTTGTGGGCGACCAGCGAGTATTCCAGACAAGTTCCAGCACTTAGTCAAGATACGTTGTTTACCGATAAGGATAAGACGATCGCTTTGGAAGAAACCGGTGACATCATCGATACGTTCGACGATGACTGAGAATCGATGAAACCAACGCGATATTCAAAAGTATTTTATAGACCAAAGAATAGTAGCATAAGTCGTATATCCAATCCATCCATTTAGCCATCGATCGAGCACGCGTCGAGCGATTCGTTTCAAAGATCGCGTAATGGTTGCGTTGGAATGGAGAAACGGAACGGGTTGGGGGGTCGGTAACGAATTCGCATCATTTACACCGTCGTATTTATTATCTCTGCCAGCCGGGGTCGATCTAAGGAAACCGCTCTCACGAAAAGCGCAATCTCGGATATGGACGATTTTGATTTTTTTTTCTTTGTTCAAGAGTACCTTAGCGACAGATTAGCCGGTACAAAAATGCTTCCACTACTTTTCCGTTTGCGTTCTATCGTATACATTAGAGACACTACGAAGTACAGTGTGAAAAAAACTCAATCGAGAAGACTGTGATGTAACATAAGAATATATACGACGTATATGGGTAACGAAACATATTTGACGACAAACGAAATGTTGAACGCGAGTATATAGTGTTGTAAATTTACGGAGCAACGCGCAATCGTCACTTGCTGGTCAAGTTATTTGCAATGTACAGAATGTAAATACATACGCGGCTTTTAATAAATTTAGTATTTTGGAAATTATTGTTCGTGTATTTTCTCACGGTCTTCCTCCATACAAATCTCCAGAATACACCACCTATCGGGCACGTTAAACGGACCTGCCATTTCTTATCCATTTAAAACGATCGTCGTTTATTCGTTTATTTTGTTAAGCGACAAAGTAAAACCTGCGTTACGCGAGAGAGAGAGAGAAGAAAGTGTAAAGTCAGGGAACGACAAACTTTGCCGTTCGCGCGTGTCTCGTTTCACGTTTTGTTTTCCTTTTTCTTTTCCGCAGCTATTTTCTTATCAAAAATAATAACGGTATCGATATTTTTTTCGAACGTCAAGCTACTCGCGACGTGTACCGTTGTTCATCGGTTAAATCACTAGTATAAACGCGTCGTTAATGGCGTTCCATCGAAGCGTAAAACCAACCGCGATCTTGCGATATTTTCGACCAAACGTAAAATAATGAGAAAAAATACTGAATAACTCACGATTTCTACGAAACTTTAATTTTTACGTCTAATAAAACATTATCGACGCTTTGTCGGAGAAGGAAAACGATACAGAGGCGATTCGCACCATTTTTAAAAGCGCGTTCGATCTCAATACGTATCACGGGTGAACAGAAAAACTTTGCGCTCGTTACGCTAAACGTGCAAATTTCTCTTTTTTTTTCTTCTATGCGATATAACGACGCGCCGGTTATCTATATAAATACACTTCTATAAAAATCATATTTTGCCAACAACGTAAGTTGACGATATATCGTTATAGATTCTCTCGTCATTCGCTCGATCACACGCTCGCACGCACACACACACACACACTCCCCTCTTCCGATCCTTGGTTCGTACTCGATTCCACGGATCGGTCGAATATCGGTATTCGTACAGGATCAATGAAGACGCTCGATGCGACTGTTCGCACGAATACACTCGCGACAATCTTCTTTCCTTCACCGTCGTGACGCGCAAGAAAGAAATCGCTTCCGGTTTAGCTCTGCTCGCGAGGTTTCTTGCAACATTCGTGCGCACGTCGCACCTTCGCGACAGTGAAAATAGTACAAACGAAATGAAACGATAAAAAAAAAAAAATAAGCTGCGTCGATGGCAGAATCTTGAGATAAAGGAACGAAATAAAAAAAAAGAAAAAAAGGAAATGTAGACGAAAGTAAAGCACGAAAGTATCTAAAATAGGTGTACAGTCTAATCTAACGACCTCGAATCGGTTGCCTGCACGGGTATACTTTGTTTCATTCCTAGCTGGCGGTCATAGTTTCGAAATCAGTCGTTATTTGGTTCGTTGCGAATACGGGTAAGTCGTGCACGCTCGCAAAATATCACTGAACGAAGGTTTCCTCTACGAACGGATCCCTTCGCGCGATTTATCCTCGATCAGAGGCCTAGAGTACGCCTAAGTAGGTGTCGCTGAAACTCTAAATTTTTTTTCTCTGTTCGTTCGATTCGGTTTATCGGTCGATCAGCACTGAAACGACGAACAAACAAATACTACGAGTGTGAAAACACGTCCGATAACGAAGATTCCTCGAATGTAATTCACGCGTGTGTGTATATATATATATATATGTATATTCAAGGCTCGATAAATGCGCATAGCGATTTGTTATCCTTAAATTTATTCGAAACGTTGGACGAAGGAGCGCGATCCTTCCGTGCACGCGTACATTTACATGTTCGTTTAAGATTTAATCGACGTACAACGAAAAGTGAAGGGGGGGCGACTAAAATTAGGAACCGACGAGGATGTCCGCCTAGGATACTTCGATGAAAGGTAAATCGAGATGCGTGTCCTAAAATCTTAAAAGAGCGTCTGTCGCTCTGCGTATTCGCTTCGTCACCCTTTGCTCTCTCGTTCGCTCAAAACAGTTCTTTTTTTTTCCTGTAGACGCTTAATTAAAAAAAACGCTGGGCGTCTTCGATCGTACATGTGGCGAACGTCGCCGGGGGTCTCATTCACAGAACGAAATCATCTTTGCGTCCACGTTTACGTCTACGTACGATCGATATCGTTGCTTGGACAAAGGAACTCGATAAGTGTTTGCATTTGTCGGCGTTGATTCGAGGATCGTTGCAAAGAAAGAAATAGAGAGAGAGAGAGAGAGAAAGAGAGTGACGCCCTCGCGATAGAGAACGAGACTCGTGGGTCGTGCTTCGATAAGGTATTGTGGCACGAGAATAGAAGAGGGGGAGGAGATGGAGGAGGAGGAGGAGGAGGAGGAGGAGGAGGAAAAAAGAGACGCGATTCGCAAGCAATGGACGGTATTCGCGCGACGCCCATTCTCGCGATCTCTAAAAATTTTGCGTGGCCAGAAACAACGCTTTCATGCGGCTCCGTTCGAATCAACGAGAGCAGAACTGGTCGTTCGCGCGACCGGAAGTCGTAGCGATGGTCGAAAAGGCTATTGGACGTTTCGCGATCGATTCGCTCGGTTTGTTAGCCCTCTCCCCCGCCTTTCGCCTCCCCTCCTTCCTGTTCTCGTGCCGCATCACACTATCCCCGTCGTGACCGTGATGTACCGCGATTCTACCTCTCTTTTTTTAAAAGGATTCAAACTTAATTGTACCGTAAATTACGAGTTCGCGTCATCTTCTGGCTGATTTGTTCCTCTTGCAAGAGCTGTCCACGAAACTGACTGACTTGATCTATCGCGGCGTTCAAGGTATCGCGCTGCTGCACCAATAGCTGCTCCCATTTTTGGGCATACGCTGCAACAGACAATACAATTTCAATCGTCCACAATCGATAATATTCGCGTTAGCGATGGTGAGTCGATAGGCTGATCAGCATTTGCGTGAACGCAAGCGACGCAAACGACGTTCGGTCGATCAGAAATCATTCGCAGCGAGATCGAACACATAGTTTATATTTAATTTGTATTTATCGTTGAGGAAATCTCGTCGCGTTGCGAATGAATTCTGACCAACTCTCTGGTCTTCGAACGGATCTCATCGAACGATCCACACGCTGAATCGATAGGCCGTGTTCGTGTTCGTGTTCGAGTTCGAAGCAGCCAGCGGTTAGCGTTCGAAGCGTTTCGATGTCGCGAAAGGTAAGTAGTATCTCGGCGAAGCGTATCGCACGCGATTAGTGTTACAGGCTAGAATTAGTGCGAAGAAAACAATACCGTTAGATTGGGAATCCACAAAAATAATATTTATTAACAGTAATAACCTGGATGCGTGTACATAGAGAAAATGTAGCGCTGGAGATTTGACCAACCGTCGCGCGAACTGATCGATTCGCATAAGGGAAGACTAATCAAGGTTGCATCTCGCTGTTTGGCGGCAAGAAAAAAGTTGAGCTGTCCGGTGGACTTCACGACGTTTCAAGAAACATTATTTTTGAGGATTTCGGTGGCGTAGATGCGTGAATCGCGCGTTCACGGATGATCGTCCGTGAACGCTGTTAGCGTTATTTCGAATGCGTATTAAGATAAGCGGCGATTCTTTTTGATGATTGCGAATCGAATAGGTTTCGTTACCGTCGGAAAATTGCTTTCTCTCAATCAGACGTCTACGCAACGAGAACTTCCTCAGGCAGAGCGACTCAAACTTTGTTCTTTTCCGTCTCAAATCTGCAAGGGTTTGTGACGTTACGTTCAAACGTTGTTGTTCGGCTTGCATCCATTTGCGGACAAAGCTACAAAGCAACGATTTCTCGGCCAGGCCAAACGAGTCCTCTTTTTAATTTAATCGTTATAAAAAATGACGTATCGCGCAACATCTGCTCTTTGGACTGTCACCGAAACGTCGAAAAATAACTTTGATCGTCTCTAACACACGCGATCGCGACTACAAGCCGATTTCAATGCGTGGGAAACGATCCAGAGCCCTGGAATTCCAATGATTCCTGCATCCACCGTGGGAGCAGCTTAAAACATTTCGAAACGCGTGTAGCGGTGTCAACGAGGTCTAAGAGTACTTACACGTACGATGCTTCTTAAAAATAAAAATATACGACAGATCAGAGGTTCTGTGTCGATTAAAATCTGTTAAAACTTAACACCTACGGTACGTCGTTACAAAACAGTAGTAAAACTAGCGATCGCGTCTCGCAACGTTGAAGCGCTATCGAGAATCTTGAGGACCACAAACACACGTTTCTCGGCTTTCGTTTAATGGTCCTCCATTCTGTTCATGTAGACGAACAAGGCCACGTACACGGTGGGTAAACACGAGAAGAGGAATAGATTTTTGAACAGCGTCAATAAAAATCGGCAATATCTCGACGAGAATAACTCTTTGTCGAACCGTTCGCCGACGATCTTTCGATCGTTTAAAATACTGTGTGAATCGTCGCGGGGAGAGGCGAGTCGCGGTGTTTCGTCGCCGCGATGTTTCGAATTCTCTACTTGGATGTTGAGCTCGTCGTCGGAGCATTTACGAGCGTTACGCGTCGTGATCTCGTCGCTGTCGTAACGTGATTTCTCGCAGCCGAACAGCTTCGTCTTCTTCGCGGGCTTCTGGTTGTCGAAATCCTCGAAGTTGTAATTGTAATTCGTGTCGTCGATACCGTCGACGGTGTCGTGCATCGAACGAGACGCTCTGGTGTTTTCTCTCTCGTTGAAAGACGAGTACTTTTTCAAACGAGTGTTAAACGTGCCGGACCAATGATACTTGGACGTTCTCTGTCTCGCGATGGGCGTGCGTCCGAGTTTTTTCACGGGACCGGTCGTCCAGGCGAACTTGTCGCTGGCCGAGTACTTTTTCGAAATAGGATCCATGCTCGAAACCGTCTCGATCGAGATCGGCTGGCGTTGATTCGCCTTTTCACCGTCGTTTGACTCGCAATCGGTATCGTTCGAGCTATCGTCGCGTTTACATTCCATCTCACCCTTCCAAGGGGACTTAAACGAGTCCTTTGTGGTCGTATTAACGTTCCCATTTAGATCGGAGCACTCGTCACTGTCCGATATGGTATCCGTATCGTAGTTCATTGGCGCGGCCTTATTTAATGTCGTCGTGGTCGTAGTCGTGGTCGTCGTAGTCGTCCTGCCGTCTTTCTGATCCCGTTTTAACGTGCAGCTTGAGTATGCCTTACGTTTACCGCGCGAATCTGTTGCAAAATTTCATACACAATGACGCTTCAGAGTCACAATTCTCGCTTCTCTGTTTTTTATTTTATTTTTTTTTTAAACGTCTTACTACGTCCCACCCCCACCCGCTCGCTCTGTCTCCCCCGCACCCGACGCATCGTCGAATTTCCAAAGAACGGGGCAACCGGATACAAAAGCTATCGTCGAACGGTTTACTCGGAATCGGCAAACACAAACGCGCACGTTCAAAGGCATGCGCCCATCGAGCAAAACGGTTACAAAAGCCCGGTATAACGTTTCTTTCGCGCGTGAGGAAAAAAAAAAAACACGAAAATACGTTTGCATTCCATCGACGAGCAAATAAAAAAGGGAGCTGGTGCGTGCACATGCGGACAAACTACAAAAAGGACTCGTGATCGAGACCGGAGGAACAAAATCGGGACGAACGATCCACGAAATTGTAACGTGAACGGTGTAAAAAAAAACACACAGGAAGCGGGCACGTACGTGTACGTAAATATCGAGCAACCCAAACGGATCTTACCTTCTTGGTCATAGTCTACTTCGTGCGTCGCGCTGAACACGGTGTGCGCATCGTTGAGAAATCTGGTCGTACCTTCCATTACCATTTTGTGCGTGTCCAATACCTCGTCTTCCAGCATCTGCAGCGCGGACACTGCCTCGTGGAAAGTGTAAAGATCTTGCGATATCTCGCCTTCCTGCGGGGAAACCAGGTAAATAAGAGCGATATTTCGACGCAGGAATGATTTGCATAGTATTGGAAACCACGGTGAAGATACAGGATCCAGCGTAAAGGCGGGCAAACTCACGTTGAGCGAACGAAGTTGCGCTAAATCGCTGTCCGACAGAACGCTGTTGTTCGATTGCTCCTCTATCTTCGGGTCTCGATCGTCGTCCGTTGGCGAAACCTTCATTTCCGTCGGGTCTGTCGCCGCCAATTCCTTCACTCTGTCCGCGTATCTAAGAGTGTTCAACGAGTGCTCGCAAGAACTCATTCCTGGACTGATCATCGCTATCTGCGAACACCAAGCGACCGTTTCAGAAGACAGGTATCGACTAACGGAAATTATTTACAAATAAGATACATAATACGTTAAAGTTTTCACCATGCAGGTTTTGGATTTTTCGCCGATGAAGCTGTCCCTCAGAACTTGCGTCAGCTTGCTGGCTCTGAACGGCAGATGCGTGCCCTTGCGACTCAACGCGCGAATGCACTCTTTCAAGGCCAGCAGCGATTTATTGATCTCCGCGCCTTCCATTCCTACGAACAACAGACTCGTTTCTCGTTTCGTCACGCCGCGGAAGTAGCCTCGCGAGCAACGAACAAGGGTAGAACTTACTGGTTTGCCTGTTGGCGGACGACGTGTCCGCTCCTCTCTCGTTGCCGGCAAGATCGATCAGAGAGAATTTACCGTGGACCTTGTGCGTGCCCGGTGACCGTGCTATGATCTGAAATACCGCATGCGACCGCGATGAGTTCGAATTCGCGCTGGTCTGCCCGCTGGTTCTGGCACTGTTCCCGTGCTGAATAAGCTTCAACACCTCGTCGCAAGTCTCGACGACCTTCTCCGTGAGCCCGACTATTTGCACCTGGAACAATCGCGAGATTAATCAAAACGAATGGCCAACAGTTTGACTATTTATCGCTTTCAAATCCATACCTGCTGCTTGCCGTCCTCCAGAACCCTAAGCTTCTCCTTGTCCGCCAACAGATCGAACACCTTGCCTGAGTAGATTTCGAAGAAGCTGGCGGATATGACCAGATTCAGCGATCGATACTTGGGCATCTTGAGACACTTGAACACGTCCTTGGCTACCATAGCGTATATGCCCTTTTTACAGTCTTGCGTCTTCCCGTTGAAGTCGCCGCCCATAGTGTGCGTCTTCCCGCTTCCTGTCTGCCCGTACGCGAAACACGTGGCCATCCCGCCCTCGAATATGGTCTGCACCAATGGTTTCGCGGTGTACTTGTAAACGATCTCGTTGGTGCACGTCTCGTCGAACGCGTAATCGAACCGAAAGATTTGGTTCTCCAAGTATTTGGTTAGATCGACTTTGGCCTTCGGCTCGTGCACCACCATCTGATCCTTGCTGGGCACGGTGATCACGTCCACCTCCTTGCGCGCGTTCTCCTTCTTGTTCAGCGGACGCTTCCTCACGCAAACCGTGATCTGATGGTCCTCCACGGTGTCCGTGTCCCGTAGCGGCCTGAAGTCTATGCTGTGCTGGTACTCTCTGCAAACGAAAACCATTGGTCGTAATACTAAATGTCTCACGTTGTTACAAAAATCAACTCCAGTGACGATTGTACATGTCTGGAGTTTTGGCCAATGGGTTCTACGAACTCATGGTGTTTATTATAGAAAGATAAGAGTTCGTCACAGTCTTGTAACAGATCTCTCAGAGAACAGAACCGAACTCTTAGATATCATTTAATAAAAAGTACATTCTACCAGTAATTGCCCTACCTTTTCCAATGCCAAACAACTCACCTTATCATGGCAAGAAACTCCCAGTTCGGATTCCCTGGATCCAAATTCATGAGCGCCTCCTTCTCCTCTTTGAGTTCCGCTTGTCGCTGCCTCCTCTCCTCCCTGTTCTTCTTCAGCCTCTCGACCTCCTTCACGACGTTCGAACGTCTGCCTCGACAGTTCTCCACCTGTGTCTGCTGCTGCTGAGTCTGCGTTTGTTGCTGTTGCTGTTGTTGCTTCTGTTTGGCCTGAGCGACCACGGGTGCGTGGATGGCGGGCGTCGCAAGCACCGGCGGTATGTTCTCCAGCTCGCGACGGGTCGTCAGCCCGATCACCGAATCACTGTGCCCGTTGACGGTCGTGGTGGGCGGCATCACGCTCGTCGGACGGCCCGTCACTTGTCGCGACAAATTCCTGTTGGAAGTCGCTGCAAACGATACATTAGTCGCGAGATCTTCAGAGAACACGAGCGTTCGAACGTAATCGCGAACGTGGCGACGCGGGGACGGGATCTATCAGCAACTCGAACACGCTTTCTTGCGAAATTGAACGGGGAAAAATGTTTGATTCTATTTTGAAAGAAAACGGTGGCCGATATCGAAACGAATCGCGTGGTTACCGTGCTCGTCTTGGTCCGTCAAAACTGGTGGGTCGTCGACAGCATCGTCGGCGTCGTTTATTTTATTTTTCCTGCCGAAACACCGACTCAACGGATCGAACCTCATGACGAAGGAGAACGCGGTTTCGCGTTGGCTTCCGATCGATTCCGTGCAAGGTGAAGGCGGAAGGCGAAGGTTAATGATAATCGAAGGAAACCCGGGAACGACGAGAAAACGGTCAACGATTGCAGCAGCCTTCCGTGGTATCCGCGCACTGACCGTCGGTCGAGGTCCTTGCCCTTGTGCTTTTGCATACAGCGCAGGAACGTCGATAGTTACGAGAGCCCCGCGCGAACCACGTTCTTCTATGCCCACCGACGTCCTAGTACTCGTGTACGCCGAAAAGACCACCGCTTTGCTAACGGCACATGCTCGTAACGGAAAATCGATTTCCCCGTCGCGTCGTCCACGTACGCGTCTCGCGAGTCGATTACGACCGCGAACGAACGCTCTTCGACGGTTTTCGAGCGGCAAAATGAGCCGGGATCGATCGCAGGGAAAATTTGAAATTCGCGACGCGTCGAGAAGCGTTCGACGATGAACCTCGTGCGTGGAAAGCGTGGATACGACATACCTTTTACCGGGATCGAGGGCTTGGTAGAATGCTGCAAAAAGAAAGACAGAGAAATACATATAATTATCGTAACGTTGTCGAGAGAGAAGAACGAACAGAAATGCGACGTAAAAATCATTCGTGTGGTGAAGCTTAGGCGTACTGTAATCGCGTGCTACGGACAAAGTAAAGTAAAATGTTCGGGTTCGTTGGAAGCCAAGTGTATGATACATCGTCGATCGAGAGTAATCGCGGTCCCGGAGGTTGGTTCGCGAATGGGAAGCGTCGTTCCGCGTTTCGTATTTGTCGCACGATCGAAAGCGTTAGGCGCCGCGCCGTACGGAGCGATGTGCGAAAAGCCGTGACAATGATAGCAATCGTGCAATGGTGAGAGAACGATCGAGGATAAACGGACGATGACGGGGGGGTTTGGGTTAGGTCGCGAGAGGGTTCGAACGCGCGAGAAAGCGACGCGGAATCGGGTACGATCGATGACTGGAACGTGACCAGCTAGCCAGGGAAACAACGGATACGGAGGAAATCAAGGACTTGCGCTTCCCGTCCGCTCGACAGTTTTTTCTTTCGAGTGTTCGTATCGAGAATAATAGCACTCTCGCGCCAGCAAGTTGAGAAGCATCCCTCGAACCGAGGGTTTACAACCAAGTATAAGATATTTCAAACATTTATCGAGGAATTTTTAAACAATCAAACTCTGTCCATATTGATTTCACAACGACTACCACAACGATCGACTTGAACTTTTGAAGACGTACAAAGGAAATGTCACGCTATTGTCTCCGGGCAGATTTATGTCGGTATAATAAGCGACAGCCACATTGTGCGTAACGAGACTTCACGGAGAAATGGAATCGGCGACGGTCTTGGATAGTACCAATGTATACAGTCGGTTGCTACGTTATATTAACCCTTTGCACTCCGAATTATTATATTTCAATCTTGTTACCAGCAGCTCCCAAAGCTTTCAAGTGTTTTATTTACACTGTTGTTGTATTTTGTAACTTTCAAGTGTCAATCAACGATATCTCTTTGGTTTGGACTTGAAAAAATGTCGAGTGGGAGTTTGACGAAGGAGCATTCTAAGATAAAAATTCACGTAAGAGTGCAAAGGGTTAATGTTTGTGGATACGTTGAACGAACCGGAAGCCTCGAGAGGATCCTCGGAGAAGGAGTAACCGGGAAAGGAGAGCGGAGAGAAGTGAAGAGACCGCGGAGCGTGGGACTCGCGTTTACCGAAAGATCAGACATGACTCGTACAGGAAGCGTTGCGGATGCAAGGCCGTTTCTTGCGGCGTGACCGCCGTGTCGTCCAAGGGAGCCCTCCTCTTGGTTTTCCGACTCGTCCACCCCCTCGTCCTCCTCGCACGAAGAGTCCTGTGTTTCGTTTATCGTTTAGCGCGCTTATTCGTATTCGTGTTCGTGTCCGTGATCGTGTTCGTGTTTGTTTCGAAGCGTAAGAGAATTCGACGGAGGCAAGAATGCGTTACGAGGGGATCGACGAGCCGAGAATCGTCGAGAATAGACGCCGGGTAGATATTGCGAAGAAGCGCGACGGTGAGACGACGATGCGAGGTCGTATTGGGATTCGATCGGTTTTGGACGGGATCCCGAGGTCGTTGATGATCCATCGTCGACCCAAGTCCGTGATAATGAGCAGCGTCCATGGAGGAAAAAAGATGTTATCGTGTTAGTAGCGGGAACGACCAGGCGACGTTGATGACCGTGGCTCTCTCGGTGCGCGAAACAAAGTCGTTGGGGTCAAATTGGAGTTTCGTTCTCGAACGAAAGAATTCCGGGACATTTCTCGAACAACCTTCCGTCCAATTTGACACCGCTAAAATTAGAAGGAGCGAACGAGGCACTTTCGTTCTCGCGTTCGTGCGTGGGCACCGAAAGAGCGGACGGATGAGACAGGTAACGGTGACCGTAACGACCATCGGGGTCGTTCGCGCGAATTTAACGAGGAGACCGCGCGAATGGATGGAACCGCCGCCCGTGAACTTTCGTAAAAAAAATCTGCGCGTAACGGTTCGCGCGGCCACCTCGTAAGCGTTAAGTTCTCGAGAGAGATGCGCTCTGATCATGGCGAACGATGACGGAGCCTACCTACGACCGATGGAAACGCTACGAGGAAGACAAATCGCAGTCGACGAGCTAGAAAATCGACTGTTCCGTTTCCCCGACTCGAGGTATACCTCGAACGGAACAGACGCGCGACTCGTACGCGTAAACGAGGGCCAAAGTTCGCGCGGTTTTTGCACCCAGCACGATCTCGACGGTTCTTTCTTCGACCATTCTCGTCCGTGTTCGTTCAGCTGACGTCGAACCAGCGATACGTACCCTTGCTCTGGGGGTGGCCAACGCGTGGTTGTTGATCTGAGCCGGCGCCGGTGGTCCCATTGTTTTCTGACTGGCCAGCTCAGGGTTCAAGGCAAGGATCGCGTCGATTTCCACCTAAAAATCACCCCACAGAACTTTAGGTGTTTCCACGTAGTGTCTTCTTCCCTCCCTATCGGCTAACCGTATCAGCATCGACACCTGCGAGAAGTTTTAGCGACTCTGTTACCTCTTTTCCCTTCGTTTCCCCTCTCTCGAACCATTCTACGGTGACTGTGCGCTGTTCCCAATTAACCCCGGATATCACTGCCGAGTGAATGCGCCCTGAAACAATTAAAAACGTTATTACGTCGCGCAATCACGCTGGGATATTACAGAAAATAAACCTGGATGATATTCGTGGATTTTTATAACATCGCGAAAGAGCGAGGAACAACTCTGTAAGACAGTCGTTGATACGATTGTTTCGACGGTAATTGCAAAGTGTGCAGAGTTGTTGCACAGCTTGTACGACGAGGTCATAGACGTAATGATTTATTCTACGATGAGTTGTAAATACTTTGCTGTGGCGGAATCGTGCTACCTTTCAACGCGGTATCAGCGCAGCCCACCCACACACTTTACAATTATCGTTTAAACGGAATAAAACCGCCAGCGACACTACGATATAGTGTTTCGAGTACTGTCTCGCTTCTTGCATTAATCTGCGTTACGAATACTTGCGACGAAATCGACGCTCGAGTAGGCGTCAATTACGTAATTAAAAATCCATTTGTTCGAACCTCCCACTCGCGTGAAATCCAACAGTCTCGATTCGATCGGGAGAGAGGCGATACTGTAATGCAGATTTGATGAATGGCAAGGTTGAAGTGTACGTGCAACTCGGATCTATAGTTCGGAGGAGAATTAGCTCAGTCTTTAGTTTCTCTAATATACAGGGTGTTCGGCCAACCCTGGGGAAAACTTTAATGGGAGATTCTAGAGGCCAAAATAACACGAAAATGAAGAATACTAATTTGTTGATGGACGCCTCGTTAAAAAGTTATTAACGTTTAAAGTTCCGCTCGTATTGAATTTTTTTTCTAGAAAGTGGGTAGGAATTCGAGGGTATGTCCAATGACCAAAAATGATTGAAATTGACCCCCGCAACTGAAACTAATTTTTTTAGAAGGATTTGAAAATTTTTTTTTTCGCCGAAAAATTTAGGCACCTACCTAAATTAAAAAATTTCAAATCATACTAAAAAAATTATATTTAGTTACAGGGGTCAATTACAAGCATTTTTCGTGAATAGACATATCCCCGAATTCCTACGCACTTTCGAGAAAAAAATTCGAGAAGGTGAGAAATTTTTCGACAAAATAAAAAAATTTCAAATCGTTCTAAAAAAATTATTTTCAGTTGCGGGGGTCAATTGCAATCATTTTTGGTGAATAGACATACCCCCGAAATCTTACGCATTTTCGAGAAAAAAAATTCCTAAACGAAAATGTAATTTATGGCCAGAAATGTTGCCCGAAAATTTCATGCGAATCTTTAAAATGTCATAACTTCTGAACGGATTGGACGATTTTAATGTTTCAAAAAGCAAATAACGCGTATTTTGATGGAGAATAAATAGCAATTCCAAAAAATTCCGAAAAGTAGTTCCTTGATCCCGTAAAGTGAGAAAAACCCCATAAAAATGGTCCAATTTTCAAACAGCCATAACTCCTACGATAGTGAATATATTTCAATGAAACTTTTTTCTGAAGTAGAACTTATGGATACCTACAAAAAAGTATTACATAACTTTTCTGTAGAGCATCAAACAAAATTACTAAAAATGAAAAACAGTGACGATCAGCTCTTTAATTAGTAAATCAGTTTATCTACTCCGACATTCTACTGGAACTAGACTTTTCTCCGTATTTGTTTTCTCTCTCTTGCTCTTGCAAATAAGTAAATATGAAATAATAGTCGGTACGGGCAAAGATAAGTCGAAAGAAACGACTCTGAGATCGCAAGTCGAGAGAGCTCTTGGACGACAGGAGCGAAAGAGGTATGAAAAGTGACTCGATCGGGGCGCTCGCTGGCTCATTTTCAAATTCCGGCGAGAAAGGGAAAGAGGACAACGACGTTTTCTATTCTTGCCGCGGGATCTCGGCGAGCAGAAACGAGAAAGCGAAACCGATCGCGACGAGAGACGAACGAGCGACGGTGTCGCCGATCCGACATCGAAGCCTAGGAATCTTCAAACTGTACAAACGGCTTTGTGTCCCCGACTTCCGATCGATAGAACCGAGTTCCACGATGCTCATTGTGCCGATCGGAAGCGAGGAACGCGCCTAGCGTCGTTCGAATCGCGTGCAACAGGGACCCATAGACGCGATGATTTATCGTAACCGATGAGTCAACGCGGCAGTAATTTGTGCCAACCCGCTGTACTTTGTTTTTCCCACAGACGCAACGACCTGTGCTGTCCGACGGAATATTTTCGATTTTACGCTTTCGATTCCGAGCGGAAATTGCACACAGATTGCTACCAAACGGTCGTCGAAAGGCAAACCGATCGAAAGACGTTACCGAACGAGTTATGCGATTTTAATTTCAACGTCACACAGTCATATTCACGCTATCAACAGCCGTGGAGAGTTGTTGCGTGTGCTTTGATCGTTCGCGGTATTGTGCGAGTCGTAATTTCTAATTGACGATGCCTTTCAACGCACCAGAATGCACCTCTATATCGTAATAATCTTGTCTCGGGAAGGGGAATCGCGATGTCTCGACGAATTTATTTTACGAACGCGATCGTATCCACGTACGATCGATTTGTTTCCCCGTGGGTGGTGTAAGTGGATGGAAAATTCCCACTTTCCCTTCCTTCTATTGTTCCGGGGACTCCTGGACATCGGATTGCACAGGACCAAAAGAACTGCTCCACTGATCGAGCACATCGTCCATGTTGGCTTTCAAGCTGTCCAGGAGTACCAGGTTACTTTGGTCGTATGCTAATAAAACCGGAGATCGTTTGGCGCTATAAGGTCTTTGTATAGTTCGGGCCACGATATAGCGAGGTCGTAAACTCGAGTAGGTGTCAAACTTTACACGTTTCAGCTCCCGAAACAAACGAATTGACAGAACTATGAGCAGCTAAGGGCCTCAGACCATAGTCTGTTAGGTTTTCTACTAAAAACCAAGTACAAAATTAATCGGATTTACTGAGATTCGGTTTCCTGTTCATACAAAGATGCGATAGGACCTCGCATAAACACAGGGGAGATATTGGTCTCCAAACGCTGCAGTTCGTCGGCTCTCAGGTTTTTTCCTGCACGATTGCAGTTTAGTTCTGTTGTAAAACTCATATAGAAAGGATATCTCTTCTAACCGTAATAGAAATAAAGTGTTTATAGAAAGGAAATCTGAGTACTTTGTTTAATAAGACAGTCAGGGCCGTACGAAGAAATGTTTTATCCAGTGTCGACATTTTTATAGGTATCGTAACAGGTAAAGGGGTCTTACTCGAGTCGTTGATATCTTAATTTACCTGCTTACAATATATGCATGTAGACAATGAAAAAAGGCAACCTCGAGCAAGATGTTATGTACGACCCTAAGTGCCGCAACAGTAGTCGATCTCAACCCTTAAGAGTTTAGTTTACGACCTCGCTATATCGTGGCCCGGACTATATGCCTGAAAGTTCGGGTTTCTCGAGACGCAAATACACTAGTTTTGATCCGATACCTAACTCGTAGGTTTAAGAATCGATAAGTGGCGCGATTTGGCGAAGAATGGCCAAGTTTGCCGATGGATGGGAAACGAGTAGCGAGGAAGAACGCGTACCCGGATGACGTAAGACCAGATAAGATATAAGGTAATGTTCGGCGAGGTAAGAATCTCTTGACGGCCGCCCTTATAAGGATGCAGCGCCCACGTGCTTGGCTCTCCGTCTACTACGCGCTCGATTTCGGACAAGGACTCGCCGAGTTGTCCGTAATCTAGATAGTTTTTCGTCTCGTCGCGGTAACGTTCGTTCGCGAACCTCCGTTTAAGGTTCATCAGAAATGTGAGAAGCACGAGCGAACCAACGCAGAAACTAAACCAAACGCGACATCGTTTGGAAGATATTTATCCAACAAATAGAAGATAAATTGTAAATTCAAAGTCAGCCATGCGTGGGCGACAGAACTTTGCACCGAGTAGACAATTGAAGAAGACGAATCCAAACGAGAAGTTAGAAAAATAAATAGCAAAATGTAGACGAGTCGAAGATACAATTTTTCAAGTATAATCCATCACTGATTACGATCGCGATTACGATTTCGAGGGGGGTAAATTGGTCCAACGAGGCGGCGCTCGACGTGGGCCGGCGTCGGACTCCCGGAGCGGAATGCGTGTCAGCCACTTGTTGCGTCGAGGCTGCATCACGCTCCGGCCGCGTAACGCTCGGACCGAGGATCGCCATGATTTTTCGTCTCGTCGATGATCGAACTATTCATCTATCCTGTCTATTCTCGGCGCGTGCACGAGCGTACGCCGTGCCCGTGAAACGAGCATGGCAATCGCGTTAATCGACCGACGCGCCGGGAGCACGCTTGAAACGCTGCTAACGAGGATACGGCAATCGGCTCGAAAATCGACGATATCGAGGACGATCGGATTATTTTCGGTAATCTAGAAGATTACGCGTGGTTTTGAACTACAGAAGAGCTTCACATTGCTTGTAACATCGAGCAACGACTGTTTCGTCGAATATAATTTTATCGAAAAGTAGTCGCGATCGTTTCGGATGCGACTGTATAACAAAACGCAGTATTGTCAACGACGCGTGCGCAGACAGTTTACAGTTTTACAGGGATTTAAACAACGCGCCCTGGAAGTCGAGAGAGCTATAAATTTCGAAGCTGCGAGTAGAAAAATGGAACGGGGATACGGCAATCGACTCGAAAATCGACGATATCGAGGACGATCGGATTATTTTCGGTAATCTAGAAGATTACGTGTGGTTTTGAACTACAGAAGAGCTTCACATTGCTTGTAACATCGAGCAACGACTGTTTCGTCGAATATAATTTTATCGAAAAATAGTCGCGATCGTTTCGGATGCGACTGTATAACAAAACGCAGTATTGTCAGCGACGCGTGCGCAGACAGTTCACAGTTTTACAGGGATTTAAAGAACGCGCCCTGGAAGTCGAGAGAGCTATAAATTTCGAAGCTGCGAGTCGAAAAATGGAACCGGGACTTATTTCGACTGCTCGTTCGCGTGGAATTAATTCCGAAAAATGTTCCACTTTTGTTGGCGCCCGGCGCATACGGAGCGTCAGGCTATAAATATTGCAGCCGCGTAAAATTGGGTCAGCGATCCGCTTTCTTCCCGCAACCGAGGCCGCTTTTCCGAGAAATCGCTAACTCCCGATTCTCTGATCGTTCGACGTTTCGTCGATCGATCGCGAGTACGCTGATTAGCGGCGGAGGGCAGATCACGCGTGCACCGCTGTGTGGTTCCGACTCTTGCACGGTTCTCCTTTCTTGGCGAGAGAAGGTCTGACTCATTCGACGGCCGCGAACCAGAATTGGGCAAAATTGTAATCCTGTCAACGATCAACCATTACGATTACCTTGCGATCGTGGTTCGTACGAACCTCGTAGTTCTCAAAGATTTTTAGTAACAAACATACTTACAATTATGATACGATACGACACCGCAGTCGGTCGTCATAGTGATAGAGTACGCATACATACTGTCCTCGATTCTCAACACTGACAATTGCCTCTGACAACGCGACAAACAAAACATTATCCTATATGATGCAAGCAGAAATTGTGTACAACTATGTAGTAATCGATGAATAAAAAATACGTTTCTAAAGAAACGGTATCAAAGAAATTGCATACAAACTTTGTTGAATTCCTTAAACATACGTACATTCTCTCCTCGATTTTCAACAGTGACAATTGCCTCTGACAAAGCGACAAACAAAACATTATCCTATATGGTGCAAGCATAAATTATATACAACTATATAGTAATCGATGAATAAAAAATACGTTTCAAAAGAAACGGTATCAAAGAAATTGCATACAAACTTTGTTGAATTCCTTAAACATACGTACATTCTGTCCTAGATTCTCAACAGTGACAATTGCCTCTGACAAAGCGAGAAACAAAACATTATCCTATATGGTACAGGCATAAATTGTGTACAACCATGTAGTAATCAATGAATAAAAAATACTATATATAAAATAATATACTATATAAAAAATAATGGAATACGTTTCAAAAGAAACTGCAGCATGGAAATTGCATACAAACTTTGTTAGATCCCTTAAAAATGTTGCAATCTGTTCGTGCGTGTGGAGAAATGATGAGGTTGTCGCAGTTTAAATGCACACGGGTGTCGTTTTAAACTAGAAGATGAACTAGAAATTATTCAATTGTCCGATGTTGCGACAGAGCAAATATTAGGAAGATATTTACACGTACATTACCATTACTTCTTTTTCTATGATATATTCAATATTCTTGATCTTGCTGCCTATTTAATCCACGAACAGCCAATCTTATCTCTGAAACTTTTGGAAAATTCAACGGATTTTAATCGTCCTTCGAATCAATCGTGCAATATTCTAACTACGTTTACGGAAGTGGCCAACAGCAAGGCGATTTGATCTTCGTTGAAAGTAAAACTATACGAGCAAGATTACGGAGGAACAACGTGGAAAGTGCACTGGAAAAAATAAGTGGATCTGTGATATAAGAATGTAAATTTTTACCAGAGCGTTCGACTGGAATCGACCACCTTGATCGCGAGGTAATCTACGACTGGCCGACTCAGCGTCGATTATCTTTCTGAAATCGACGTTTCGACGTCCGGGGATGCACGCGACGAACGATCGAAACGCGAGCACGCAACGCGACTAACGAAAGTTTATCCCGATTACCATTTGATTCCCGGCTGGTCGAGACGCGCGAAATGTCGCTTAATTTTAGACCCCCGTGTCGCGTCCGTCGTTTCCTCTCGAAACTTTAAACTCCGTCGTCCGAGGGTTTCGGCGGGGCCGAAAAAAGTAATCGTGCACGCGAGCATAGTCGGGCATCGATCGCGTCGCGATTGCAGCTGACTCGACGACCGAACCGGCGGCGGCGGCGTCGCCGTCTTTCAAACGGTCGAACTGCTTTTTACCGTTTCGATGTATTCGGTATGGTTGGCGTGTAAACGGTCGATCGCAGTTTTACGAACAGGATCGTTCGACGTACGCGAAAAGATACCGCCGTAACATCTGGAGCGCGTAAGAGGAACGCGATCAATGACTCGAAGGAAGGCAGCTTTCGTTCTGGTCTCGTTGCACACGCGGCTAACGTGTCGGAAACGAAGCCCGCGCGCACGCGGTGAAAGGATATATCCTATCCGTCTGTCCGTCTGTCCGTCCCGTCTTCCCAGCTCGATCGGTAGTACGAGCTACGTCCGTTATTACGCGCGAAGGAAGAGCGGACGATGAAGGAATCGCGATGCTCTACGCGGGACCGTTGCGCCACGGTCCAGGGCCCGTTTCAAATTTTCGCACGCAACGGTTCTCGGTTAAAAAACGAACGGCTGGAAAGGAAAACAAATATGGCGCGCAAGGGCGACCGTTTCTCCCCGACACACAGGTGTAAGTAAGCAGATACACGTAAGAGCGTACGATTATCGCGTGGCGATGGGTTCGATCGGTCGGAGATGCACGGTTCGTACGCGGATCGGGTCGATCGACGGTGGGAAAACACACAGGGAGGTATAGGTGGTCGCGAGCACCGGGGCTCGCACGAGCTCGAGCTCGCGATAGGAAAGCGAAACCGGTCCGAGGCGAAGCGTTGCCTGCGACGTTTGTCGACCCACGCGCGAATAACGCGACTGTCGTTTAAAGGCGATTCGCGTGTGCCACCGCGGCGGAAGCGAAAACCAGCTTACCAGCCAGTCTAGTCGGCTGACCGAACGAGTCGATAGAACTCGGTCGCGGTAAATGGGGAATAAAAGCAACTCGCTGCGGCCCTGATCGCGGCTGCCTCGTTCGCGCGATCACCGGCGATCGCTATTCTCACCAGTAGACAACACATCAACCTCACCGATCGTACAACCAAATATCTAAAAATATCTTCAAGCCAGAAACCCTACTCACCGTCCGTCCTCTTGATATTGATGCTGTAGCCGGTCTCGATGTTGCACGTGCCGTGATACATGGTCATTTAGTTGCCTTCTCATACACGTAGCCACCACAGCAATATACCCGGCTCCTCACCGGATCGGCCGATGACAACGATGATAATATTGTGGTCCGACGAGAGACGACGAACGGCACGATTCTCGGGAGAAGCCTTATCGCGAGCCTTTCGAATCCGACCGTTGACAGTTACGACTCCGTTCGTATTCAAAGTCACGCGGCGGAGCGTTGCGTTCGTATTTCTCCGCCGTGGTAGCTTTCCGTCGGTCGCGGTCACAGTCGTTGTCGCCGTTCGTCCAAGGCACGCCCGTTTTGCGAATTCTGCCGGGATACTGCCAGTGTCCGTTATTGACAACGGAAAGACTGCGAGCGCCAACTTTCGGTCAACCGCACGATCGACGCGACACCTCTCCTCGTACTGGCCTCTCGCACCAAAATCTTGCATCGCCCTTCCATCTAGCGGCCGCTACTCTCGCGCACTCTCCCTGCGCAGCTTGCCATCAATGAACAAAAGTAGAGAAACTGTACATATTTAAAAATTCATAGATTATTACTAGATTGCGGATCTTCATGCAAATTCATATTTTTATTAATAAAATTAATGAAATCGGAGCTTCGTAGAGAGTTGTCTCAACCCCTAAATATAATAATTCGTACCTTACTTTAAGTATTTCTTATATTCTTGCACATTAACTAAATTCTGTAGTTTTTTGAGGATTAAAATTTCCCATAAATGCATAAACATCCGCAGTCTAATTATTACATATTAAAATGCTAATAAAGGAACACCGATTCTAATACCATCCACAATTTCCACTGATTTATCCAATTTCTTACTAAACACGATGCTTGAATTTTATTTCAATTTTCCATGAGATTCGATCTTTTTTCGTAATTTTAATCCACTTTGCACTGCAAAATATTGGTTAGAGTTACAAAAAAATGTCACGAGTCAAAATTAAACGGCCGATAGTAATTTTACAATTAAAGAAAATCAAGATTCAACGAATTTACGAGAAATGCAAAAAAAAATGATAAAAGCGAGAATTTTATTTATCGAAAACAGAAATGAACGTTTGATTGGTTTCGTATCGGAGAAGCGTAGGTGTGCTCTCCATTCGTCACCGATCTTCCGCGTCGTTGCGTGTTTTTAACTACTTCGAAAGCACGGCTCGTCGCACCAACAATTTCAATTCTTCCAAATTGAAATTTGCGGTCCTCCTCGATAGTTGAACGATGCGTTTCAGCCTGAAATTAAGGAATATTCGCGCCCAGGTTGTCACACAGTATTTTTTACCGCTCTGTAACCTTTGAGAGCGTGTCGAAGTAAACAAAAATTTAATCGAGCCTATTATGGCGCAAAAGTAAACGACGAAGCGAGAATCTTACGTGTCCGAGCGTCGATTGATGCTCGCCGGTAGTGTATCTTCTTTCATTTTCTCGAATACCTGCAATGCGTCGAAACGAGTCATAGTTTGGACCAGAAGTAGTCGACGATAGTGGTCGTAGTTCGCGATCAAAATTATTGATTACTTCCAGGCTACGTTTCACGATATTTGCGTCCAAATCCGCGACTCTTGCCACGAAGTGGGCGAAGCTGCGCGTTGTGCTGCCGTTGGTAACACGGAACAGGAAGGCCAAGGTTTCATCCTCGTTCACCAAGTACTCGAAAGTCTGCGGAAAGCGAAACGAACGCGTAACCGGGGAAAACTTGATCCTTGATCATCGATTCTGGTCACCTGAAGCTCGATCAACGGAGTTCGAGAGAGCAGAGTGAGCACGCTGTGTGCGTGGGTGGCCGCGAACACGTGAGGACACTCGTTTCCCCTTTCCGCGAACGCGTTCAAAACGGCAGCGACCAGCGACAATCCGCTAACTTGAGACGTTCCTCTGTCCAACTCGTCGGTTATCACGACGCTGTCGGACGTAGACGCGCGAATGGCCACGTTGATCTAAAATATTAGCGTACTCTTTATCGAGCCAAAGATCCTACCTTCTAAGACGAACTTGATCAATACTTGTCGAAGGTTTTGCAAGAACGAGCTCGCGTACAATCCGATGCTCTCCGTGCTCGACATTTGAGTCAAGATTCGAGCTACCGTTCCCACGGTGGCCGATTTTGCGGGAACGTACGACCCTATGTGAGCCATAAATACCACGAGTCCGATTTGTTTCAAGTACACGCTCTTGCCGCAAGAATTCGGCCCCGTCACAACTTTTATCAGACTTCCTCCGTTCCCGGAACGAATGTCGTTCGGCACAAACGTCGTCAAGCACTCCAGCAACGGATGTCTGCCTTCCCTGATGTCTATGATCTTCGACTCCGTCACGACCGGTCTCGCGTAATTGTAATCGCGCGCCACTTTGGAAAAGGCCATCAGGCTGCAACGACGGAACGATTTTATAAAACCTGCAGACTACCAACAACGGAGGATCAAACTTTGTCAGATCAGAGACCCGGTATTAGCTGGTATAGCTTTAATAGCCCTCCATCACGCAGGGAAAAGTCTATTTAACGGTTACGAACCCAACAAGTAGATCGTTATATTCGTTTCACCAGCTATACGTACGTGTCCAGCTCAGCGCAGAGATGGATCGCGTGTAGAATCGGTCCGGTGTTCTTTCTCACGTATCGTATGAGCTTCTGGACGATACGATTTTGTCGAACCGCTATTTTCAAGATGATGTCGCCCACGGTCTCGTCCAGCTCTGGAATCGAGCAATCGATAGAGATCTATAGAGCAGTCTATCGTGATCTTACGTACGAACCTTTGGCCGAGGAGCTCTTGTAGTAATGCACGTCGCCGATGCTGAACTTGAATTCCAGATTTTGAAACGCGGCGTGCTCCGGAGGAGTCGGATTCCATTTGCTTATCGCCAAGACGTAGCCGATATTCGGTAAATACAACATGTTGCAGCCGGTAACGGAAGTTGGGAGATTGTCCCGCATGTCCTTTTCCGCCATTCGCGTGAGCAGCTCCGGCAAAGTGCGCCGTGCGTGGTTCACTGCGAATCGTTATCGTAAACAATTATTAAAAAGAATTCTCCTGGATAACTTGATTGTTACGCACATTCGTCCAGCAGAGGATCGACGTTAGGCTTGACTGTGAGCGTTCCCTCTCGTCTGCTTTCCCCGAAATCCACTATGTACTCGATGAAGTATTTCACGTACTGCGTTTCGTTCGTGACGCTCTCGGCGATACGTTTAAAAAGTTCGAGCCTCCCAGCGTAATCCTCGCATATATCGCCGATGCAAATTACGTGCGAGACGGTCTAAAAATCAACAACATTCGATTAATAAATTTGCCCGATATCGCGTCCTTTACACAATAATAAATTTACCTTGTGCAATTTGTACCAATTCGATGCTTTCGCTTGTGGCCCCGAGCAACAGGCGAGCACGGCGTTCGTCAAACGGTACACGTGTTTCAAACAGGACGACAAGTTCTCGACGACGCTTTGGTTGTTGGGATCCAGGAAGAACGCGATCGCGTTTAATCGTTGCTGGAGAACCGAGACGTTTCGCGTTGGATGTCGCAGTGTTTTCCTATACATATAGAAACGGTCAAAGGGGAAATATATTTTCTCGCGGATACAAAGATCTACCATAGAAACTGTGATCCAGGTCTTGACTGGCAGTAGCGATTGAATAACGAGAACAGACTCGCTCCTTTCGTGGTCGTGGTAGTTTTACCAAATTTAAAGAGGCTAGGGTGGTCTTTGGCTTGCACGATGTTCAACGCCCTGTAGGTGTCTTCGTCCACCATGACCAGGTCGTCGCTTGACATGGAAACATTTATTTAAATGTCATGAAATTTCTCTTGGAATATAACAACAAAACATAGTATCCCTCTCCCTTAACTTCTATTTTCATTCATTCGCCATCTTTCTTTTAAATAGTACCCTGAGTTTAAGAAGAAGATAATTGTCTTACAGCGTAACGTAATTGAGCGATGCAAAGGACGGTTTTCCGGACGGATCGAGCGCTATATTGTTCCAGTGTTTGTCGATAAAGAGCAAGAGAGACCCTAACGCGTGTATCATGGCGCAGCATTTGAAATTCAGCATACTGTTCAGAAAAGTGAGCCTGTCGGAGTTGTTCGCGTTCCTGGGTTCGAACTCCAACCGGAGACACCTTACTCTGTGAGAACACCGTTCGTAATTGTGCTCCTTTTTGCACACTATCTTTAACACGGTGTTACGCGTGCGCTCGATCGAACCGAAGGAATCCCCGTCTTCGTTCGACGTTTCTGTGATCATTTTCTTTAATGCATTTGCAAAGGGAAATGGCGTGCCAGCAATGATTACTAAATAATGTGGCTGGCACTGTCTGTAGAGAGCTTTCGTTAGGTCGAATAGCTCGGTGTCGTCCGTAGTGTCCTCCATTACGAATAATTCGGACGTGACGATGTTGTAGTAGGCAGCGCCGAGATGATTATTATACCAAATCACCGACAAGATGATCTATGGGACCGAAGAAACCGGAGTTTTAATTCTTTGCATTTTAAAACTTAAATTGTAAGCATATGTGAAATAGAAATATAATCCAAGTCTATAAAATATTCGGTTGGAGTCTGACTAGACACGTTTCGTTGAATCTGTTACACTCAAGGTCAAATAAATTTCTTTATCGAATCAATCGTATAATTATGCACAGAACGACGCAATTGTCTTCGACCTCGTATAACATGAGATACCAACCTCGTCAGTGTCTTCAGAAACGACCGCATTTGGAAACTTGGTATTGGTCGTGGCTTCTCGACACGATGATCGACGTTGGGTTGTGGGTGCTTCGCAATTTGATGTCTCTTCATCGTCACTACTCTCCGAGAGCAGATATTCGAATTCGGACCGTCTTTGTCAAAATATGGGCTTACAATTAATTGAAATTAAGATTCAAAGTGATTGAAATCAATTAAAAACCCATTAACAAATCGACAATAATTTTCAACTCTATCGCGACTACGTGGAGAATATTAAAAGTAAATTTGTAAAATATTCATACATCAGAGCACTCGAAGGTGTGGTTCGGCTAGATCTGAATCCAATGCTCGACGAAGATGCTGCTTCCTTTCGATAATTTCCGATGCTGTTCATATTCTTTGCTTTATTAAAATGATTTCCCACGAATAAGTAAAAAAGCCGTTAGAACACCTACGCATGTGCAGCAATCTAATGGTATTTCTATTCGTATTAAGAGCCTTTGTCGTTAGATGGCGTCACTAAAATCTGTATACCGACAGGGCAGATCTTATTCACGTATTCTATTTTTCTTCATATTTATAAATATAATTTTAATATAATCCTGTAAAGATATTAATTTTTCAAACATGGTATCCTACGGTATGGAACATGGCCTATTGTATATTCGAATAGCTTTGGTAATATAGTGAATCAATAAAACGTAGAATAACAAATGAGGTACAGCAGGAACGAGCACAACAATAAACGTGTCTCGTATTATTCAATTGTCGAATTCAATATTATAATTTACAGTGCATGGTACAAGAACCAAAGGAACTATTTTTACTTATGTTTTTGGTCCGCGATAGCGATTGTAATCCGAGATACGGAATGCTTGGAAGTTCGCCCAGCTGTGTTTACATCCACAGTTGTCGAGCCGCTTGACCTAACCTTGGAGATGGAACTGCTGAAATAATTTACTGCGTACATGGATATTTACTAACCACTCGAATGCTACGATCGCAGCCAATTTGCTAATATTACTTAGTATTTTAATTAATAATTGCATTACCCAGCTAAGAGCGATACGATTATTAATTAAACGTTAAATAATATTACCCAGGTCTCACCACGTGGAGGTTGCTGCGAATGGAGACCCGAAGGGACATAGATGGAATCGAAGTTCCATCGATCTCCCTTTTACATTCTTACAAGCTAGATTACTAAACCAGAGAGATAGAAGGAAGCGATGTTCCTTCGATCTTCTAGTTTAGTTGCGCCAAGTAATTATTTCGTTTAAAATGGGATGAAGCTATATTGTAGGATACGCGACGCGACGCGATACGACGCGATGTCGATCAGAGGTGATCGACGCAAGGAACGAGACACGCGACGCGAACCGAGTACCTGGTCAAAAGGTTCAGCTCCGTTGCCTCTTAGCAAGTCCAATCGAAGGGGAAGTGAATCGACGCACCCGACACAGAGGTTCCCCATTTCTCCCACGCATTCTGTTGGGAGCCCGTAGGACCCAACTCGAGACGACTGACTGAGAGAGGCAACGTGAGCCGGGGCTACCGCAGACAGGAACAGTCCCTGATCCCCTCTGCGGCCGAAATACGCTTTCTCTTGGATCGTCTCGCCAGAGGACGGCAACTGACCCTTCGGACCAGCTAAACGGCCGATCACTTGCTTTCTACATCAAAGCAGTGGTGACCGGAACGAGAAACGGGAGAACGGGTGAACGAGAAGCTAGTTGGTAAAGAATTACTTGGCACACACGCGTGTCGTCGATGCCTATATCTAATTTTACCAAGCAATTATTTTGTTTGAAAAGGGGCGAAGCTAAATAATGGGATACGCGACGCGACGCGATGCTGAACCGTGCAGCAAATCTTCGGATCGAAGCAAGAAACGAGAGAACGAGTGAACGGGAAGCTAAGTTAATAATTGCTTGGTATCGCGGCCTTAAAAATAAATTTAACCTGGATATAAAAGTCCCTCGATGTCCCACGATAATAGAGGCCTGTAAGTAATCTGAAACAAACTAAAAATGCCGGCATTTACGATTAGTTAAACAATTAAATATAATGAATTGGTAAACACGAAGCCTTGAAATAAAATAAATGGGCCCATAGAAACCAGTGACGTAAAATAGACATGGACAAGAGCACAACATATACAAGAAGCAACAATTAAGACGAAAATAAAATATGGGAACAAACAAGGAGCCAGAAGTAAAATATGTAAGAAATCCGGACAAATGAAAAGGAGGAGAAACGATAGATTCCAGATAGAGCCCAGAAGACATTTGAATGTCGAAAAAGAAATGAGAAATTGGAGATTGAGGTATCACTCATCACTGTGTCGATAGTGGTCAATGAAACAGATTTGTACATGCAATATAGAATGTGCATCGAACAAACCAAACAAGGAACAAGTATTGAAATATGAAAGGAAACCAAAGAAGTAAATGCCAGATGAAACCCCATATTCAAGCCCAACAGACCCTCGAAGGTCGAAAAAGAAATTAGAAAGAGGAGAGGCGGAACTCGCTCACTACTGGTCACTAATGGTCAGTATTGGTCAAGAAAGTTGACCAGTACTCGGCCAGTGGTCAGTAGTGGTGAGTAAAGGTCGAGCGCAGACCCACGGACGTTCCGTCACGTCCGCCAGCCCAGAGAAAGAGTGAGAGAGTGCTCGTCACCGGCAGCTAGCCTCAGGCAGAAGATTTAAAGGGGTGGGGATGACCGTCCTTGGCGAGTTCACCAATCAATTAACGGTTAACCGTGCCTTTGACCGAGAAATGAATATTCTACGCAAAATGGTATTAAAAATAATTATTTATACAACCCACTCTATCGAGCATTATTTTAACTATTGCCTGATGTTAATTAATAATTATTGCAAACAATAGGTATGAAAATATGGACAAATTCGAGGAGACTGAAAGTTTCTTTGAATTGTTGTCGAGAACCAAGGTCGTACATCGCGTATTCATTTCTCCGACCTTCTGTCCTCTGTACGATACTTTCTTTTGTATATGTATTCATCTTTCGTTTCTTATCAGTAAACTATACAGGATTCTAACGAAGATACGTAAACTGCGTCGCTAAAATCGCAAAACGATATGTCGCAACGCCCAACAAAACACACATTAATGCACACGAATAGAAGTTGTGTATTTTGGATCGTAAATTTGGAAAATTTACTATTACAGATATCCGCCAGATATAACAACTACGATTTAAAAGTGTGAACACGCGACTCCGTAAGACGCACGCGTACATGAATCCATGGCAGACGAACCACCCCAAAGAGTAAACATGCACGATGGCGCTAACTTCGTATATTGATTTTGGTCCAGTGGGATGCAAAACGCTCGTATTCACTGATCGTATTTCCTACTTTTCGCTGTCAAAAAATACATTCATCGTTCTATGAATTTCTTTTACACACGGCGATGTTAACTTGGAAAACCGTGGCACATAGTGTCAGATGAAAGTTCACCTTATTTTTACGTGGGAGTGGTCGTTGCCATCTAGTTTCGTACAAATTTGTAAATAGTCGTGCTCAAAATGAGAGTATTCGTGCTTGGTATACTCTTCAATTGTTTCATCATCATTTACAGTAAGTACACGTTTATCCGTTACCGCGATAACATATGAATCGCTCAAGTAAACGTTCGATTTACGTTGTACATACTCTGTACCATCGTGTCGTTGTCCACCCATCGTCGCCGTGGAACAAGTTAGTCGTTTTCTTACATAAAAATTAACGATATTGACAGAACGCGTGTATTTTCCTTTCAGGTGTCGCAGGTTCAAAGACTTACGAGGCGAACCCCGACGCAAAAAGGCTTTACGATGACTTGCTGTCCAACTATAACAGGCTCATACGCCCAGTCATTAACAACACCGAAACCTTAACAGTTTGGCTCGGCTTAAAACTGTCGCAATTGATCGAAATGGTAAAAGAATAAAGAATTTCACGTTTCTCTCCGATAAGAATGCGATAGACGTTAATTGTTGTTCTTTTGTTTCTTCGTCGCAAAAACTACAGAATCTGAAGAACCAAGTGATGACTACAAACGTCTGGGTAGAACAGGTAGAAAAATTTTAAACAAAAGAAATCGTGTAAACTCGACCGTACACCGCTGTATCGTTTTAATTTATAGAAATGGTTCGATTACAAATTACGCTGGGATCCAGAGGAATACGGTGGAGTGGAAATGCTTTACGTGCCTTCCGAAAATATTTGGTTGCCGGACATCGTCATGTACAATAAGTAAATGTTCCAACGTATAATTCACGCGTTAAAATCGCATAGGCAATTGTTCGTTTAAACGACGCGCTTACATTTATTTTCACAGTGCCGATGGCAATTACGAAGTAACGCTAATGACAAAAGCCACGTTAAAGTACACCGGTGAGGTGTCGTGGAAACCACCCGCTATCTACAAATCCTCATGCGAGATTAACGTGGAATACTTTCCATTTGACGAGCAATCGTGCATAATGAAATTCGGCTCGTGGACGTACAACGGCGCTCAGGTTTTAACTCCATTATTAATCGGTGATCCGACAAACTGAAACATAAGGGAATGTTTTATAAGATCGGGGACTTCCATCGAGATGGAAATATTTCGTTAATTAACGTTACACCGGGTATTTTTCGGTCGTACTCGTTACAGACCCTCTGTCCTATAGAGTCCGGAGTATTTAATTTTCCTGAAATAACCATATTATATAAAGTGCCCGGGTTTCGTTCTTTGTAAAGACTTTTACTTACAGGTGGATCTGAAACACATGAAACAAGAGCCTGGCAGCAACGTTGTTGTAATTGGCATTGACTTGAGCGACTTTTACTTGTCGGTAGAATGGGATATTCTTGAGGTGCCAGCCTCCAGAAACGAAGAATATTACCCGTGTTGTACCGAACCCTATTCCGGTGAGCAACTTGAAACGTTACACAGCTATTAGTAACAATACAAAATGTAAACATACATTTTTATACGCTGCCCAGACATCACGTTCAACATCACTATGCGAAGGAAAACGTTATTCTACACGGTGAACCTCATAATTCCATGCGTGGGCATCACGTTCCTCACGGTGCTTGTTTTTTATTTGCCAAGCGACTCGGGTGAAAAAGTAAGCTAGCGCTGGAAGATGGTTGAGTCAAGCGTATTTATCTAAAAGATCTCACTTTCCATAGGTCTCACTGTGTTCTTCTATTCTCCTCTCGTTGACGGTGTTTTTCTTATTGTTGGCGGAAATTATACCCCCGACATCGTTGGCCATACCACTGTTAGGGAAATACTTGCTGTTTACCATGATATTGGTCACTTTGTCGATATGGATCACCGTATGCGTTCTGAATGTTCACTTCCGGTAATTCGTTTCTCTCAGACTTGTTGAAACACACTGACGCAAGACAATTGTTTACCTCTTCACGCTCTGTACAAAATGTTCATTTCGCAGATCCCCGTCCACGCATAACATGTCACCGTGGGTCAGACAAGTATTTTTAAACTGGATGCCGCGGATCTTGAAGATGCGTCGCGCGCCGTATTCGACGCCGGAATACGATGACACTTACATGGACAGCGGATACACCAACGAAATAGATTTCAGGTAATTACTTAGACGTCCGTCGAATACCCTAAACTTCAGAAACGTACATTGTAGCTTTCATGACAGCGTCAGCGATTACCAGCCTGAATTGAAAGGAAATCCGGACGGATTCGAGAGCGTCACCTCTCAATATAACAATATAAGAGAGGACGATGCTCGTCATTATCCCCACGCATCAGGTACACCTTTGTTATTTTTATATACAAAATTTTATTTGTTACATTCATTACGATACATTGCATCGTTGGTTGTATAATAATTTCGAATATTCATCCGATTTCCATCTTCGTGACAAAAACGTGTGTCATGTATCGTGTGACAATAGAGATAAATAAAACGTGTATTAGAATTAACGGTAATTCTGTGATTCGCGGGTACATATGATGCAATAGAATACGTATGACGAAACAATGTCATGTAACGATCGATAAAAACATACGCTAACGAGTAAGTATGATTACAGTCACAGATAGTGAAAACACGATGCCGAGGCACTTGTCCCCGGACGTCATATCAGCTCTGAAGGGTGTGCGTTTTATTGCTCAACATATAAAAAATGCAGACAAAGATAACGAAGTGAGTTGTATGCTTCGATTTTGCGTTTTGTGTTCAATTTGTTTTACTTTTGATACCTGTTTACTTCTCTTTCCCTGCCATAAATTTCTCACGCTTCCAGGTCATAGAAGATTGGAAATTTATAGCCATGCTCTTAGACCGACTTTTCCTTTGGGTTTTTACGTTCGCGTGCATCGGAGGTACGCTTGGTATAATATTCCAAGCTCCGAGTTTGTACGACACGAGGGAACCTGTGGACCAACAACTCTCAGGAATATCGCTTCGTAATTACATGTATCCGAATATAAGTGAGAATTTGCCAGAAGAATAAACGCTGAGGCTTACGAGACGCCGTGATTCACATGCACGAACAACGACAGAAATGTAACAATATATTGTTAATATTGTTTGCGACATTCCCAGTTTTATTTCTTAAAATAACGTTGACTTTTGTAAGAAACAAACTTCACTGTAAGTATAGTCTAAGCAGTTTTATTACCCCTGATCAACTAAAAGAAAATAACGAATAAAGCACTACGTTTGGAAAAAACATTTGAAATCGATAATATTAATGAAAAAATTATCCGCTAAGAGGATCACGCTATAAAATGAAAAATTACTTTATTCGTTTTAATAAAACTACACAATGATTTTCTTACGATATCGAGGAAATGTATTAAAATATTCATTTCACCTAACTCGACCTTACCGACCTCGACATTTTTTCTTCGGCAAACTATAATGCTAAATGGGCTGTTATATGTGTTGGTGATACAGAGGAATGCTTAATTACAATAGAAGAAGTCGAGCGTATCTCCCTTCTTCGTTTGGTATCCATTTTTTAAGTACCAAAAGTAAAAACGTCATGAATTCACTTACATTAATCCTTATAGTAACGCTACATCAGTAATTTACAAAACCAGTAAACTTTTGGTTTTAATTCTGTAGAACGCTTAAATGTTATAAAAAATTCGGCAATATTAGAAAAAAAATTTTTATTCTAAATCGATTATCATCAACTCAGGCGATTCGCTTGTACTACTGATAGAGCTGGCTTGCGACTTTTTCGGCGACGATGTACCAAGAGCTAATTTTTTTGTACTTTGCGTGGGTGCGGTATTTTCGTAATCATCGTCGCTATCCGATATCAAATCAATAACAACGGCTCGTTTCTTTTCCTTCGGGGGTGCAGGATTGCTTTCATCTAAACGATCAATAAAACCTCGATTACGATATGGGAAAAACGTTTCGATGAAATCTTTATGAAAAGGGCGTTCAAACAATTTCTCACCGAGGTCTACAGTATCCACGTCTATTTTACGATCCTGCGAATTCGTTATTACTTTTGTTTCAGTTTTGTCCTTGTCTTTTTCCTTCTTTAAAACCAGATTCTCCCACGATCCATCTTGCAACAACTGAATCTCATTCACGTCCGGCAGTAATTTCTTGGAGTTCAACACTTCTTGAAAATATCCGTCGATAACGAGAGTATCGTACAACGCGGATTTATCGCAGACCGGACAATTCCATGTAGGTTTCCTTTCGTTCATTTGAAGAAACAGCGACGCGTCGAAACATTGCAAATGCGAACACGTTGACGCACGGCATGGCGTGCACATACGCATTTTTCCCAATGGACACGCTAACGACACCCTAAGCGACGTGGTTGCTATTTCGCTATCAGCGTCCTCGGTAAGTTTTTCCTTGACTAAAGGTAACCATTGCGATGATACTTGCCTTCAACGTCTCAAAATATTTTTAAAGATTAGTGTCGATTACTTACTCAAGCCTCTTGTGTAATCCGAATGTCGAACGCCTCTAGCTTTCAATCTCGACAATAATTCTGTACTCGAAAGTTTTCTAACTAAATATATGGCAATTGCGTAGCGTCTTCCGTAGTCGGCCGACCACGTCACGTGAATCTGATTCGCTACAGTAGGAGATAACTTAACTAAAGGACTAATGTTGACAGGCCTCGGAGGCCTCTTTGGTTCAACCCCTGGTTTGTTTGTAGGTATTGGATTCTGCAAATTAAATAAAACATCACGACATATGGAAATCCATTTCATTTCGATTTCAATACGAAGAGTGGTATAATTTCTTTAATTCACTTACAGGCAAAGGACACAATTTCCCATTGACTTTTACAGCAATGCTAGGCGGAAAACAGTCTTCTTGTTCGCACGAAGTTTCTTGTAAACAAAAACGCATTTGTACCTGTAATGCCCATGTAATGAAGTTCAAAACCGTTATGAATCGAGGACAATTGTATTGTAAGTAGGAATTAAGTTAAACCGAGTTGCAAAAAGGTTAATTTGGGGCGAACGACTAATCCCAATGCAGCCATCGGATGATTAACCATATATACCTGTACAGTATAATCCATTTTACTTCCTGCACGACAATCACGTGAACTGGCTATGTCTGTTGACTGTTGCGGCGTTAAATGAAACATGAACGTATTTTCTTGCAATCTTAAGGAACCTTGGGGCATTAAACTAGACGGCTTCAATAATTCAGCCAAAAGATCAAAAAATGGAAGTTTTTTAAGTCTAACATCTGGATGAACAGGATACTGACTCCGAGGCTGTATTTGTAATGGAGATGGTAAAACTTTTGGCGGATATGGAAACGGATTGTAAGCTGCGCTTGTTGTTAGCTGAAATGTTAACATATTATGGAAATTTAAAAAAAGAAATTGGTAATAAATAATAGTTGGTGAATATTATAATCGTTTAAACTTACTTGTGGCGACACGCTGGTATATCCTGAGGGGTGGAATACTGGACTGGCTCTGGGTGCTTGAGGTAAAGATGCTTGATGTGCTGGTGGCAGATCTTTTCCACTAGAAACCGAGGACTGTGATTGTTGCTGTTGGCTGATAGCTTGTCTTTATATCCCATAACAGATAAGAAACAATATTATTAAATGCTATTATATTTTATGCAATACGTTACTTTGATCTGTACAATTACCTTGTATAGTAATTTCTGGAATGCATGTTTTGTTCAATTTGTGGCTCTCCAGAACCACCTGTTTGGCCATACATTTGATGTGCAGCCAATTGATCAGCTCTAAACAAAATTTTAAAAGGAATTAGTCGTAACTGATGCTTTATGTTTGAAATCTGCCGTTTATAATACTCAAAGTATAATAATATGCCTTAGTACTCATAAAAACAGAAATGTAGCTTTTGGTTCTGTATTAGAAGAAACAAAAGAATAAAATAATATATACTTGTGTTAACATCAATCAATAGTATACTCACTGTATGGTTTTATATAGTTCACGTATTTTGAGCTGTACAGGATGAGATCTCAAACGTAACAATTCTAATGCACGTGTTTGTAACTCGGTTTTTCTACCTGATTTATTTCTACCAGCAAAACCAAGAAGCATCTGAAGTTCAGACACTCGAAAACTCAATACCATATTCTGCAATCACAAAATGACAACGTTTGTGTATCTTGAGCATTTTATATATGATTATCGTAAATGCGATACTTGAAGGTTAAATTAATACATTCGTTTACCAAAGGTTAATAAAAAAATAAATTCTGAAATTTGTCAATTTTACTCAACCAATTGACAAAACATTTTTTCTTTATGCAATGCCGATTTTTACAAACATAATTGCAGAATTACGAGATAAAATTGAAAATACCAGGCATAAAAATCATACTTCAAGTTTTCTATTCTAATAAAAGTAACAAAATATATTTATCAATATCTAGATTGCATCAAAGGCAATCATACAACAGGAAAATATATTTTATTTTTATGATTATAATCAATATTATGCAACAACAACACGCTTGCAAAAAAACATGTCTTTATGATTACACATTGTTCAATGACATGGAAATAACAACAAAAAATATTTAAAAATGTTTTGATCGAAATGAGGATGAAGTTAAGGTTACCTATAATTATGAAGATATATTTGACTTTTATCAACGTTAGTCGGCACAGAGAACATAATCGCAAATACAATATAGCCAAAGAAAAAATGTCGTTAATAAAACTTCAAATTTCACTGAGAAAAAAAACAGATACTGATCATAGTAATGGTAGTAAAACTTTACGCGACAATGTATCAAGCGTCTACTAATACAATTCACTGACGCGTATCATACATCGCTAATAACCCGGATATAACCACGACAAATTCACAACGCAGACCCGTTGACTTTTTCTCTAAAATTTCACACGCAATCTAAACTGCACCGCACTACTTTTAATACTTCACTCACCTCTAATTCTTTGGTCTCCGCCATCTTCTTAGACGATTTTTTTTGCGAAGCCGTTTTGCCTATATTATTTCCAACTTTCGACAGAAAAATTTCTCCTACCCGTTTCTTATTCGAATTGTATTGTATCGTGACTCGTTTCTATATTTTTCTTGTTTTTAAAGTCGGCTATTAAATAATACTGTTCAGTGGCGCGAAATTGATTTGCACGTTCTATTATCGGGATCGTACTGAAAAATCTGATCTTTTCCTACAAAACTCGATTCCTCTGACAAAATGTTCAGTTCAACCCAATACGAAAAAGTAATTATCGATATTTGACACTTCGTTCGTTCGAAATGCAAAAGGGATTTTCCAAGATGGCCGCCTACGCTTGATTTGCAGCCGAACTTAAACTCGTGTTATTCGATAAATCTACAGAATCGATGTCAATTTTGTTGATAGATGTTGTTTTTTTAAAGATGGAACGCCGAACAAGATACTCACATTTCACCTTAAGGTCGTAATCACGTTAAGTCCTCTTTACCACTTTGAACTTTTAATGAATTTACAGGATTAAAGAAAATCTTTAAATGCCCTTACTGGTTATGTTTCAGTTTCATCTATTAGACCGCGACCATCTAACCATTATACATTTTTTTTTGTAACTAGTTACATACGAGTAGAAAAGACTATGCGAACGTCGTATAATGTTTTAAATGTTCACTGTTCAAGATACAAAGTAATATTTAAATATTTGCGACAAATTGTTCTGTATTGTTTATATATTTATTACAACAACGGAACACTGTCGTGCATTGAAAATATGAACAACGAACAATGTAATATATATACCTACAGTATTTTCTAGAGTCATTCATCTGAATAGAATTTCATCTTATCTATATCTCATGTCATATTTCCACTAGGTGTTCCACATTCTGATTCGATCCTGTATAGTGTAAATATCCATTGTAGATTGTATCTGCTCGCGTTAGATTATTCCCCTAGTTTACCTTGAACATTATTGGCCGTTATTGTCTGGGGATACGATGAAAATGAACCATTATGTGCGCATATATAATGTCATCTAGTGAGAAAGTATACTTCTATCGTAAAATAACTATGCGTATATCTAACTTAAAATTTCGTTTCACCAAAATTTAGGGTGCAATAATAAATATGTATATACGAAGATATCTATGACAATTCAAAAACATGGCTACCATGTGAAAAATAAATTAGTCGCATTACAGTTTATAAACAAGTTTCTGTTTAGTTTTATACGATAATTTTGTTTCGTGTTACCAGCGAAACTCGTCAGCCGTAAAAAAAACATACCCTCGATGATACTTACGAAGAGTTGGCGCGGATTTCGCAAGTGAAATATTTATTGTTTTTAACAATAACTGCTACATTTTTAATGTCTATTTAACGACCTAACGGATTTACTGGAAAACAACAAATACGTCTGTGCCGAAATATGCTACGTGGTTGCGCGGCAACGTACTTCCCGAATGAATACTAAATAATGGTAACCTTACTTTGTAATCTGGAAAAAGCTATAATAACTGATAAAGAAAGAAAGTAATTAAACAAGCATGCGTTAACTTCCTTCGTTCTACAGTAACAATTATTATCATTTATGTGATTTCAAACAGCAATACATAAGTTTAAATTGGCATACTGTTTCTATGTTTTATATGTTTAACTTAACCTATTTTCTAGATATATGAATTGAACATATCAACAAGTATATAACCATAAACATTCACGATTAATGAAAAATCTTTGTTAAAGTCTATTAATAGTAAGAAGAAAATTATACTTTGTTATTGTGTGTCACCAATGAAATTAAAATGATATATTTCTAACTCTAAATCTGTGTTTTAGAGAGGTAATAAACCTTGTTAAATAGCATTACAATGGTTAGAGAGATTTGCATGTAAATTATTTGATTCTATTCGTCTAAATGCATTATTAATTATGTATTGTTCTTGTTACAGATTATAGTATATTAAAAACATTAAACAAGACAACTTATGTAATAAAAATTCTATGTATAATACTGTACCACATTATTTGTAAGCCGACATCAATGGATTCCATTGATTTTGATACAATTATACGACATCCAAGAACTATAATTCACATAGATGTTGATTGTTTTTATGCTCAAGTGGAAATGCTAAGACATCCAGAGCTAGAAGGCAAACCATTAGGCGTACAACAAAAGAATATTGTAGTAACGAGCAACTATTTGGCAAGAGAATACGGAATTAAGAAATGTATGTCCGTTCAGGAAGCTTTACAATTATGTCCGGGGCTGGCCCTGGTGAATGGGGAAGATTTAACAAACTATCGTCACTTCTCTGCTAAGATACTGGAGATATTGCATCAGTTTACTCCCTTGGTCGAGAGGTTAGGTTTCGACGATAACTTTATGGATGTGACGTCTATCGTGCAGAAATATATGAATTCTGGAAATGATTCTGATCTAAATATAAGTATTTCTATGGAAGATGAGAGTCCGGTTGGAGAAGTATTTGGCCCGTCCGAAGAAGAATGTCCATGCGGTTGCCATGCCCGATTAATTTTCGCTTCGAAAATTGCAGCGGAAATAAGAAAACGAATTCATAAGGAATTGCACGTCACATGCAGTGCTGGAATAGCGCACAATAAACTTCTAGCAAAACTGATAGGGTCGTTGCATAAACCGAACCAACAGACATTAGTATTCCCGTGCAGCGGACCAATGTTGTTATCATCGATAGGATCTGTGTCTAAAATACCAGGTGTTGGACAGAAAACTACACAGTTGTTGGTATCGAATAATATAAAAACAGTGGACGACTTGCGTAAAACGTCTTTGGAAAGTTTGGAAATGAAACTTGGCGTTGATTTGGCGAAGAAATTAAAAGACAACGCGGAAGGTATAGACGAAACCGTTGTGAAACCGACTGGAAAGAAACAGTCTATAGGTTTAGAGGATGGGTTTAAAAGTGTTTCTTTGGTAGCCGAAGTAGAATCACGACTTGGAGTACTTTTGAGAAGATTGACGGAATTAGCTATGGAGGATGGAAGGATTCCCATCGCTATGAGAATAACGGTCAGAAAGCACGACTTTAATAAACCAACTTCTGGCAAAAGGGAAACTCGTCAGTGTGCTTTACCAAAGCATCTGTTGCCTTCCACGAAATCCGGCGTTTACGATCACGCTAAAATGCTATCGCTGGCAATGAAACTTTTTCATCGCACTGTCGACGTCTCTAAACCATTCCACTTAACATTGTTAGGCGTTGCTTTCACAAAGTTCGAAGAGAGATCTTCTGGCAGAAATAGTATTACGTCTTTCTTGCGAAAGCAAGTTGCCGTTCAATCCGTCTTGGACATAAGTTCGGAGGAAGGTATTTCCGACATCAGTCTTGGATCACCGATGAGTATAAATCAAGATAGTAACGATGGTTCCGCGATGAGCACCACTTCGTCACCAGTTTCAAAATCAGTTGGCGTTAACAATCAGTGTGCAGAGGACGACCTGCTGAACGAGATCGAACCTTTACCAAAAAAGACCAGATTGGAGGTATGGTTAAGTGGCCGCAGAGAATCTCCGAGCAACGAAATGGCAGATCTCAGACTCAGTCCTTCGTCACCTATGCAATTGTCCCCGAAAATCGACGCGGCGGTTCTCAAATCATTACCCATAGACATTCAGAGGGAAGTCACCCGTACATGGCCGACAACTAGTAAACCAAAACCGAATAATATACTTAAATATTTCATAGCCAATAAGTGACGGAGCTCTGTGGTCTAGAAACATAACATAGCCATCTTTCTGTACACATTTCTGCAGCTACAATATTGGATGGCAGCACCATGTGATATTATGACTTTAAGTTTACCAATGTCTTTAATTAATTTGCAATTTTGGGTATTAAACTTCTATATACATATATTTTCTATAGCATTTACAACAAACGGATGTTAAATAGAAATCGACTTTATCGCATAAATCTTGATCATATTTATCAAATGCAAAAAAAGAATCAATAAATTTTGCATGGTTGTATAAAACAATATTACATATTATTGTTTATTTATCTTGACTAATCCGAGTGTAGTTGATTAAAGTAGACGTATGTGTTTAGTGTACTTGCATTTAAAATATGCATTATTCGTGAAAGTATTTGGAATATTCTTTAAATCGTTTTACAAATCTCAAAGGAAAAACCAGAATGTACACTGACTGTTAACCGATAGTATTCTCGTTTAAGTAGAATTGTTCGTCGCGAATCGAAGATAAAAAAAAGTTATTGAATAAGTTTCATTGCCAACTTTCACAAGCACGTTACACGCGTGTGTGTGTGCGTGTGTGTACGCGTTGCGTACGATCTCGAGTGTTCTGTTACGCATTTCGTAGACAACGTTCAGAGTTCAATTAAATAAGATTGTCTGTTATCGTAAATTGAATATTTATCCGTTCGTTTATTTCACTGCGAGGAGTATTTCGTTGATAGAAGTATATTCATGTGTTCAAACGGCACACAAGTTTCTGACACGCGTATGGTTCACGCATTTTCGATATAAGTCCGACGTCTTAAATGGGGTGCTGGCATTTGATTTTGTACATATTCTCTAGTGACTAAACTATAATTGTATGATTTAAAATTAAAACAGAAATGTTTATATTTTTAGTACTATCGATGTATGCTCTGTGCGTGCGTGTATGTATGTAAGTATGTATGGTGTTGTGTGAGAATGAAGGAGAGTGTGTGAGAGTGTGTGTGTGTGCGACGAGTGTTGCGAAAAATACACTATACAGAATACTCGATCGCCGTATGTACTACTGGTAAGGAGTTCTAATCGAATTGTAAATCATAATTTATATATATACATATATATATGTATATGTATGTATATATATATTTTATATAGTTATTCAAACTATTAGACAATCATAAAGTTTTATCGGTTCGATATGGTACAAGGTGAATAATTATAATATATACTTTAAGCACACACGCAGATAAAATGTAAGCCATCGATCCACGCGACTTTGAAATTATTATATTACAGAAAATACGGACATGCGCGCGTGCGCGTTTACTTTCACACGGTTACTTAAAACGTACATGCGTTAGAGCGTGGCCAGCGGCAAGTGATACTGAAACAGTAGCTTTTGTAAACGATAAAAAAAAATACTTATATAAGGATACGGAATATTTATATATATATATATATATATATAGGTATATGTATGTATAAATATAACGTTAGTTGACCGATAGCAAGGCGCATAGAGATTAGTTACGTGCGAGTTTTTCTTTTTTCTATGTTTTATTTATTTACTGTATGCACGGGTAAAGCGGTACAATTCTGACTATTAACTTCTGGTTGTGAGAACATGAATATTTTATACGTACACGCCACGGGGAATATGAGCGGTTGCGAAACCCTTGCGCTTGTCATCGTCCAAGTTCTGATCAATTCGAATAACACGGTAGTTCGCGCGTCTAAATGATAATTGTTTCGATATCGTTCGAAAGTAATCGACTGATGGCAAAAGCACCACGATTAAATTGACTTTGATGTTGTACAAGCAGCGTTACATCGACGGTTCATATTACCTTTGATTCATTTAAATAAAGAAAGTTCAAGTTATTACCAGGTATATCGTTTATTTTTTTCACCGTGGAACCATATCTCTTCTGGTTGTCTTAAAAAAATTCGCGTCCCTTTGTCGATCAATGATTCAAAGAGGATTTATTCGGTGGCCCTCGTCGAACGAGAGCGCAGGACAATTTAAAAAGGCACAAAGCTGCACAATTTATTCCATTATGACATGACTCACCCTGATTATGGTCCCATTCATAGACGGTGGCTGGGTGATTGGCCTCATTCAAATTGTATAGTAGTGGTAAGGGTCTAATTCTGGCGTCACACTTAAACGCACTGTGCTTTCTGATATTGCTCTTAAATATCACCGCGAAGATCCATATAAAGGATAGAACGACGAGCACAAAGAGAAACGAATTCTATTGACAACTTAATAGGAAATACGGGATGCAATCTTCTATAGACACGCGCGGATTAATTCATTGCGTTACGACGTTCTAAATATTATGTAATGTTATGCGTTCTCATTAATATTTAATAGATCCCCCCCCCCCCATAAATATTAATCGTGTTTGTACACGTCCGTACCTATAACTTGATAGCAGGAAATACTGTAACCGTACGCCTCGCATATAAATTCGCGATGGTTTTACTCTTAAACGATAAGGGCACCTGTTCGACCTCAGTTTTTCTTAGTTTCTATCGTGTTGCACGTGAGATACATCAGAATGAGTTTTTTCGTAGGTAATATCTGACCCAAATTTAAATAGTGGCCAGGTGTATATTTTATTTCCACGGACAATAAGAACGTACTTGGTATAAATACCTTTTCGTACGTCTAAAAAATGTCAGATCGGCACTCGACTCGCGGTCGTTACCACCAGTGAAAAACCAATAGCTTCAAAATGCTCTTGCTCGTCTGTATTCTTGCCACGGTCGCGCTGCTCGAGACATCCGGTAATTATTTTCGACCCATAAAAATAATATAACAACAATAAATATTATGCCCGAATTATCGTTTTCTTTTTATTATTATTTTTAATTACCGTGCACAGCGGCAAGCATAAACGAAATACCAAAAATCGTCGGTGGTTCTACGGCCGAGGATGGACAATATCCTTATCAAGCTTCGCTTCGCTACAAGGGCCGCCATTTTTGTGGGGGATCGGTATTGAACAAGAGATGGGTATTAACAGCCGCTCACTGTTTGTCCAGGTTTGCCACAACAAATTATCCGCTTAAAAATAAAGTCCATTTAGTTCGTTAAAATGTTTGTATACATTTGTTACAATTTTTTACCTAAAATTCTATCGTTTATTCGATCGTTTCAGCTTCAACGATACCGGAATAACCGTCGTGTTGGGCACGAATACTTTGGACCAGGGTGGCGACGAATATCAATCCGAAAGAGTGATCGGTCATCCGAGGTATAGTTCAGCGTTGATCAGAAACGATATCGGTTTGATCAAGTTGGACAAGGATGTCGTTTTCGGGGACAAAATAAAGCCTGTCGCTTTACCGAGCGAGAACTTCAGTAAAACCGATTACCCAGCTATGCTGTCCGGATGGGGTACCACCAGCGTAAGTATTAAATTAAAATATTAAACTTTAGTCTATTTGTTTACTTTATTTGCTATTTTTTAAAATTCCATACGCATCGTGGACCACGCCATCGACCGAACCCTAAACGCAAATCGCTCGCGAACGGTGTTAAGTATCCTGGAGAGGCGCCGAACAAATTGCAGCACATCGAGCTCAGCGTGATCGATCAAAAACAATGTTTAAACACCAGCTTTCGCGTTACCAACGACAATATCTGCACACTCAACAAGAGGGGTGAAGGCGCTTGTCACGTAAGTGCATTCACGTCTAGTCGAGCACTCGAGAAGAGGGCCCTTTCGCGCCAAAGGATCCCTCAACTAAAGCGGCACTCTTTTTTTTTTTTCTTCTTTTTTTTTCTTCTTCTTATTTGCAGTCCGTCAAGGACCGTGGCAAGTGCGTAACAGTAAGCACCGTTGAGTTTCGCTCACCTAGAATCAAAAGAATTAATCTTAACCCTTCGTGGTCCTACGTTCAATTTTTTTTATTACCGTTAACTCGTCAATTTTCAAACAGGGAGACTCCGGTGGTCCTTTGGTCGCCGACAAGGAACAAATCGGCGTGGTGTCCTGGGGAATACCATGCGCGAGGGGTCGTCCGGATGTCTTCACGCGTGTCTACAGTTACGCCAAATGGATCAGAAAGTACACCGAAGACGAGAGTCCTTAAACAAGAAACTTATACTTGGAGCGAATCAAACAAATACTACTAATTGGATTTTAATTTTCTTAACGATAAATAAATCTATTTGCATGAAATGTATATTTAGTTACGCGCGCGTCAACGCGTCCTACGCTTATGCAAATGTGCTTTAAGGTGACACTAATTTTACTTCTCATATGCACGAATTAATGTCACGCGTATCTAATGCGTGGAATTAGATAGAACATTTAGGTAGCGCGTAACGTTAATTCGCGAAAAAAAACAAGCCTGCGTTGCGAACACCGGCTGCATTTGGGTACAACAAACGCGTTGGAATTGCTATGATCGTAAAATTAAAATGTATGCTCTGTTAGTTTTACAAAAGGGTTAATCTGAAGGGCAAAACCTGCATGACTAACGACATACCTTGATATTTCGTAGGAGCAAAAAAATCTTCAACCACAAATTCGGTCAAGTGCCAAATGACCTGAATTTAATTGCGCATGCTCGACTCGCGTAGATTGAAAATCGTTTTGGGTGTGAGAAGGATGCTGCATGTAGTAACGTATCCTAGGATAAAAATTTGGAAGGTTTACAAGGATGAAACGTCGTCATAAAACAATTACTGTCGGAACCTTTTCAAGCCCCGGCGCAAAAGCGTGCAATTAATTGAGACAAAATACGTTCGTTGCGATTTGAATCTTACGAAGATTACGACACCTATGTAAACCCTTCTGGCTACACCACTGGTACCACTTATTCAAAGATTGCCAACATCGAGGCCAAGGATGCGCTGCTACCCCGACCTCGACAACGTTTAAAATCCTCGACTATTTTGCGACCCGTTGCCAGCATTTAAATTGCAACAGACCTCCGAATTGCAATTATATCGACGGCTATGCATTTTTCAACGGCTTTTGAAGGGACGGTTTTTCGATTTTGATGCAGTATAACGAGGAAAACCCTACAATGTGCATGACTATACAGCTGTATAGGTTCGTTTGTCAAGTAACACATGACCTAAATCGCAGTGCGCGTGCGCGCTCGGGCAAGGACAGTTTCGAGGGTGTGTTTTCATCCCCTGTTTCTCGTGCTTGGAAATTTCTCGCTATCGCGGGCTGCTCGTCTCATTTTGCGATAAAAGCACCGTGTCGCGAAAAGACAGGGACCGGGTGGCCGTGCCACCTGCTGGAGTTTAACGTACATCGTCTGAAATCGATATCGCTGTCCTTGTCTTTCGTCTTCTCTACAGTGCCGTTCTAGTAGCCTGCACGGGAGAAATACGAGCGCGATGGAAACTGTACACGGGGGATCGTATCAAGAGTGGTAAAACTTTTGTGCGTGCGGTGCAAGAAACAGAAAATACACGACTTGATGTTGTTTTTTCGAATTTTCGCGTGCACGTAAATACGTAAATCGGTCGTCTCGAAGCGTTCTCTATGGACTTTATCAACGGGAGAAGTTTAACAAGCAACCGCGAAACGTCGTTAAACGCGGGTAAAACTCGCGTGCGTAGAACGGCAAACGAAATCGCAATATTTATCGACCGTAAAATTGACGAGGGTTAATGCACTGATAAACGCACCGTACCTTCGATACGGCTGTGGGCATGGTACGACATTGATACGGTTTCCTCTTCGTGACATGTATCGGGGATGTATTGGTATTCGTAAAATCTATTGTTTACATTCGCAAAATGCGACAGCAATCGGTTGAATAATACTTGAAAACACGTCTGTTTACATCGATGCGTACCTCTACGCCCCAGCGTCGCACGGTGTTGACATAACTGGAAAAAAATACACGTGTTTTATTATGCATCGATGTCTCGAGTCCGTGGCGAAAAATCAAACGCTCGGTTTGTAAACACAGTTTGCTCGATGATGCTGTTGTAAACAATCCTATTGTATCGTGTACCCGGTCGCGCTTGAATCGTGTTACATCATGGTGATTTGTTAGTGTGCATATCACGGCTGTGGAAAATCCTTGTGACACCATAAATAATATATTGCACCGATACGTTCCCTGTGTAAAAATAAGTTATCATCTGAATTTATCAAAGGAAGCTTCATGAACTGCTGTCCATTCATGTAAGTATGTGACAAGCTTTTCTAAGAGATGAGTAGAGAGACATGTACACACAGACACAACCATGTAACGCTTACACGACGGTACGTGACACGCATTTCAGAAGTTGATAAAAATGGCGATAATATGCATCTTTCTTTTCCTTTATAATGCGTTATAATAGTATAAGGAAATATGGGTAACGTAAAAGATAAAATTTACAGGAAACTTACATTTAAATTAATGTTTGTAATATCCACCGGTTACGAGTTAAAATAGCCTAAGTTTTACAACGATATGCTAAGTTTATAGTGGAAAAATAATTGTAGATATAACGGAAACCCCAAATGTTGAGTGATAAAGAACAGGTTCTGCGTGGTTGTAAGGTGTTGCGTATAGGCGAGGTTGACGAAAACATTAAATTCGTGGCTATAGAAAATGTACAGCTGTCCGAGGGGCCGGCTGTGGCAAGTGTATGCAAGTAAGCAAAGCGTGCAACACACCACCGCTACACCTTTTAACAGGCGACTGCGCAGTTAGACAATTCAGGCGTCTATATGGCCGGGTACCTCGCGCAAGCATACCAGGCATTTCTCCGTCTTTGTACCACCGTTGGTGCTGTGAGTTTCCTTACCCTTCGGCAGACCAGTGTATCTTTCTTTCTTTATCGTCGCTTTCTCCTATACGCTTCCTCTCGCTCTTCTGGTAAACGCTTGACGGTGCGCCAATACTCAGGGCTGTATTTAGCGACGAACTGTTCGAATCTCGACTTTGAAATTTCAAGACTACGAAGATTCGGACCTCTTTGAACCATGATTCGAAGCTTACAACTCTTGACGGTCTCGAGTCTCGAATGTCTTGCATTCTAAAGATCTCTTTACAGCCGAATTGTTTACACTTCGAAGTGCTTCAAATCCCATCCACTAGCTGTATCATTCGCCAATAGCCCAAAACTGTTGCACATTCTGCGCACAGTATACAACAAACGATTTTTATCATATTATTTTACCGTTTTCTACATAAATCATAAGGCAACAAGAACTTACGTACGGAATGTGACGCATATGATGGCGTTATCTATTCATGATACTCTCCGTAAAAATGTGCTTATCTATTCAGCCAAATTGTAAACACCGTAAGTTATTTTCACCGTGGCGTTACAGACGAATAAAGCATTCAAACTCTGCTAACTTCTGAATAACGTACCATAGCCAAAATTAAACAAGGCCTGAACAACAAATACATTCGAATAACGAAAACATCACTATTATAATTTGTATTCAAAACCTTTAAAGTATTTGCATATTGTATTCGGTAATTGTGCTTCGCAGAATAAATTTGTTACAGAACATACAGATATCTTTTATTACATTTCGTATGGAATGACCGAACAAGTGCAGAATATTTTATATGGTTTCGATGTTGAGACATTTTGATCTAAGAACGAATAACTTAGATGCGTGGAATGGAAGTTACAGAAGTATTTAATATTTGCCAGCACGCGTAAATACAAGATAAGTACAAGAATTTGCTCGTTCCTGCACCGAAGGAACGAAGGAAGAAATGAATCGTGGCCGCGGGCACCCGCATAGTTCACCTATCGTTTCGTCCCTGGTAGCGATGCCGGCTGCGGATGCAGGCGAGAACGTGCGCAGCTGTAAAACGTGAGTCGCTGCGCTCCGCAGCTGATGCGGCTTGTCGTGATCTGTGGTCTGTGTTTTGTTTGGAAAAATGCGACAGAGACGCGACGAATTTCGACAGTGTCGTTGCTACCAATTGCTACTGTATCAAGCGGCTGGATACAAACGAAGATCAAAGAATATATCGTGAGCGATAGCGACACTTAAAACAAAAAAAGACGATCGAAATGACATCCAGGATACGCGAAGACAGTCTTGAAAGTGAAACGGGACGGATTCTTTAACAATTGAAAAAAATTTGTTTTTTTCTTCTTCTTGATTGTATTCGATTGTTAGCACGACGTAAAAATTTGTGTCCTGTATATCGTCCAAAGTATTCCAATTTGTCCTAACGACCGTTACCGTGCCGAGGACAATAAGTATTAAGGAAGAAAGATAGACAAAGAGTTCCCGTCGGCATATGCTTTGTGTTCAGTGGCATTTTCTATACGGCGAAAATTGTGAGAAAAGTGCCGCGTTTATGAATAACATTTCACGGGTTTCTGTATTTCGGTTCGTTCGGTGTAACTGATAACTGATTTTAAAAACAAAGAATGCGTCGAGCAATTTCGTATGGAAATACCGTGAATATAAAAAAAGAATTGTTCGTAGAAAGTTTCTTGCTTCCGTAGCGCTCGAGAATTTAGTATTTTGATCGTTATATTAATATACTTCGCGTTCTTCTTCAGTTTATATTGATGCTAAAAAAAAACATTGTTTAGACGAATGTTATTCGATGAACTTGTTAGCGTTAATCAATTCATTCCGTGATGAAAATTCATGCGAAAGAAGCCAGGTTCATATATTCCAAATTTATACAGACACCCCGCTGAAACGTGTGCAATGTAACGGATGTATATATTTCTCAAAACAACGACAGGGCTAACTCCATTATGGAGGCACTGCGTTTCGCTATACAGTGAGTTTATTGTTTTATAAATGTTATGAATATATTTAATTTTCAATGTCCATAATATTTTATAAAATATTTTCGACGTTCGTTCGTTTGTTTCGTTCAAAATGCATCTACTTCTTCGCCTTAAAAAATCGGTAATGTTTTGATGAGACACACTATACGTATACGATATTAATTATTCTCGCGGAACTATACGAATAACAATGCAACGTTACCATAATTATTAAACGATAATGGAATAAACTATTGTACAAGCTGTATCATTTTAATTAGCGTTTCATGTTTATAAATATTATAATAATTATTAAATATTTTCTGATTTTAATAAATTAAAAATTAATAAATTAAATTCATTTCTTGTTCATAAGCCATGATTTATCGACGAAGAAATATATCGATTTTTCTTAATAATATTATTATTTTATTATTACATTTCTCAGTATTGCATATAGATAAAAAAATAATGTTTCAATCAATGTATAAAAGAAAGAAAACTAAAATGATGTATATTTAAGCGATATTGTAAAAGTAGAAATCTCGAATTATGTTTGTATTTATTAAAAAAATTTGTACGTAATATAAAATGTTTTTATGATTATCTTAGGCTGTTCAATATATGATATGGAGTGAAAAGTTTATTTTTTTTTTATTTTTTTTAGGACACGGCTAGGGGAGAGGATAGTCAGCATGAGCTCTATGCTCGTGGAGACAGTTAGTATAAACTATGAAGATTTTAACGAAAGTTTTTTAACATGTGGTACTTGCCTTTGTGTTTATGATGGTGCAGAGCATACACCTAAATTATTACCATGTTCACACACTGTGAGTATTATAAAATTGATTGATTAATTTAGTATTAAATTATTAAGTATTTGTATATTCTTGCATATAGGTATGTTTACATTGCTTAACAAGAATTGCTGCATCTCAGACTCGTGAGACTGGTGCCTTTCGATGTCCTATTTGCAGAGAGTTAATAACAATTCCTGGTGGCGGAGTTCCTGCTTTGCCACCTAGTTTTCTCGTGAACCAACTGCTGGATCTTATGTCTAGACAGAGACGAGAGGTTTGAAATAATAATTTTGTTGCATATTTCTCACATGTACGTCATTAAATATATAGTATAAAACTTCCTTTATTGTTGCAGGTTATTCCAAAATGTTCAGTTCATATAAACCAGGAATTATTATTTTGTGAAACATGTGATACAGTGTTTTGTACAGTCTGTACTGGTGGCAATCATGCAGGAACATCTCCAGGATGTACAGAGCATACCATTATACCCTTTAGCATTGCAATAAAAAGAATGTCTGAAATTTTGCTCTATAAAGCCAATGAATGTATATCCAAGGTAAAAATTGGATATTTTTTAAGTAAAAAAATATTTAGTAAAGTCATGCTTAAAATGAAATAATTGGTTTCAGTTAACACAGGCTCAAGATTCTGTAAGTACAGAATTACAACGTTTGGATGCTTCTACAGAAAGGTGTTTGAATGCTGTTGATATGGAATTTGCGGAAATTATTGCAAAATTCGAAAGGAAACGTACAGAATTACAAGCAGCCGTCACCGCCGCGGCAAGAGATAAAAAACATGTGTTGGAAGAACAACACGCGCTCATAGAAGCTGAGAAGAATAAAGTACAACAAGAATGCGAAGGTTTACAATATCAAGTATGACATCATTCGTAATACGATCTTTATAAAATATTTTTACACGCATTATGATCAATGTATCCAATTTTCTTAAAGGTTGAAGTACGAAATATTACACAGAGGATCGGTAGTTTATCTGACCAACTTGATGCAGCATCAGCACTTAGCGAACCTAAAGAAAATGCCTTTATTACTTTTGAATTTAACCACAATAATGCTCTTTCTCAATTAGAGGAAGGTCTAAATAACTTGGGAAGAGTACGTTCTAGTACAACATTGCCAGGTATCCTGAGGATTGATAATACAGTAAAGTACCTGCTTCAAAATTGTTATTACTCGTTATGCAAGCATTATTGATTTATATTTTTTTTTTATATTACAGTTATGAAGAGAGAATATTATTTAATCTAATTATATATATATGTGTGTATGTGTGTATATATGTTTTGTTTTTATATTATAGGTCTGTGTAGAGCAAGGCTGAAAGATCCTGCTATAGTTAAGTTACAAGCGGCTGTAATAGTAGAAACTGTTGATTATCATGGACATCCTAGAAATGTTGGAGGAGATCTTATCACTGCAGAATTAACGTTAGCGGATAGTATCCATTCTGAAAACCAGAGTTCCAATATTGACACGAAAATCGTAGATTTAGAGAATGGTACATACGAAGTACTATTTCGACCTCCATCTGCGAATCGCTATGTCTTAAAATTATCAGTTTTCGATCGACCTATTAAAGACTATCCTTTGTTTTTCGACGCAACCGAACATAACGAACCCATTAAAATCTATGGAAGACAAGGAAACGGAAAAGATGAATTCCATCAGCCAGTCGCAGTTGCTGTTGATGACGATGACATGATATACATTTTGGATACTGGGAACTCACGTATAAAGGTACGATATATTTGAAGGTATACCTCGTGTAAGATTATAAATTATCAAAACCAGGGCTTGAAACCTGTTACAATAATATAGATTTAGATTCAGAACTTAACGGTTTGAAATAATTATTTTCAGAACCTTTTCAAGCCCTGATCAAAACATTCAAATTTTGTTATAGATAATGTTATATTCTTAGGTACTCAATTGTGATTTAGAATTTCAAAGGCACATAACTAACGAAGGTCTTGAAGGTTGCAGTTGTACAGGAATTGGTATTTCTCAACAAGGCCTTGTTGTTGTTAATTGGAGAACGCGGGAAGTTACAGAGATGAGCTCTTTAGGTGACACGATCAAATCTTTTTCTCATAATGCATTTCAAGTTAGTATATTTCATTTCAATACTAACATAAAATCAACAATAGTTCCGTTACTTATTAATTACATTTCTAAACCCTACTTCCTAGGAGCCGATCGACGTTGCAGTAGACAGAAATTATGGACATATACTTGTTGCTGACAATCGTCAAAGTTGTGTTTTCGTGTTCGATTCTGATGGAAAAATTCTGTTCCAGGTTAGACGATATTTATCATTCTTTAAATTCAATATTACAATATATCGATTTTTCTAAAAAATATATCGGTTAATAGGTTGGAAAGAAAAGTACGTTCAATTTAATTAGAGCCGTTACCGTTGGACCCAATGGCGAAATTGTAGTTGCTGATAGCTGTATTCAAGTATTTTCTGCAAAAGGAGACTTTTCTGAAGAAATATATTCAGAAGGCAAAGGTGAATTTGAATTTTCCAGCATTGTATCGCCACATCTTTATGTCGGTTGTATTTTACTATATATTGTAGGAAAAGGCGCTTACGGAGGTTTAGCTGTTGACGCAGAAGGTAGAATACTTGGTACTCGTACTGATAAAGGGCGCAGTATAATCCAAGTATTAAAATTAGGAGGAGGTAATATTTTAACTGAAATTGATTCGCATAGTTCGAAACTACGACGTCCTTCAGGTATTGCAGTACTACCTCACAATCACTTAGTAGTTGTAGACTTGGGAAATGATTGTATAAAAAAATATAGATATTGGTAAAAGCAGTTGATTTTAAAACATAAAGTTTATGTTCAACAGAAACAATTCAAATTACAGACATATACCAAATATGTGTTTAGCATAGTTTAAATTACTTGCTTTCATAAAGCTTTTGTTATAATCTTACACATAATTTTTAATCTATAATGTCTACGTTTACGTAAATTTTTTATATGCAATTTTTAAAAATTACAAACTTAGGTAAATCAAAATAATTTTGTCAGTGTAGGAAACTATCGATTGTAATTAATAATGTAAGTATTACATATGCACGTGTATGTGTAACGCTTACGTGAAATGATTAATGTTTATACGTTAGACTTTGCGACGTACGTCGTGCTCCTAAAATGGAAGAGACTTGATTAGTATAACGTAATTTATAGTATTTTGTGTCACTATGTCTATTAATTTAATTTATTTACTTAAAATCAGTGAAAGTGATTTTATTTTTATTTCTCAATACTTATTTGAACCAACGTTCGAATGTACTATAATACACATTTTACACTGCCATAGTCTGATATTTTGAAGTCACAATAGTTATCACAAGGATTTACATATTTCATAGAAATGTATGTATATAAATGTAATGATAGATTCGGAAAACTCATATATAAGAAATTATTTTTATGATGGAAATTTAATTCGGATATTAAATGACAAAGTTCCATTTATTTGCAAGATCTAATTAGGATATTATGAACATTTTGCTATAAACAAATTTCTCTTTCCTCTATATTTGATTCGCTTTTAAAAAATTGATTATTTTCTCTTTACTTGTGTCATTACTTTTCAATAAAGTTAGCATACAAACTAGTTCCACGATTATAAAACGGCTCGATCTGACTTTGTAATTATACTTTACACTTTAAACGTTTGTTGTTACGCGTAAAACCATATATTTTTAACATTAATCGTACAAGTGATACTTAATGTTTATTTTTAATGTACAGTATTTCCTTGAAAAATGTTCATAGTCTGGCGCCGACGTTGAACTGCGTTTAAAGGTTCAGAGCTGTTTATATTCCAGGAATTGACATTTTTTAATCGCGGTCTAGGACCGAACTTGGTGCGTATCGTTCGTTCAACGAGAAGAGTGAACAGGATACACCAAAAGTCAGCGAGATTGGTCGACTCGGCCATTTATTGGTAATACATCTCATGAAAATGTAAAAGTTTTAATTTCTATCAGTGGGTGATTTATTCCGCACGTGTGCCTTATCGCTCTTCCATGTCGATCGCAGACCACAATTATGCGAACGGGTGCCCGTTCCGAGCAGTTCCCAAAAATTTAGGGGGATAACAAAATAGTTTTAAGGTTTAACAAGCAAACAGCTTCCAAGGAATTACTGTATATGTTGTAAAAAATAATTTTTTACTGCAACTCGTCGAATGAATTTTATTTAAAGCAGTTATTTTGTATCCTTATGTACAGTCTTTTGTCCTTTTTTTATCGACAAATGTGCTTAGTTAATTTATATTACATCACATTCTTGCATTTTATATCTTCTGTGGTATTTTAACGCTTCTCTAGGATAAAATACAAAAATCTTATTTTATGAACATTAAAACGGTGAAAATTATTTCCATGTACTTTCTTTATACCCAGAAATATTTCAAAATGCTTTTTATGAAAACATTAAAAATATAACAAAGTACTATTTGCCATTCAAATTTTAATTACCATATGCCACAGTCTATTAAACTTGCCCTGTGCAGTAAACTAATGTTAATTATCGTACAAAGCATTTTCCATTTCCATTATGTACTCATTGAACTTTTTTTTTTTTTTTTTTCATTTATAATTATATAGAAATATTCATTGGTACGATGTAAAATATCTTTTAAATAAATATACGCGCTGAATTCATATAAATAAAGTTCATTAAAACCATTAAATTTTTTCTTCGTAAGATTTCCATAAAAACGAATACGAAAATACGGATTCTGCGATTAAAACGATCGTAGAAAATACGACAGCGTCGATAATATCGCAAGCGAAGCTCGCCGCGTAATATTGACTTTATCGCGATGAATTCAACCGATTCCTCGAGATTTCACCTAAGCGAGAGTATCGAATGAACGTAGCGTGCACGCGCCGTGGTTGAAAAACGTGAGTTCAGATACTACGCCTGTGCTAGTACGTGCCCCGTACACGAAACTTATTCACACACGCTATTCATCGGCCTGTGCTCCTCCATTGCGTACATAACATGAAACGTAAGACGCTACATACTGGCGCGCGCGCGTACGTGTGTGTGATGTGTCCCTGTACGCGTACGTCGTGCCAGGTGTATGTAAGCAGAGTTGCGCACAAGTCGTAACACGTACATCAAAACATACTTTCGATTGAGACGCGTTTCGGTGGAAAACGAAGAATCTCGATGGGCTCGGTTGGCTTTCGGCGAAGATAAGCAGTCGTTACGCGATCGTGCGCGAGAAAAAACCGTTTCGCGAACGAAGGGAACGACGGGCAAATAACGTTTTCCCATCCAGAGCGTCGAGGTAATCGGAGGAAAGAGTGAATTTGAGTGTCGCTGCACAAGCGCGAAGCAGAGAGCGAGGGAATCAAAGAACGAGAGAGCGAGAGGACGATAGGACGCTAGCTACGGTGCTACGGTGGTAGTGAATGGAACGCGGCCCCCACGGGTGAACGTAGTACGACGCTCCACGGGCTAGCATCGCACCAATGACCAGCCGGGACGGCCGATCACGTGACGTGCGTGCCGAGCCAGCAGCAGAACATTGCAAATGACAAGACGCGTAGGGCATTGTCGTCGCGCCGCCGCTGCCGCCGTTCATATCGTTGTTGTTGGTGAATTCGTCGCGCCGCCGCCACCGCCGCCGCCGCTGTCGTTGTTGCCACCGCTGTTTATGAGATTCTCGCACGTCGCCGAGACGCCGAGTGTCGTGAACGATTAGAAAATCCTGTCCTCGCTGTCGGCACCACCGCTGCTGTCGGCGCGTGTGCGCGACAAAGTCGCGGGTGCTCGCGGAGGCCTCGTGCCCTGAACGGTGCCCGCGGCGCCCCGTCCCTACAAGTACAACACACTCGATACATAGTGTACAAAACACACCAGCGTTCCGAGGGCCCGAGTGGCATCCGTCTATATGACAAAATGTCGGGATCACAGCGGATGCGAAAGTCCTCGCCTTGCTCGACGTCGAAGCAAGGCCCAATGCGCGCGACTCTACCCGTGAGCTCGCTGTTACGGCAAGGCCGACAGGGCAGCAGCCTCAGGAAGAGCAACAGCAACAGTCCCACCGTATCGCCGACGAACGCGAATGCGTGGCGGGCCCGCATCTCGCCGGAGACCTCCTCCTCGGGACAACGAAGCCCCGGTTCTCTCTCTTACAAAGGTATATTTCCTGGTTTCACGACGGTTTCCAAATTTTTGTCAGCACGAGCAACAATTCGATCATAGCACGCGAAATGAGAACATAATACACTGGTGATCGAAATTATGAGATACCCTCAGAGTAACTGGGATAAGGGCTTAATATGGTATTTATACTAAACTAAAATTTAGTTTTCAACAATATCGAATTTTCAATTTAAAACAGAATAATAATAAAAGTCTATCCATGCGTGTAAAATCATTCTTCTTGACTCATTAATATTATTGTATGGTTTGTCACTTTTGTATAGCTTTCTGCCGAGTTACCCCCACAGATTTTCTATAATATTAAGGTCTGGAGATCGTATTGATTAATCTAATATTGATATACTTTTACCATTGAAATAGTGTTCTATTATTTTAACTACATGGTTAACTACGTTGTCGTGCTGCAGTATAAAATCTTCTCCAACTATTCTACTACCATAGTTCTGAATTTATTCTTGGATTAGTTTTAAATAACCGGTACATTACATTCTGCTATATTTTTCTTAGTAATAAAGCTAAATTATTCTTCCTTTCTTGATGACAAGTTTCAGATATCATACTTACTATCACAGAATTCATAAATATTACTTGTTAGCAATTTATGTTGAATTTAACGAAGGGAACAATATCAATATACATCCTGATTAAAAGAACAACCACATTTTAATATAACCTTCAACATGATGAGTTTTTAATTGTTGCTTCTGCTAGTAATTTTGTCACTTGCTATGTCTCTTATCTGTGTACACATCGTTTACATGTTTTTGTATTTGTTCTACACATTGTTATCTTTTAAATGTTTTTTTTGTTGTGTCTGTTGTTTTTTAAACCTTTCCACCAAATGTCTTTCTCTGTTCCAGTGTTAGAATATATCAACATTTAATTGTTTATTATGTCTCTGTACATTTTGTAGTCTGTCGTGTGTTTGTGATTGTATTATTCTCATCTTTATTGTTTGCAAATACTTGGGAGTATTACTTTTGCGAAACTGATATAGTTTCTTCAGAATTAAATGGTTTTGTTTACATTTGTAACATATATTATATAGAATTATATTATTAATACATAATAACATTTAAAACATGAACAATACTTTTTTGCTTTCTTTATATATTTTTACCTATTAATTTGGTAACCGAATACATATTTTTAGTTCGGTGCCACAAAAAACAACCATAAAATTCAATACTCTTTTCCTTCATCCTTTCACTACACTTTTGTTTAAATTTTTTTTTATGTGTTTTTCATTTTATCCAGTGACCGAATACATTCTTGATAGACCGGTTCTGGTTTGCATCCATACAATGATATTGTATATTTTATTGAAAGGTATTCGTACTACATTGTATAAAATATTACAAATATCCATTAAAAATTTTTGTTATCTACAGCAAAATCAAAAACATTAAGTGGAAGATGCAGCGAAAGTCTAAGTGGAAACCAAAATATTCGGAGGACAGCATCATTAGATACAATATATTTAAAAGGACAATGGCCCCGTGATTCATACATTCATTCCAGTTTACTTTTGGTTAATAAATCTACTCAGGTAAATTTAGATTCTATAAATCTTTGAATTCTTTTATTTATAGAAAATGTGTCGTACAATATTTATTAACATTTAACGTATTTTGCTTATAGACAGAAGAATGGTCTAATGAACCAAGGAAATTGCATACTCGTCATCCTACAGAACAAACTACTACAGATGAGAAATTGGAAAAGTACTTCAGGCATCGGTATGTAGAATCTATTACAATTATATACTTCTTAGAAACGATATATTTAAATGTCAACAAACCCTGCTGTTTCCCTGAGTTGTGGTACACAAAACATTTAACTTATGAATGTAAACTTACTACAAAGACATGTAATGCAGATTACAGCGTACAAATAAGGAAGGCACCAGCAGTAGGGAACGAACAGCTGTGTTTGGACTTATAATGCCTGGTGGGCCACCACCAGCCTTTCCTGCAGATCATACAGTACTTCCACCCAGTATTGCTTCACAAACATCTATACGTAAGTTTATTTAAAAGCTCAAGATGAGAACTTGAAAATGTTCCAGAAATAATTGTTTCAAACCGTTATAAAATGATATACATATTATTTTTATTGTTACATTAGACAACCAATTTAGTTTGAGTACAAAGGCAAGTCCTATGAACATCCCTATGAAACCAATGAGGCCTCCAATGCGTTCTTCTATCGAAGGATTAAATCAAGAAATTGAAGGACTCGTTCTCAAATCTGCAACTAACCCTAGTGATCCTGATCATCAAGTGGAAGACAAAGCAAGTCATATTTTATGTTATACGATAATTGTAAATCAAGTATTTAACAAAAATTGATTTCTTATGCTTTTTTGATCAAAATCAAATTTTAATTTAAACGTTTTACTTGTGTGACAGTATGCACGATATCATGAACAAATAACACCAGAAGGGCATCGTGCACCACTAGCAGACTTACTGAGGGCTACGCGCAGTGTCAACACACAAACACCAGCTACAGACCTTCCCTCCAGTTCTTATTCTTCAGGTAATTTCAAATTTCATCTTATTTACTTGGCAATATTCAAGTACAGAGTGTCCGTTCATAAATTTACAAGCAAATATCTTAAAAATGACGAAATTATAAAGAAATTCAATTTGAGAAATTTTCTTTTATTTGTAATCTTTACTTGAATATTCGTGGATGGATACTTCTTATACGGAATAGTGGCCAGTGTTCTAACATGAAAAATTTTACATTAAAATTATGGAAACTTCCTAATTGTGGCATCAATATTGTTAAATTTATAATTGTACATAATTTTTATAATAGTTCTTTGTAATTTGGGGATTACATGAAAAGTTATACAGGTATCTACCGTATAACACAATAGTTTGGTTCTGAAAAAAGTACCGTGTTGTAAGGGGGATACCTGTACATATTTCGTAATGGGAATAATGCATATATGCATGTGAACTATTTCTGGTTGTTGGTAACACTATAAATAACAGACTAACTATGGTGTGTGCCTGTTGAGACAGGCCCTCCATCTAGGAATTCTGAGTCTCCACTGATTCCTGGTCTTATGGATGCCTCCCGTCCGCCTAGCGATCTCTTACAAGGTTGGCGCATTTTGCGGTTCCTTCTGTTTTTTTTTTTTTTTTATGAAATACCATCAATCTAATTTGTTTGCCCAAAGTTTTTTCTTTTTTTTATGAATGCCATTGTCCAGCTAGTTATTGGGATTTCACATGTTTATCTACAAAATGTTTTACTATTTCGTAAATATATACACATATAATTATATACAGTAAAACTTTGATTTAATGTATCGTGCTTAAAAATACAACAGACATTTTATAGATATTTGAATTTAATAGCCCAATTAGTTCGCTAAATCGACGTTTTACTGAACCTTCATTTAAAAGTATGTGCATGAATTGTTTTTGTCTTCAATAGAAATTATCGTGAATACTACATTTGAAATTTCTGATTTTACGTAATTAATTATAACATATCACGTTTGCCAAAAGATTTTGTGTTTTCACGACATAATAAATGCCAAATTTTTAATGTATTTTATATAGCTGTTTTAAATATCACATGTGTTTTAATATAATGTTTTTGAAATCATTTTACACAGCTTGTTACTAAATAATGTCTTTATGGTATACTTAGATTTACATGAATGTTATGTTCATAAATATATGCATTGAATAATTTAAATATTGAACAGCATGACTTTAGATATTTGTTTCTTAAATTAATATAAATTGCATTGTCGTGCATTGCATTTAGATTTTTAGTAATGTAGACATTGTAATGTATCTTTAAGGTGGAAGTCGTGGTTCAACTCCTGAGCAAGATAGAGAAGGACGTCTTGGCACCTCTCCTCAGATTAATAGGTTCCTAGCAAGAGAACCACCCGATGGCTGTGAGAAAGTCAATCTGAAATTTTTAGAGGATGCCAGGTAATTCCATATGCATGTTTACTAAACATTACACCATTTTCTAGACAACCAAAACTGTATTGTGTTGTGATAACAATGTACTTTCTTCATTCTTAAAGAATAATCTTTCGAAAGTCAAACTGAAGATATACACACACTCGTACATTCATACACATGACTGAAATATATATGTTAAATTGAAACATTTGGTATAACATGGCACATATAGCAAGAGATGTGTCCTAAGGCTGCATATATGAAATTAGAAAATAATTCAATATATTAATTCATAACATTCCTGATATGCTTGAACGTAACTAGCGTCTTCAAATACAAGACAAATTATTGGAGAAATTCTTCAGTATCACTGAAGCAATTATATTTCTATCTATAGGCGACCCATGATAGATTTGAGCAAATTAGAATATTGCTCAAAGCCGTGTGTAGCATTCCAGTTAAAACCTAGCTTGGGATCAGCGTTCCTGCCATTACAACAGCCAGCCAGTCCAACGATGGTTGCAAGTGCATCACCCTCTTCGCATACAACACCAACTACACCTCCTCCAAATCCATAGTCCTGTTCTTCACCTTACGAAATAATGTTTATAAACCCGATTGGTATATATATTTTTTTTTAAACGACCTCATGGGTAGAAAGTGGTTTACTTTGACACGAAAGCATATACCAATAAGAAAAGAAAAAAAAAGAAAAGTTACCGAAAAGCAGCCTGTTTCCAGTGCGATTCAACTTTCGGGCATCGTAATTGTATAATTAGTTATGATTGCATTGATACAATATATTGAAAAGCATCTGAGCTCCGTTAATGTTTGAAACAATAATAAAAAAAACGAGGAACAATAATTTGTGATAACTGAAAAAACGACATTTAGGAATGAACATTGTGTTCTACAGGGAAAAAGACTAAATAAAATTGTGTATTCTAAATTTAGTGCTAAAATGTGCTAAACGACTTTAGTTTTGTATACAGGAATAAATATTCAAAATGTCGGAAAAGTATTAAATTTTTGATTGTTGGGAAAAGCAAAATTATACTGATACAAAAATGGGTACACGTGCCTGAATTATGTACATTGGTATACCCCCACTATGATGTTCTCATTAGATTTGTATCACTTTAAAAAATGATTCAATTGCATAGTGAAGCAAAATATGCGTTAGAATTTTGTATCGTTTTGTATTATTACTTGTACGCTGAAAATATTCAAATTATTATTATATGAGAAGCTCGAAAATAGTGTATCCCTATGGTACATTATTTTTTTTTTTTTTCTTCTTTTTTTTTTTTAGAATTATATTCTCTAGATTTATACACATACATTCTTTACTTTTTTCTCTTAATGTCGCGTATGTAAGATAAAGGCATAAATTATAATTGTCACGATAGTTTATTTTGTATTACGTGTACAAACGTGCACTTTTGCATAGCTTCTTTTTTATAGTGATTTCTTAGGGGATAAGTTTGTATTTTGAAAGTAAAATATAAGTACTTTGTTCGACTATAGTGTTCAGTGTCATAAAGCAACTTATGGAACTTAAGTTAATTGCAAGAGTATATTTTATTGTTTAATATCTATATATTACCATAGGGCTACAAAATTTTTTGGTTTAACTTGTATTATGTTAGTTTACTATCTGAATATGTACAACCAATACAGCATATGTAACGGCGGGTTGATGAATGTATGATAGAATGAACCTAACGATACAAGGTGGAAAATGTAATGAGTTAAAATATGGACAGTGGCAAAATTAAATATTAATCGAAGTAACAAGTGACATATGTGCTTTAAGCCAGTGTGGTATCAGATGTGAATACAAATGGCTCCCTAACTTAGCACAGTATTGGTGTGACTGTAGGCTTTTGTATAAACGTGGATTATAATAAGAAAGACAAAAAAAATGTATAATCTGCGTTCTATACAAATGACAGTATGCATGTGTTGTAATATCAGAATCCTGATTAAACCATCCACGAATAACATTGAAGTTCATTGTATCGTCGAAATAAAAGATTTTGCACGAACGTAATTCATTGGAAATGTTTCGAAACTTATTTCGTTCTTCAAGTTTACGTTAACGTTATACGATAGTTATTAACGCATAGCCTGCAGGAAATATTATATTAAACTTCGTAGCCAGCAGCGATATTTGTTTCTTTGAATTTTCTTACGGTAAGAATAATCAAAGGAATATCAAAATATTTTGATATAAACTATCTACACTGTGTAAAAGGAAAAAAAAAATCAATAGTTATTCGTGCGATGGATTAACTTATTTTTTAGTATACGCAGACATAGCCACTCAAGAAGTTCAATTTATTTTTTGCTTTCTAATACAGAACGTTTTGCAAACAACTTTATAGTTACGGTCTGAGGAATAAGGATCTTGATAAAATGTAAGATCGAGAGCAGGGAAGAACAGTTTTTTAAATACAATAGTAATATACTTTCTAATATTATAATGTATCTAGCTACAACAGTGAAAAAATGTTAACACATAAAGTACCTGGCACACTGGTCTATGCTCTCTTTTATCCAGCTCACTAGGAAGTTCATGCCTTAGAATGCGTGGCAAAGTGTGCTAAATAGACAGGAAGGTTAATCAGAGAGTCAGGATATATAAAAAATGCACTGGCTAGTTAACGGCGTATACAATACAAACCTAATCTGCTATCTACTAGCTTAAGAAGATTTTCTTTTATTTATTTTCGCTATGGACCTAAATGACATTAGCCCATCGCTGTAAGGATATGTGAAATGCGAACGTAATTGTTTGTATAAGCGCTCCAAAACGAAAAAGAAAAAAACAAAAAAATTTATTGATCGCATATTTCATCTGTTGGCATATTTTCACTTAACAGAAGAGAGAGAGAGAGAGAGAAAAAAAAATGTTTTAACGTAACACATTGTATTAATCATAGTGAATAAAACGTTTCATACTTTTTACTAATAAGCAGAGGAGGGAATTACTTTAGAGAAAGGCTAGCCTTATTATTTTTTACTACAAATTATAAGGCTCCACTTTTTAACCTTCGTGTACTTGCATAATGTGTTATCATTATTGTTAGTTTTTGTTGTCGATTTCATGAACATAGGAATGTGTATAAAGACTGCTACACTAAAGATTACCTGTTATTTGGATATATCTAAATTTAAAATGAAATAAAATTAGGCTCAAATCTCATTCAGTTACCTATGATGCACTATAGAGATATACTCTTTATAATTCGTTACTAAACTATCCTTACGTGACTACTGTTCGGTACATTCTTTCTACATATCTAAATCTGAGCAGGTTTCAGAATGACAAAATGATTATGTCAATTACGAATTCATTTATCCCTAGGACTTGTCCAAACTTATCGTTGTAGGGTTTCACAGAACAACAAAAGTAAAATGACAAAGAAATGATTGTTGAATGTACATTGTAATTTGTAAGATGCTCGGAATTATGCAAAACGTTTTTAAGAGCATGAAACTTGTACGTTGTAAAGTGGTATCGTAAAAAGTTTTATATATTTGGTGAAGTTAAATGCAGCTTTTATCCATTTGTTTTATAATAAATATATGAAATATTATTTATTGTTTTTTTTTTATTTGAAGCGCAAGGATACAAAATCTTTTTTATAATGTATAATGTTTTCATGTAAATTACACACGCACACGCATACATATACATAAATTTATAAAAATTTTTTTGTTCGATATACATAATTGACTTATTGGAAGTTATAACATGGCATTTTTGCTTGATGAATTTTTTTCCATTTACCAATCTATGAGGAAGTATCTTACAATGTAAACTCGTAACACACAATACTAGCAGATTCGCAACGGTACATCGAAAATCAGTATCTTAATTAAATACTAACATAAGAATCGATCGACCCTTGAATTTGTCCTAGGGCTAAATCAAAATTAGTCAGCGAAGAGAGTTAGCGAATGTAAATAATAATTTAAAGCCGTTTAACGATGAAACCTTTGTACGGAACGTAGTGACTAAGGCCAACGAATTCTGTACTTTTCATGCGTCTCGCGTAAAAGTTCGTCGAATGAAAAATACTTGTGGATCAATGCGAACTTTTAAAATATGTATAAACAAAAAAAAAAACTATTACCACAACACTGGCCTGTCCATAGTCAACTGAGATTAGACTCCTTCTCCGAACGGTACAATGCAATTATCAAAATCATAGTAAAAAAAATTTCTTTTTTTATTTTTTTTTGTAATTACGTTAGTCGAATCTTTAAATTTCTGATCGAAAATTTGTAATTATGGAAATTCTTTTCTTCTATCGTCTGTCCTTACTCGATCGAAATCAGAAGAGGTTCTTTTTCCATTCGGACAATAGAGGTATCGATACATTTTAATGCCACCATTTTTTTTGTTTGTTTTTTTTTTTTTGTATAAGTATCACGCGTATCAGTATTGTAAAGTATATCGTAATTTCTTGTCAAGAATCATTTTTTTCAATCCGATAATTTGTTTATGAAACGTTATACGTGTATAGATAAACTCATATTTTTTGCGGAATAAAAATACTCTTTAAGCGATAAGTTTACTCGTTATATATTTTTCGTACATTATCGAATTTTAAAGTATAAAGGCAAATTAAAATATAAGATTTAGTACGTAATAAAATATTATTGCCTTATTTTTGAGTATTTTATCATTATTATTCATTATTTGATATTCAAAGTTTTAACGATTCGTACGTGTAGAAATATTTTTTAATTACTTTTTATCTCTTCGTTTTCGTATTCATGAAATCTTAAGTACCAATTCACCATAGCTTTATCGAAACATTAAACAACATGTTTAACGATTTATCCGATTAATTTCGTTTTTCTCTCTTGCAAGACAAACTATTACATTGTATGATAATATTTTGAAAATGAATGGCTGATTTATAAGCGATTTTACTAGTAATATGAAAGCGTATCATTACGTTACGAAACTTACTATGATTATGATGCTATGATTGCGACGCGCTATAATATAGATTCCATAGATTCGTTTAAAGCGTGTGTAATTGCAATTAATACATTGACTACCCTCATAAAGTTTTACTTTTGTCGATATATCCGTATCGAATTAAACGTAAGCGTCTTCGATCCTGACGACATTGATAAATATTATTAAATTAAAAAAAAAAAAGAAGAAAAAGTTCGTATCGCATTATTGCCGAACAACATACAATAGTAACAATAATGTACCGTTGGTTCCTTTGTAACAAGAAAAATGCATTATGGTTCCACACACTCGGTAGTCAAAGTATTAATAATGATTATATTAATGACTCGATAAACTTTGCTATTACAAAAAAAAAAAATTGTATATCTCAATATGGAAAGGTAAAAAATGCAGTCCGTATTGCTCGGTACGAATATCAATTGAAAATATGATTAAAAATTCCTTGTTACCAATATGTATGTTTATTGTTTAACAAGCACCATGTTCGAAGAACGATGATTTTTACATGCAAAAAATTCGCTTTCCAACAAATTGACGATTCTTTGAAAATTCTCTTACCTTACCTCTCCATAGTGAGACTCCTACGCAAACTTGTTAAACCTGTGAATCTTATATGCAATTAGTTGTATTATTTACCAGCATAATACTGTATGTACTTGTTCCAATAACAATATGCACTTTTATTTTTATCATAAAGTATAAATGGAAAAAGTGTACCTTTTTATATTACTGTTAAGGCGCCTTACATGAATAAAATTTTTAGAAAACGAGATTCATAATCGATATCGTACAATTCAATAAGAACAATGTACGATGATACTTTTACTTTATATTCTTTGCTTTGTCGATAGTTCTTTTTTTTTCATATACCTTTGTTCGTATACATACGTTGATTCGATCACCTCTCATATGCATTTTAATTCATCGTACGTTTTATTTGACAAACTACATTAAAAAATATTTTTTAATATTTTTATTATAAATTATATATGGTACATAACAAATTTATATAGTGTATAAGAAATATATTTTTTTATCTGATTGAAAGATTGGAGATTAGGATTAGAATTTCTCTCTGAGCATAAATTAGACTTTTAAACAATACTACATATAGACACTTGTAAAAAAAAAAAATTAACTTTTAATTATTTTCTCTACATATTAATTTTATACATATTATCGTATATAAATGGCATATGTGTGAATGTATGTTAATTATGATTGTATACATACAGGCATATGCTCATCTCTTTAATTGTCAACAATATATATACATATATATATATATTATATAATATTATATATTATATTATATTTTATATATATATATACACACACACACATATACATATATATAGAGCAACATAAGTACTTTATACGTAAAATTAAAAAGGCTTCGTGTATGTACAAATTGTCTATAAAACAATAATTATAAACCCATGTATTGAGGGGAAGAAGAAAATGTGTTTCTTGTAGAGTTATTTTTCCTCGAATCCTCAGTATTAGGGTTATCGCTAGAAACAAGCAATACATACTTATTTTAATGTGAACATGTTCCTATGCAAAGTTTTTTTTTATATAAATTCTGAAAAGTTTTCATTGCATCTAGTAATTTGGAATGTTTAAGTGAATTACCCAAAGAAAGGCATTAGGGATATAAGCGTCTGTCTACTTGGTCTGGACACAAATGCAGGAGAACATTGTGCTAATCTTCCAACAATCCGTCTTAACCAATACTGCAATTTTTGTCGTCTTTCTTCTACAAATTTAGCATCCTAAAAATATGGTGAAAGGAATAAAAGTCAAGTAACGTATTCTATATTATTTGAATAATCTTTCACACTGCGTGCATACCTTATTTCCTATTGTCTTCTTTGGTGGAAATTCGAAAGTAGTGACAATAGTATCATGTTTTTTTAATTCCCTATAAAGTGCATGAAACTGCGCATATCGTCTATATATATTCCATTCGGTATCTCTAATCCGTACGTATATCTGTAACAATAGTTGATTTAAGAACTATTTAAGCTAATAAATTTAGGCGATATACTCTACATGTATAATTTGAATTACCTGATAGACATGATGAATATCTGAAGGTTGACCTGTAAGAAACGCAGATGGAATCCATATATGAATGAGACATGGCGGTTCGGAAGGTAAATCATCTTCGTTTAGGGGGCCACGAAGACACTCTAATTCAGCTTGTAATAATTTAACTAATCTATCCCTGTATAATATTTTCGAGCATTAATATAAAATATATACGTTACGATCGATTAAATGTACAGGGTAATAGTGCGAACGCCCTATAGAGTAATTATACCTATTAGTTAATTGAAGAGTTAATCTAGCATTAAATTCCATTAATTCAGCGTGCATGTCTGCAACTTGAATTAATTTTTCCTCGTATTGTTGAGCTTCATTATGGTAATCTAACGATGGATCCTCCTCGGAGACTGTAGTGGAGTCGGAACCTCTCCTTAACATTTGTACCGCGGTTACGTATTTACGTAATTGTTGTCTTAATAGTTCATTTTCTCTGTCGAATCGTAATTATATTAAATAAAATTCGGACGAATTTTTATACATTCTACAGCAAGATAAATGTAATTACGACCATTTTTTTACCTATTTAGTGTTTGTAACTGCAACTCGTGCCTTTCGAGATAATTTTGGTGTTGTCTTTGTAAACGAGCAAGCTGCGATCTACTAGTCAATGCATCCTCTTTAGCTTGTTCTAAAATTTCAGTTGTAGCTACAAGTTTCATTCGTAATGCATCTATGTCTAAACTTTCTGTATCTGCATGAGTATCTAAGTCTGCGAGTGGTTCCGTAGCTTCCACCGCAGCTTCTGCAACTTCAGACGAATCCTGTAGAAAATGATTTTTTCTTTTTTTTATTTTCATTCAGTTTGGTTAGATCTTACTACGTTCTGCACTTACGTCCAAGTAGTTTGGCAATGCTAGCAACATGTCGTCTAACGTCTGGTCTAATGGCGATACAGGAACAAGTCCGCCCATATTACCAGAATCTGTAATCGGAGTCAATACTTTTTCTTCTTCGAACGATTCACTGAAAAATTTGTAATACATTATTATTTAATTTCACACTACGAATTAAATAAAGAAAAACCTGTATAACTATCAAAAACTCATAGAAATGTAAAATTAAATAATTGGATTGTTCATCAGCCATTAGACCAAGTAAATAAATGCCTTAAAAGAAAACGGCAACGCATTGTCAACCGGACATTAATATCTGTACAATTGCTATGACCTCAACAGCTGATACAACTTTAAACATCATAAAACAAAAATACAGTGTATAATTGTATTTAAACAGGTGTTTCAAGAAATAATGGTTTTATATATTTCACCCATTAAAGTGTCTTTTCTCACAGATAGGTGTTACCAAGCCATCCAAGTGAATACATCCACGAGAAAATGCGTATGGTAATGGGCATAGCTTCGTCACATTAATACTACTCTACGAATACTACAACAGCAATTTCGTGATTCTGCCATCAAGTAAAACTCATTGTTATCTGGTAAGTCGTTCAATAAAATCTCTACTCTAAGCTATTATATATTATATTATAAGGATCTGACATTATTTATACTTACCATTTCTCGCACTCGGAAGATTCTTTGTTGGTTGTTACATTAACATCATTCGATTCCGTTTGTGATTGCGATACTGATAAACAAAGCATCGTAGAATTTTTTGTCGACGTTACTATAGGAGAATTGAGACAGGTTGGAGGTGCGCTGACTGAAACGGTAGCTTCTGTAATTTCTTGTTCATCATTTTCATCATCGAACGAAATTATATAAGTTGGTACTTTTTTCCTTTGTTTCTGCTGTTTCAAAGTGGGCCCTAATTTTAACACAAACGTTGTTTCAGTGGTGTACAAAATTTCTTTTAATACTTCGTAGTAATCGTAAAAAAATTACGCTGTTTAAATACCTGGTATTGTGGATGATATAATTGGTTCGGACAACGAAACCTTCTGTTTCTCAATTTCTTTTCCTTTTAAATTGTTATCCAATTCTTCATTATCTACTCTAATTGCAAATAAAATGCTACCAAGTCCTACAAAGTAAAATTGTACTCGATACATTTCGGTAGATTAAGTAGTCGAGTATAAAACTACAGTGTTTGTATACCTGCAGCTACGTTCGGCAGTATTGCGCTTCGTTCTTGGTCGAGTAAAAATGCCCAATCTTCATAGAATGGAGACAATATGGTAGAATCGATAATAGAATGTAAATGACGTTCTAAAGAACGCTCGTTCAATACTGCTCTTAACCATGCCCTACCACGACCATAATCTGTATGAACTCTTTTTAATATACTAAAACGTTCTTGTTCATGCCACGTCAACTGTTCCTTTATGCATGGCCAGAATGCCATATCTGATGTACATGATTTTGTACTACTACCGGATACTATGTCAGACACATGCCTGTAACAGTACAGATAATACACAGATAACAATGAAACGCGTAGTAATTACGTATTAGTCATCCCACGGCATTATCTTTTGAATGTTTATTAATATGTTGATTTCTTATAAACGATAAATGTTTAAAATATGGAAACTATTATAATATCATTTTGTAGAAAGTTGTTGCAAGAATTTTATTGAAAGGGAATTCAAAACTTGATCTTCTTCGATACCTTAAAGCAGAGTTGATTCTTTCGATGCAATTTGTACGTAATCCATGAGTAAAGATCAATTCAAATACATGGCACAGATGGGTAACGGATAGATCAGATTCAGTTGCTAATTCCGTACGTCCACCAAATCTAACGTGACACTTCTTCGCAGCAGCCAATAAATCTTCCAATAGTTTAGAGCGTTCGGCTGCATGATCATAAGTTTGATTGCCATCGATTACATTATGCGTGCCTGGCACAATCGCTGACATCATACGTAAAGCCTAAAATACATAGACAATTATTATAAGTATTGATATTTAGTTTAGTATAGACTTACATAATGACAAATTCTTTTAATCGTATTAGAAATGGTTTACATACATTATGCAAGCAAGAAATGTAAGAAATAGATTTCATAATTTAAATAATCCAAAAGAATTCAATGTTTTGATATTCAATGTTTAATAATAAATAATATTATAAAAGAATATTAAAAATCTAATTTTCACATATATCTTGGTGTTCTAAATCGTTTTAATTAGCGTTTTAGTACTTATAACAAATACAAACCATAATATACTTTTCATGTTGCGCAGAAAAGAATTAAACGATATTTAAAAAAATGTAAATTATTACGTTCGTTTCGTTTCATGAACAAACGCGCGCGACTACTATTGTAATGTATAAAAACAATGAAATTTACGTCTGTTTTTAACAATTGCTACAACGCATAATCGTCATTTATGTTAATTAATTGAAAGTGTCGCGTAACAAGTTCCTCGTTAATTCGATGGGCCAATATTGACAACGAATGATTAAATGAAAACTTTGACTCTGCTTTAAAAAAATAAATACATACCATGGATATGAATCAGTGAAGATCACCGTTGATTCCCTTTCAAATTACAGTTGTCATTAAAAAAAATAGTACAAAAGACGTGCATAAATATATCACTTCTCGGAATTGTTATTCATATAGAGCTTGTCATCAAGATAACGTTGTAACTGTATCATGACAATTGACAAATAGACTCGCTTCTCGTAATGTAAACTAGTATACAAATTTACATTACAGAAAATTTCAGAGGCGGAAACTTAATCTCTTCATTCTGTATTCTTCTCAACACACAGATGCGCACCAATGTTACCAGACGGTACACCGGAGAATATTGCCTCTCCACTTACGCACACTAATGCACAGTCACGTGTATGTGAGCTCCTGTGCTTCGGACAGCTTCGGAGGATTCGAGCAAGATGGCAAACGTGAGCTTTTCCTTCTCGTTCTCGAAACAAGTATTTCTTTGCCTTCTTTCTCGAATCCCCGATGCTGTCCGAACCACAGAAATTCACGTACACGTGACTGTGATTAGTGTACATAAGTGGAGGGGTAATGGCTTCCGGTCTGCCGTCTAATGCACTGGTGTGCACAGTGTGTCCTGTGAATTGGATATAAAACGGGCATAGAAGAAGTGGTTCTATTTGTTGAGAATTTTAAATACATGCAATCTGATTCTGACAGCTAAACCCTTCGAGAAGGAAGTCACCAACGTTAAGTTTACCATCTCTTCTAGGCCGTTAGCGGTTGCTTTTCATAAACGCGCGAAATCATTATGCCGCTGATCGCACGGTAGAGTAACTTTTAGTGGCGCGATCGAAGTCCATCAATTTCATAATTTGGTCCGTTACAGAATGTGTTAACGCAAAATAACACATGCTATTTTGTGGTGTTAAGTAAATGGTTTTGAATTTTTTTCAGGTTGGTTGCAATAACGTATACATATATATACATCGACGGTGGCACTAGTAACGACGAACTTCCTTCACTTCCTTGTGAATTTCCTTCTTGATCTTGAACAGCATAAAGTCCGTCCTCGCGTCAATAATATAATGGTAATGGGTTGCATATATTTGTTACGTCTGTGAATATTTTGGTGGATTATTTCTTGGAAACTCCAAGGATGACAAGATTCTTGGAAGGGACAGTTTGTTATCAATAACGTGCGAGTGTACTTCGTACAGGGGTTAGGTGACTTTGGTAGACGATTGTCGGAGTCATTCTTCTTCGACTTCAGCTGTTAAAGAGAGCAAGAAGGAAAGGTTCCCCATTTACGTTCTTTATTGATTTCCCAAAGCTGCGTGAAGTTCTGACCTGGCGTAACATGTGGCTCACGCGGTAGGATATATCGGTTTTCCCCGCCACTTCGTTAAACGCTAAGAAAGTTCGTCGTTACTAGTGTCGCCGTCGATGCATTCAATTATGCCAAATTTGGCCACACTGGGTGCGAGTTTCTAATAAATATAATGACACTGGGAACGCCACCTTTTACTTTAACAGACTATTTGTTTTGTATATATGCCATTTTAAAGACACTTTCCCCCGCCCCCTTGTCAAGTACATATATAGTTCGCTAACCGAGGTTCTATCATTTAATATTAATAAATTCCAGTACCTACGCGTATCAACCACGAATATTTTTGAAGAAGATAGGTAGTTTGCAAACCTGGTCAAAGTTCACGATGAATAGTAACATTCACAGTTGTCGAAAGCTGCTTGTAGTCGTGACATGCACACATGAAAAGTCCAGATGAAGTTATTCCGCATTTGTCCATAGAAGGTTATGAACTTTGTACAGGAAATTTTATCGACAAGTTAACGCAAACTTATGTAAAGTATGGCACCTGAAAGATCAAGCGGTGTTACTGGAAATCAATTAAGAAATGCTCCGAATGTTTTAACCAGGTATTACTTCTCTTAAAAAATTGGTTCGAGAAATAATTTAATGAATAATAACAACGATCTGTTCGAAAACTTGTCTAAATTAACGAAAGAAGCTAGTGTAATCTGAGATCTGAGTTTATAACTCTAGAATCATACAAAATTAAACTTATTGCTACTTCTTTTTCTTATGATTTTGTTAATGTTTAAATGTAAATTATAATTAAATAATCAGAAGTTTAACTAATTTTCTTATATTTAACGTCATAGTAAATAAGGTTATGTTATTCTTATATGGAGCTATTCTTTTACAGTATACCAAATATATCGTCACCATTTCCTTCGTCCAACATTCAACCAAGTAATCCACCCCCGGTGCCGCCGCGTCAACCGGTCCAAAATTATTTTGGATTAAACGATTATAGACCGTATGCATCTAATTACTATGGTGGATATGGGTATGGGAATCAATATAGAGGAGTAAGTGGGTATGGAGGATATAGTTCCTATGGTGGTTATAATCCATATTCCAATTACAATAATTATGGAACATTTGGTGGCCATAGTGGTGATGTTGAAAGTAGGTAAGTCACAACTATAAAAGTGTTACAATAGCGGATTCATCTTTTGGTTATATTACTCGCAACATTTAAACTCTTCAAAGACATTAAAGTTGTAAAGTATTTGTCATACGAAATATGTTTTTTTCACAGATTTACTCAGTACGTCGAAGAAAACACTAGACCAACCTTTCAGCTAATAGAAACTATTCTTCAGACATTTTCTTCAATGACAATGCTCTTGGAATCTACTTATTTTACTTTGACAAATTCATTTAGAGCAATTTTAAGTGTCGCAGAAAATGTTGGAAAGTTACGTTCTACTATAGGACAGCTATTTAATACTCTTGCACTGATTAAATTTCTCAAATGGTTGTACAGAAAAATTACACGCAATGCTGGTAAGATTTAAAAAAATTACTTATATAAATTTATGATGTTTGATTAAGCGAATGCGAAGCATTCAAATACTTTCATATATAAGTGTATGTATAAATTATGAAATTTCCGTCCGAAACATATTAAAATATTCTCTAATTAAATGTTTTCTTTTTTAGGTTTCCAAAGTGAAGGTTCCATTAATGAAGAATTATGGGAGAAATCGGTAGTAAAAGTTGGAAGTGATAGTGTTAATAATTCTCCTTTTTGGTCTGGATTTCTATTATTTAGCTTGTTTTTTGTAGTACCTTATATGATTCATAAAATCTCAAATAACATAAAACATTTTAAAGCGAAAGGTACAACGATTGGAAATATATTAAAATAATTATATACAAATATTTATGTTACCATTGTAAAATGGTAACTTTATAACCATGTATATATTTTAGGAAAGGATCCAAAGGAATGGTCTCGATGCGAAGAACCATTATATACTGCAGTAGTTCTGTATGACTTTGTTGCAGCAAACAGCGAAGAACTAAATGTGAAAGTTGGTCAAAAGGTTTATCTCGCGCCCAAATCCCTTCAACCAAAAAATTTGCCAGGATGGTGTAAAGTTACTGATGACGTAAACGTTGGTCTCATTCCCTATAATTATATTAGGGTCATAGGACAGTTGAAAAAAAAGGAAGAAACTACTAAAGTAACTGCTCAAAACGTAGAGAGTTCTTCTCCAAATGACAACCATTATAGACAGAAGAAAGAGGACTCGGAAATTTTAAGAACTGATAAAAATTTTGCGGATGAAGCGTAAGCACTATTTATTAATTTTCCATGTAATATTGAATATTTTGCAACGTTAATCGATAAAAACTATACTCCATGAAATTTCTTATTTCTTCGAATATTGTATCAGTCGATAACTTAGTTTGAAAGATACCAAAATTGCCTTCAAATATACATCATAAGTAAGTCTGGATTAACGTTAATAAAAAAAAAAGTTTGACATGAACTTCACTTTTTAAAATTCATTTCAAGAATTTAGGATTTAAAGGATAAAGATATAATACCGATATCAAAGTTGGGGAAAGTGGGAAAAGTAACAAACAACTAACGAAGCGTTCTGATTTTAAAACGATTAAGGTTTAATTAAATCGAAATTTTATGCTTGCTTATTTTTAAGCAAGATCGAATGACCGATTTTTCGAAGGGTTTGGTAGATGAGACTTTTAGTGTTACATGCAGTACGTATATGTATACTGCAGATCGTAATACATCATTTTAATGGTAATAAATTGTCAATGTATTGTATTATTAAATTTGTACACAGTTTTCTACTTTAATCTTAATTTTTGTTTATAATAAATTAAATATTTAAATGGATATTGTTAAGTTTGTTCCTTTTCAGAAATTCAACATTCATTTTTAACAAGTTAATTTAGACTCTGACTCGGGTTCATACTTTCATTCTAAAACTACGCTTACTAAATTAGCTTATTTATTGAAAAATTATAAAAATAAAGTTCATCAAAGTGAAAGGAAATTTTTTTTAAAGGATTTTTAAAAAAGTACAAACATCTTCACATAAAATACTTTATAGATATACGTATATTATATTTATATATTTTTATACGTTGCGCGTACTTGCACGCTCATATTTATATAATTTACAATTTCACTTTCTCTCTCTTTTTAACAATTTCAATAACAAATTCTACATTCTACACAGCGAATTCTGCAATCAGTTTAGCATTCTAAAGAAGGGAATGTTTTGTTAGGGAGGAAAACAGAATGGAACGAAGGGAAAAGAGAAAATGAGAAAGGAATTTTTGTTTAATCGGTGAACTTGCGATTGGGGTTGCCTCCAAAGAGAGCTCCGCGTATTTTCGGTACTAATAGTTGTGCTATTAATTCTAATCTCGTTTCCAAAGCGTTGCTGACTTTTATGCGTCCTAAAAAAAGAATTGATATGCGCCGTTTAATTTATATTCAATAGAAGGTGCATCACTTTTTCAAATAATTAATAAGTGGTAATGTAATCGTGATAAAAAATATAAATTGTTATTGTAGTAAATGCATACCTCTTCCTGCAAATAAGTCAACGCCGCCACAACTGTTAGGAGGAAGGAAATTGTCTTGATCGATTTTAATTATGATATCCTTATTAGTTAATTGTTTATATGTATCTTGAACGGAATCAACAAGGGCTTCTACTAAAGGAAGATCTACTTGACGAACACGAACAGTAGCTTGGCCTTCCGTCAACTGCAAATTAAAAGTGCATTTGTTTTATGAGAAATACAATAAATTAAATAATGTTGATTTAGGTAAGCACATACCTGACACAAGCCTTGCAAAATTAATAATTTCAAAATTTCTCTATACTGTACAGAATCTCGTGTTACTTCTCCTAATTTCATTCTAGCTTCATCAAGTACATTGCGCACATGGTCTTCTCTGACCTTCAGGACTTTTAAGCGAGCCTGATTTAACATATTTGACGATTGACTATACATAAGAAAATTTCAATTAATCCTTCAATAACCAATCAATGCATATAATTATGATATTATATATTGTGTCGTACATTTTCTTTTGAAGTTCAACTTGTTTCTCTTTCTTCTCATAGTATTCCATGATTTTAAGCCTTTGCTGCTGAACCAAGCGACCTTTTTCGATATTAAATTCTTCTTCCGCTTTAGCATCTATTTCCTCTGCCTTTTCATTGGCCTCTTGTTCAATAAAGGCCATCATATGTTTAATCTGAAGAGACAAGATTGATATAATATTGTCATGATCTAAGAACAAGCTATAAGCTTGCATTGAAAAATTTCACATCTTTTTCATTGGAATTTAAAATTTCTGAAATGATCTTTTATCATAAATAATGAGAAATTTTACAAGAAACAATGCCAAAACAAGTGTTTTGCAAAAACAACAATATATAGAATAGAATGCAAAAATAGCTTAAAATCAATACTCTACAGTAGTTTGCAAATAGTCAATTTTAGTAGTTTTAGTACCTGTTTTTGTACATCCGCATCGCTCAGTGCCATTTTGAAGCTTTAGAAGTTGTTGATTCTTTTTAATAAAGATTTTTAAAATTATTTTCGGAGTCTGTAACGTTTGAATCCAATTTTTCGAAGAGTCAACGCCTACTAACGAAAAGGTCTTCTGTTAATGACGATCATATGACACGAATTGTGCGTTCGTAAAAACGATCTACCAGATTGATATATATAAGATGTATGCGTTCGTGAAGTACACAAAGATTTACTTTCTACCCATTGTTTCATAAAAAATATCTAAATTACAATATTTACACGGTAAATATACAGTTATTTATATAAAAGCATCGTAAATATAATGCGCGTGTATAATGTACTTATTTATGCGCATTAATTTATTTATCAGTTTATTTAAAAAACAGTAAATTTGCGAAATTGTATTCCGTACGAAACTTAAAACTAGATTAGCGTGTGGAACCAACGTGTACGATAAAAAAGATCCCACTTTATTGTGACATTTCAGTGCATTTGAAAAGTCTGATTAACTAGCTCGTCTTCAGCGTGTGTGTGTCGGTGGTTGCATTTCATACTTTTATAAGAAAACACTGCTCTCGATCAGAAGTTTGTGGTCCTTTAACAAATTAATATAATTTTACTAGCTTAGAAAGATAACATATAACGTGGTAATTGTCAAACAAGTTAGCTGTCAAATAAATTTCTAGAAGGTAATGTTTCGTTGACTCTAACCTAAAACGACACGCGCTACCTTTCATCATTTGATTTTTGAAAAGCATCAACAGACTGTTTTTTTTATCGGTACGATATTCAGTTTTCGTTCGTAATTGCTTCAACTGTTTTCGATAATCGATTTCTATCAATCTTTCTATAGTTTTCTTGAAAAGATTAATCTTTGTTTATTGTACGTTGAATTTTGGGGTTATGTTATCGGTTGATTTTATATTTAATGAGCAGTTATTTTAACAATGTCAAGATCACGAACAAGCATTAAAATCTGTCGTCTGGAAAGTTCTTTCCTTGACTGAAAATTATGTATGTTACGTCTCCTTTTGTAAAAAAATCATGCCAAAAATTTAAGGATTTACTTTTGTTGTACTATCTGTAATTGCTTTAATCATAACTATCTGCTTTCATTTTAATTCGATTTTAATGTCATTTAGTGTTATTTAGTTTCAATTTTATTTTGACAAAAATATTAATGACGAAATATGTTAAAAACGATTGATGATCGATAGTCAGAATGAAAAGAATAAATAATAAATTATTTTATGGCACTGTTGTAGTTGAAGTTCCATATTTCTTTTGCCTGTTTAAGTAATTTTTCTAGTCTTTATCTTTTAACTAGCATATAATTTTGTGCGTATTTATTATAATAATATATATACGTTTATTTAATTAAAATATTCTATGATTCATATAAAAAGAAAAACATATGTTACTTTACTATATTGTCAAATCATTATTTTTAGTAATTGTAATAGGTAATAGCATGTACTAACCACGGTTAATTTCATATTCACAGGACAATAGCAAAGAAGATGTCAAATACAGAATCTTTAGCAGAGGTAACAGATGTAGTTCAAATTCTTCGACAATGGGAAGAGGAACATTCGTCACCTACGTATGATCCAATTCCAACACTTCAAAGACTGGCAGAAATCATAGAATTAGAAACTGAAAATTATTTGAAAATGGATCCAGATCCGTTTGATGAAAGACATCCATCACGCACAGATCCAGAGTGCAATTTTGGGCATATATTAAAGGTTCTGTTTAGAAAGGATAATTTTATGACCAAGGTAAAGAGAATTAACGTATAATATTTAACATGCTCCGTGCTATTACAAGATACAAAATAATTAAATAATTTGTTATATTTTCAACAGCTTATAAATGATTATTTGAGAGATACTTACTGGTCTCGCGCGGGCGTTACGGGTCGCGATGTTAGAAAGCTCAATATTGCAGCCTGCCGTCTTATGCTTGATATACTTCCTGGTTTAGAAACTTCCGCAGTATTTCAGCCAGATATGGAAGGGCTTATCCATCGTCTTTTTTCTTGGGCAGAGAAAAGTGTCGAACCCTTGCAAAGTTATGCAACCGGACTTGTAGCTGCAGCAATGGAGGTTCAGGAAATTGCGACAGGTATAGTTTTAAATTCATTTTTAATTTACTTTTTATTAGAAACGGTTGGTTTCGTTAAAACTTTCCTCGTTTAACTTGTTTTATTTAATTATCTGATAATTGTACGGCAGGATTTAGAGAACAAAACGGAAAAGTGGTTCCTCTGATGTTAAAGAGGCTTCATAATTTACAAGAGAAGGCACAGGAGGATAGACAACTCGCAGTTAATAACAGACCGTTTGCACATTTTGGCCAAGATAAAAATAGCGGAGGGGATGGTGAAAACAAAGGTGTTCCTGGTAAAAGAAAAGTAAGAGTAACGTACTTTAATATTTTTTTCTAAGTTAATTCCGATGTATTGGTAAGTAAACGTCATAAAGCGTAATCATTAAAATTCTGCTTAAAGGTGCGAGAAAAACGAAAAGAGAACGGTGTTCTTAAAAGCCCTAATCGCAGTAATTATTTCTCCGAGGATGAAGAAGATTGTCTTCAGTCCTCCGAGGATTCTGCACCGTTACCTAAGAAAAAGAAAAACAATACAGAATGCGAGACTCCTGTAAAGAATGATATCATTTATCCAGAAATGTCGCCGCCTTTGTCCGTGCCAAAGAATTTTAATTCTAACAATCAAGTGACACCGTCTAAGACGCAAAACACTCACGGCAGACCTGGTAATGTTTCTTCTGTACGATGCAATCTGCAAAAAAACTCTGCATCTTCGTTGCAGAGTTCAAGTACTCCCTCTCCATTATTAGAAGGAAATTCAAACTCATCATGGGCAGAAATGGAATCGTATGTTATTGGAAATGTGCAAATACATCCTCCAACACTGGCCACGAGACAAATGCTGATACTGAGGTAATGTCGAAAATAACAATACTTGGAAAATAATATTTATTTAATTGTAATCTTGATCTATTGTTAGTATTTTGAAATCGTTAACAAGAAATTTAAAAAATTGTTTTCGTCGTATCACAGGTATCTTACACCAATGGGTGAATATCAAGAATTCTTAGGTCATGTTTTTGAACAAAATGCTCTGGAACTAATTCTCAAGTACATTAATGTTAGAGAAACCAAGGACAGTCGCCTAGCTTTCGAAGCTTTGAAATATTTAGCCTCTCTTCTCTGCCATAAGAAATTCTCCATTGAGTTCCTCAATGTTGGAGGTTTACAGAAACTATTAGATGTTCCGAGACCCAGCGTTGCGGCTACGGGAGTTTCTATTTGTTTATACTACCTAGCATACTGCGAGGATGCAATGGAAAGGGTGTGTCTACTACCAAAGCATGTTATTTCGGATCTTGTTACTTACGCACTGTGGCTTTTGGAACGGAGTCATGATTCCGGAAGATGCCACGCAACGATGTTCTTTGGATTTTCATTTCCATTCAAGGTGATACTAGAAGAATTTGATGCACAGGACGGATTGCGAAAACTTTTCAATGTGGTAAATATTGTTTTCATATTAAACGTTACAGTAGTCTGTTCTATTAATACATACGTATGATAACTAATTTAAAATATGCTTCGAAATGTTTTGTTTATTTGTATAACGTTTTATTGCGAGCCTCGATAAGTTTCTGTGTTACTGTTTAATTTCAAATTTATCGTTTCTAAGATATCCACATTACCGATATTAAACATAGAAGAAGAGCCAGCATTAAATGATGATGAAGAGTGTGCTTCTAGACAAATAGTTAGACATGTTGCAGTAGCTTTGAAACGATACATGGAAGCTCATTTACATTTGAAAGCAGAGCAATTACAAAGAGCAGAAAATGTTAGAGCAGAACGCGATACGTTGCAGCCGTCGTTACCGCCTTATAAAGCTTGTAAACTAAGCAGCGAGGAAGTACAAGCGAAGGTAATAACAAGAATTATTCTTTACGACTATAATACATACTTGCGTATTAATATATTTCAATGTGGGTAAGTCTGTTAATTTTATTCCCGCTCATTACATTATTTTTTCATCAAAGGTGGAAATTCTTCAAAAATTAATGTCTGTAAGAGCAGTATGGCCGCCGGTAGAAGAGTTACATCGTCTCGGAGGCATAACGCTTCTTTTACAGATTATAGCTTTCGCTAGAGAATGGAATTATAGCGGTCGTGTTCACACAACTTCCAGCGCGGAAACAGTCCGCTCGTGTCTCGATGTAATAGCCATTTGTTCTGTTGTGCCAAAAGTGATGCTTTTACTCTGCGAAAGAGTCGACATGCCGGATATGTCAATGACGATGGCAATTAATTTACTTTTGGCCGCGGCAGAGTGTGAAATTATTGCCGATGCTGACGTACAGAGAGCCGCGCTAAGGGCCGTCATTAATTGTGTCTGCGCTCCGATAAATAGGGTAAACCATTTTTTAAATTAAATAGTTGCTCGAATAATAGAATATAAATTCAGTCACTTTTTATTTGTATCGTTTTCCGCGTTACAGATCGGCGGTAACGTAGCAAGATATTCGGTAACAGGCTCTGCCAAGAAAAAAGCTAATATTAATAATAGCGAAGAATTAATACAAAAGATTTGGGAAAGCGTAAGATCTAATAACGGAATAATGGTATGTACAACGATTATATCAATGACCATGTACAACAAAATTTTTATCAAGGAAACGGTAAACAGTTTATTTTGTTTTACAGGTTTTATTACAATTAATGATGGTTAAAACTCCAATCACAGATGCAGATAGCATAAGAGCACTAGCCTGCCGTGCATTGGCAGGTTTGGCGCGCAGTGAAAAAGTCAGACAAATAATTAGCAAACTTCCAATGTTTACCGACGGGCAAATTCAAGCTCTTATGAAAGATCCGATACTCCAAGAAAAGAGACAGGAGCATGTCACATTTCAGAAGTACGCTTTAGAGTTAATGGAAAGAGTTTCTGGCAAAGCAAAGCCTACTGGAGCAGAATATGAAATCTCTTTGGTTAGCCTGCACAGGGTAAGTTATTTTTAAAAGTATTATTTAATTTACTGTCTCGTACATTTGTTTCTTTTTCTGGTTATCCCATGTTTCCCTTTTTATAGGCAAATGTAGTAGCACAGACAAGGATACAATACAACGAACAGCAGTTAAATCAATTAATATACCAACATTTAATGGCAAAAGGCTTAACCGAAACAGCAGCAACTCTTCATAGAGAAGGGAGTCTAGATTCTTCTGCAATAATGAAACCAGTATGTACATATCAACCGTTTACGTATCGCAGCCCTGCAACTACTGGAGTAAGTTATATCAATAAAGTTTATGCAGTTAGTAATAAAATGATAATTTATTAAGAATACGTGTTACAAACTTTTCTTTCAAGACAAGAAACGGATTTTCTCCTGGAGCACCAGTTAATTTATACAACACAAGATGTAACCAAAGAGAAGTGTCTTCTCGGAACAACACTACACCTACTTCATCGTCTAGATATATATCTCATTCGACTACTGGTTCAAGTTCATCGTCTCTAACCTGTGGGAATACTATACGCCTGAAACTTTCTGACTGTCTTAATCAAAATGTTATTTCGAATAGCACAAATCAACCGATTAAACTACAAATTAACCAAAAGTGAGTTATAATTTTATTAGACTTCTCTCTAATTAGTTGCTCGTTTAGTATGCGATCGTTAAAGGTAGCTTTTAAACAATACGATGAAATAATTTCAGAAAAAGTCAAGCGGATAAGCAGCTACTAGTCAATTCTATAAACTGTCTGTCAACTATGCAACCGACTTCATGTAGATCGCTACAGAAGCAAATTTCGAGAGACCCTGGGGGTGGCGGAGGACCTGGTGTAGCTACGTCCAACCCATCCACCATAACATTGGATTCTATTATTACAGAATATTTAACTAATCAACACGCACTGTGCAAAAATCCCATGGTCACTTGTCCGCAATTTAATCTCTTCGAGTAAGCATTCTACAAGCTTATTACGTATATCTGCGTATTAAATTTCATATTTATTTATTATATTGCTACAAAATATTTCGTTCGCAGGCCACACAAATGCCCAGATCCCTGTACAAAGAATTCAACGCCGATAAACGTAACAGTAAGACTGTCCAGAAAAGAATTGGGAATGGATGGTAGAAGATTGGACAGAAGACACATTTATAGCCGATTTTGTCCTGTAAAAACTTTCCGGCCTACGGACGTTGGGACCTTCACCTGTTGTATTTTTTCGGTAACGTTAATTTTCACTATTATTATTTAGAAGAGATAAATTCAGTGCTTGAATATGTTATTTTTACTAATATGTTGATTTTAATATTTTTGCAGCCTTGTCAGCAGTATTTAATGCTGGGTACTTACGCGGGCGACGTAAAAATGTTCAATGCACACACAGGAATGGAGGAAGCAACATATCCATGTCACGAGTCCTACGTTTATCACATGGAATCTAACCAACGTGGAAATTTATTGTTAACTTCCACCCCATGGAGAAGCCCCATGTCTGCACTTTGGAGTATAGGAATATTCTTCGATATGAAATTATCTTTAGAGAACGAGGATTATGTCGAATTTGGAAAGCTTCAAGATAGAATTATTGGAACTCAGGCTGAAAGTGCTACAGTATGTATTTTTTCTTACGAATCTGTCTGTGTAAACTGAACGCTTACATTTAAAATAATTCATATTTCCAGATTTATGATATAGCTACAGGAAAATTAATAACCACATTTTCTCCATCAATCTCCAACCAGTACACGAAAAATCGTGCTACTTCCAGTATGAACGATGAATTGGTTTTAAGCGACGGAATTCTCTGGGACGTAAATTCAGGAAAAGAAATTCACAAATTTGATAAATTAAATCAAACCCTTAATGGAGTTTTCCATCCGAATGGTATTAATATAAATCATATCATTATTCTGTTAACAATAACACTGCAGTTCGGTTGTTTATACATTTAATATAAAATCATTTTGCAACAGGTACAGAGGTAGTGTCGAATACAGAAGTTTGGGATTTAAGAACCTTCCATTTATTGAAGACAGTGCCAACGCTCGATCAAATGGAAGTCATTTTCTCTCCTATTAATAATATTATATACGCTGTGTCTTTGGATCAAGAAAACGGAAACGAATCGCATTGTGTTACATCATTTAAGACATTAGATGCTTTGGATTATAGTAATATTGGTAAATAAAATTGAATTTTTGGATTTCAATAAACAATAATAAAATCAATAACAAAAGTAATAATAATATTTAACATAATTTTAATTGCAGCAACTTGTGATGTCAAAAGAGGAATTTATGGGCTGGCTTGTAATAAATTCGATACGCAAATAGCAATTGTCGAAAATCAGGGAGAATTTCATAGCATCCAAGAATCATGTGTCAGGCTGTACGATGTTGGTAGAAGAAGAGACGATGAGGATGAAGCTGACGAAGACGATGATGAAGAAGACCTTGATGCAAGTGATGATGATGGTTCGAATTCTGGTTCTGATGATAATAATGCTGATGGTATGTATTTAATACTTTCAATTCAGTTCGAATAATCCTTTATATTGATTTCTTTAATTATTTTAAACGTTAAATTGTAATTTATATTTTTTTAAATTCATTTTAAGACTGAAACAGAATTCGTTTTGTCAATAGATGCGGATAATGCGGACGCAGTGGCGGAAGAGAATGGCGATGAAAATGACCGAAATGATCGTGAAAATAATGACGACGACGACGACGACGACGATGAAAATGTGCTTGACGGCGACGATTCTGGAGACGATATGACCGATTATAGTCGGTCATCAGAATTTCCAGATTATTCTCTGTCCGATGTCGATGATCTCGAAATCTATTTTCCATAACTGTCCTTCAAATAGGAAGAAACAAACAAAGAATTTTTATTTCAAACAGTTCCAATGCACTCTAAAAAAGAAATACATTTCATTTTCGGCCAATCGTGAGGCTGAAGGATGTTCAATCGTAATATATTCATTCCTAATTGGCGAAATGAAAATTTACATTTAAAATTCTGGAGATAGTATTGTAACACGATCATCCAACTAGTAGCAAGTCTCATTATTTTAGCTTATATGTTTGTTAACATTAAAACAATGAAATTAATTAAACAATTGGTTAATTACACCTTTTCATTGTAGTTAGATTTATTTGAATGAATTTGTAGATTTTTATTTGTAAGCTTTAGGAAAATTATAATCAAAATAATTTAATAAATGCAAATTTGGCGGCTGGAATTTAAATTTCGTTTCACCAATATTGCAATATTCTAAAACCTTCAGTCGATCGACAAAAGTGTCTCGTCTAGATTGGCCAATGAAATAATTGAAATCGATTTACTCAGCAATCATTGAAATACCGGATAATACAAAAATCAATTTATCGCTGATGCAATTTTTAATATCGATCGAATGTTTCGTCGATTGATTTACATGTATATATTATTATTTAAGGTATTTGTTGTTCAATGAGTATGTATCGCATATTTACTACTGGTTAATTATAAGAGATTTTCTTCATCTTCGAGATAATCGTAAAAATTTGTATCAATTGAGAGATCATGTTAAAAAAACTCCCTGGAATCGAAATCTCAATTATTTTGAGACCTTGATTAAACCAGTAAATTTTCAAAATTCTTTGAAGGTATACTTAAGTATATAAAATAAAGTATGCGAGTGAGAGAGTGAGAGAGAGAGAGAAACGTATGTCGTGTGTGTGTGTCAGAGAGAGAGAAAGAGAGAGATTGTAAAAAGTTGATTTAATCCTGTCATTTGTTATCATTAAAGATTCGTGAATTTGTATAGACGTGCTCTAATAAATAGAACCGCGCTTTATGAAGAATTTTCGTGAGCCTATCAACAATATTTTCGTTTCTTAATATTACTAAAATAGTTTTACTTTTCAATTTCGTATTTGTCAAAAATGACTGTAATCGACCCCCCACAAACGATAATAATTTTTTCCAGAGTGATTTGAAAAATTTAGGCACCTACCCCCTGTCGATTTTCCTTAAAAATTTGTTTTTGATTTTTAGTAATTTTATTTGACGCTCTACAGAAAAGTTGTCTGACACTTTTTTGTAGGCGTTCATGAGCTCTACTTCAGAGAAAAGTTTTATTGAAATATATTCGCTATTGTAGGTGTTATGGTCGTTTGAAAATTGCGTTTTTTAAATGCGCTCTACGTATAGTCAACTCACATGTATTTACGTACACACTACAGCTACTGCCCACGAATACTAACTCAGTGAATAGTTTCTCAACTGACCGCCGTCCATGAGAAGAGGGCGCTAAAATCACCTCCGGATTTTCAAGCGGTGTAGCAATTGTTCGAACTGATGTACAAAAAGGCCGCGTATTAACAAAAATTAACGAATAGAAAGTGAGTAATACTACAGATACGGAGATTATACATATGTGTCTTGATAAATCTAAAAATTGATTCATAACAGTGTAATCGGACGGCAGACCAGTGTCCAGAGTAAGTTCATCCCTCCATTTACGCGCACCAATCCGCAGCCATGCATACGTGAGTTTTGGCGGTTTGGACAGCTTCGGGAATTCAAGAAAGAAGGCGAATGTGAGTCTTTTTTCCTTGCTTTCGAAACAACTGAAGTCCGATTTGTGTCAACCTGCATACGATCGTGAGTCTCAACTGCCCAGGCATTTTTATTTTCCAACCCATGTATACCTATTACCCATAAACTCATCCCTCCATTTACGCGCACCAATCCGCAGCCATACGTGAGTTTTGGCGGTTTGGACAGCTTCGGGAATTCAAGAAAGAAGGCGAATGTGAGTCTTTTTTCCTTGCCTTCGAAACAACTGAAATCCGATTTGTGTCAACCTGCATACGATCGTGAGTCTCAACTGCCCAGGCACTTTTATTTTCCAACCCATGTATACCTATTACCCATAAACGAGGTAAAAAATAGACCTATCTCTATCTAACGATTTGTGTCAACCTCCATACGATCGTGAGTCTCAACTGCCCAGGCATTTTTATTTTCCAACCCATGTATACCTATTACCCATAAACGAGGTAAAAAATAGACCTATCTCTATCTAACGCTACCGCTGTACCATAAGTGTCTTGTAACATGAGATTACACTCTTCCAAAGTGGAACAGAATGTTAAAAAGATCATGCATAAAATTGTAAGGCGATCCTCGCAACAAGGCTTTAATCTTCGTAATGGTTTTAATAGGTCGATGATCAACAATGACCAGCTTATGGTCACTGGTGGTCAACAGTGAGGTGGACGTCAAGGTCAGCGGTCCAGCGAAGATTCAGAAATGGTCAAGAGGTGAAACCGATCGAAATAGTTCCTTTGTACACGAGATAGTCTTAAGTGGTAACTTCAGCATTGGCTCTGACTGGTCTCCCCACCCTTTCACCACCTTGGACATATAAGCAGGGTTACTGCGAAGAATTGTTCAGTCGCGTCGCGTATTCGGGAGTGGGCAAATAGCCAAAAGCGAACCGGGGACCGCTGCTGACATCTGATGGCCGCTGCTGACCACCACTGGCCAGCGCTGACCACTACTGACCACTACTGCCCACTACTGACCAGTCGCGGCTAGCGTTCCTGCCACTACTGTCCACTACTGACCAGTGCTGACCACTACTGACCAGTGCCGGACGGTGATGACCAACGGTAAGAACTGTTCAAAACTTCTCTCCCCTCTTCTATTCTATCGTTTGATACCAATTTCGCTTAAATGAACTGATTTTGCCCTGCTTGCCTAACCGACGTTGCTATAATATGAATATTTTCTTACTTTACAGCTGGCCCAGTGGTAACTATCCTGTGTACTGACAACAAGTAGTAAGTCCACTCCACTCATTTGTATTTTATTATTTTTATTTGTTTGTTCGATGTGAATTCAACTGTATTTATCTATCTGATTTGTATTTGGTTATTATGAATGTCCTTTCTACTTCTACATTGTTTGTCGAATTTATGTTATTGCTTTGATATGTATAATATTGCAGGATATAATAATGTAATATTGTTTTCCATCGTATACTATGTTTGTTTCTATACAATTTCATGGATTTCGATTTTTACGTTCTTGCTCGAATTCTCGTAATATTCTGCGGAGGTACTTTGTTCGATTCTTTCGTTTCGTTTGATCGTTTGGTGTTGATTCAATTTGGTGTCTATACAATTTCATGGATTTCGATTTTTACGTTCATGCTCGAATTCTCGTAATATTCTGCGGAGGTACTTTGTTCGATTCTTTCGTTTCGTTTGATCGTTTGGTGTTGATTCAATTTGGTGTCTCGATCCAAGTTTCTTTCGTTACAACGAATGGTCGTTTTGATCTGTATAACATTGTGTCGATTCACATATCCATATTTGCTTCGATGGCTCTGATCAATACAAGAATGTTCGTTTTGATATTTACAACATTGCGTCGGTGTACATATCCATATTCGTTTCGACGACTCTGATGAATACAAGATTCTTAGTTTTACCTTTCAGCTTAAATTCTTGTAACATGTTGCTAATATAGTTTCTTCAATTTCCTTTAGCTAGGTGATAGATCATTGTATATTAAATTTCCTACCATATCTCACTAATATAAGTATTAGTTTTGATTTCAGTTCAAAATTTGGATTAATCGGAAGGACATCGAGGGAGAACGCCACAATCGTCGGGGGACTTTTAATTCCAAGTTGGATTAGTAAGCTTCGTCGCGAGTATTAAAATTAACGTCGAAGCCTTCTTTATTATACGTGTATCCGCGCTCTACCAAGCAATTATTGAATAAGTAGCTTCTCCTTCGCTCGTTCCCTCGTTCTAGCTTCGATCACATCATCGATTGAATGGTGTGATCGGCAGTGTGGCTGGTCCGATAGATCAAATCGCCTTCCCATGTGCTAGATCCAGGGAAAATGGTACTCTGCTGGAAGGTGTGGAGATTCCGTATCCTGCGGAATCGCATACCTTCCAGCGGAAGTCGACACTGAAACAGAGGTACTCTCTCTTTGTCAGACAACTTGAGTCGGGTCCTTCGGGCTCCCGGCGGGTTGCGTTGGAGCAATGGAGACCTTAGATTCGGAGTCGCAGCCGTCCGTTATCCCATAGAGATCTAGTTAACAAGGGCAGTAGGTTCGATCCTCGGATCCGCTGCACGGTTCAGAGTCGCGTCGCGTCGCATCGCGTCCCTCGAATTAACTTCATCCCCCTTTTCAATCAAATAATTGCTTGGTACAACTGAATCAGAACATCCAAGGAACCTCGTTTCCTTCTATCGTCCGAATTTTAGCTTCAACTTGACCAGACTCGAGCTTCGACGTTAATTTTAAGTCCCTGTTGCATGCATCTCCCAATATTGCCAAGTAATTATTTAACAAGTAGCTTCTCTCGACTCGTTCTCTGGTTCCTAGCTTCGATCACCGCTGTTTCATCGATCGAAACATGTGATCGGCCGTCCAGTTTGTCCGAAAGATCTAGTCGCCTACCAATGATAGATCGATTGCTAGAAATAGGAATCGATCTACCAAGGGCAGTGTTGATTCGATCCGAAGATCTGCCGCACGGTTCAGCATCGCGTCGCGTCGCGTATCCCATTATTTAGCTTCACCCCTTTTTAAACGAAATAATTACTTGGTAGCTAAGCTTAGCTAAAAGGGAGATCGATGGAACTTTGATTCCATCTATCTCCCTTCGGGTCTCCGCTCGCAGCAACCTCCACGTGGTGAGACCTGGGTAATATTATTTAACGTTTAATTAATAATCGTATTGCTCTTACCTGGGTAATGCAATTATTAATTAAAAATCTAGATAGTATTAGCAAATTGGCTGCGATTCGCTTCGCGTAGTTTCTCATCAATGTAGCTTATTGAAATCCAAATCTATCGATAGTCTTTTCCTATTTCATTTGCAAACTATTTCAACAAAATTATCAAGTTTTATTTGGTATAAGCGAGCAAAACGAAAGAGACAGATCTATTTGATGCAACAGATTTAATTTTCATTTCGTATGGATCTTTAAAAGCTTATTGAAATTGAAATCTATCAGCATTTCGATTGTCTTTTCCCCATTTCATTTGCAAACTATTTCAACAAAATTATCAAGGTTTATTTGGTACAAGCGAGCAAAACGAAAGAGCCATATCATTTAGTTAATACAACAGATTTAATTTTCATTTCGTGTGGATGTTTAGAAGCTTATTGAAATTCACATCTATCAGTATTTTGATAGTCTTTTCCCATTTAATTTGCAAACTATTTTAACAAAATTATCAAGTTTGTTTGGTACAAGCGAGCAAAACGAAAGAGACAGATCTAGTTGATGCAACAGATTTAATTTTCATTTCGTAGGGATCTTTAAAAGCTTATTGAAATTCAATTCTATCAGCATTTCGATAGTCTCTTCCTATTTCATTTGTAAACTATTTTAACAAACTTATCAAGTTTATTTGGTACAAGCGAGCAAAACGAAAGAGACAGATCTAGTTGATGCAACAGATTTAATTTTCATTTCGTGTGGATGTTTAAAAGAATACGCGTGGGTAAATGTTTATTAATTTATTTATTTCTCCATACGTTTCCAACATGGCTACAGGCAAACAACGTTATACAGACAGTCGCGAGATTGTCAAATTCTTCAAGCTTTTTTAACGTTTTACACATTCGGACGACAGTCGAATCGCGAATATTGTCAACAATCACAGATACTTTTGTTCTCTGTTTGTCACGCGTTTCCGGCTCGGGGAAACAGCTTTAAAAGTAGGCCTGCTCTCTAACATCAGACGAGAAGCGAAATATAATATGCACAGAGCATACCGCCTAATAGTTTTCACGATTTTTCAAGTACTCTTTACATACACGATAAAGAAATGTTTTAAAAGAAAGATCAGCTTTCCTTGAAAACGTTTCTTCGTGCTTGAATACTCGAGAAATCTCGAAACTTATTACGCAGGACGTTCTGTATACATCGCGTTTCGACAATATATTTACAAAAGAACGAAGAGCAACGTGTATGACAAAAATATCGTTCGAAAATGTACAATTAAAACGAGTGGAAGACCAATGGACTCGTTGGTACAACCGTTCGATTGCAATTTTCGCTTTATCCTTTGCCTTTTCGTACGAATAATTTGAAAAAAAATGAAGGAACGTCTCGATAGTTATCGAAATGAATAAAACGCAGCTCGAAAGAGAAAAGGACAAAGCGTAGATCGAATGTTCACGAATTATACTTTCCTCTGCTGTCAATTATGCGTTGTTCAACAAAATACTATCAACTAACACAGATATGTTTGAACAATACATTGCTGATACAGCAAAATTCGTTAAACGAGATCGTAACTTAATCTGCGATTTTCCATTATTTTTATTTCTACGAGTTAATACTTTTTTCATATATTTTCTTTGATTTTCTCCGGCGAGAAGAAACATTCCCCGCAGATTATTTTACAATACAACAGTTGAATTCGGATTAATGCATTAACACTATATCATTTCAACGTTACATGAAAATATGGTAACTATAGTTCTCGTAACATTTGAACTTGGTAGAATTGTACTTCTGTTTCTATTGTCCAACTATCGTTTGCGAATAATACATTTTTACGTTGTATACGGAAATATAATATATTATTTATATATATATCGTTCGATTCTCAGAAAATATATACACATATCCATGCACGTGTCTATACGTAAACATTTAAATCGTTTATCAACTTTGTCTCGTCTCGTAACAATTAATTGACTAACATTCTCATCATGTTTTCGCGATGATCAACCGTCGAGAGACTAGAATAATAGAAAATCACGTCTGTTTTTTGGCGTTCGGGAAGTGAGAACTCGAGTCCAATAAGTCCCATAATTATTTCTCTCGAAATAAAATTCCGTTTAATAAAACACTATCGAATGATGGAATTTTCTAAATAATCTCGTCCACTCTAACGTGCTTATACTCGTACAAACTTATAACGTAAAGTAATACTTGGAAAAGAAAAAGAAAAATGTAATATTAATAATACAAAATAATAAATGCTTCGGTGACAGAGAAAAACAATACTCTCGACTGTAATTCGTGATTCTGTTGAAGGCGATTCTTAAAGTATTAATAAAACATTTTTAAAGTCATTTTTAAAGAGTTATCGATAACGAGGAGTCTCGTATCTCGTATTTTTTAAATAAATTTTTTAAACCTCTTTCTCTCGTCAAGACTTGAGCTCTCAATTCCATCGTACAGATTTATATATATTTATAATATTTCTCTCGATGGTTTTGAAACGTCTACGATTATTTCGCGAATGGCCCCTAACTATAGGAATATTTTAATTTACAATAATCACGGAGTGGTACATTTGTGCACGTTCCTGGCACTCGTATACGAAACATACAAATATTGTCCGTCTTATCCACGATCGTTCCTAAAAAATATATATCTAAAATAAAATTTGGGGCTTGTCGAATGATATTGTTTATCATTTGAAAGCAAAGTTTATCAGAATCTCGACGAACAATCTTTTCTCGTAACGCGATAATCGCGCTTTCGAGACACGATAATTACAATCCTGCTCCAACAAAGTGTTTGCATAGTTTAGGCGTTTCCGAAATATGGTCCTGTTATTTCTAATTCTAAAGTTGGCCACGAAAAAACCAATTTTCTACTCTTTGAATCTTTTCGAACTCTGTAGCAACTCCGTAACAAGAAACGAGCTAGAGATCTATAGAATTATTGGTCGTGGAAAACATTCTCTTTCCAACAATAAACGCGTTTGTAAATTAAAACTGGGGGAAGCACGATCTCGTTCTAGCAACTAGGCTTTCTAAATTTCGAGCATCAAAATAATCTAGTTGTTCGCTTAAAAAACGTAATCGTAGCAAGTATAGGTCGATGCTCGGAACGCCTTAAAAATCTATAAATATTTATTATCATAGATATCACCGTTTTCTGTTACCCTAAGTCCATTCTGAGTCTTCTCTCGTGTACTGGCTTTCATTAAAACGTCTATGATTCAGACTCGAGGCATCGAGATGCAAGAATTGCATCGGGAAAAAGTGTCTCCGCGCTGACATTTCGCCAAGTAGCTTCATCAGAGTCGGAGCAGACGATAATACTGATGATGCCAACGGTGAAATAAGAGATCCTGAGCGTGGTTTCTACACGAAATCCTCAGATTACGCGAATACTGCGACCAAGAGTTTTTTTTAGTTCAATTAGAGGCTCCTCGAGTTACGCGCGTTAAGAAAGACTAGCTAGAAAGGCGGAAGATTTATCGTAGATCACATTTGGTCGATCTCTTTCGGCTCAGTGGCCAATCGTGGTTCATCAATTTCATCGGTTTGAGATCCAGAGGCGACAAGTTTAGGTAATCAAAATAGATCTGTAAAGATTCTTATCTAGAAACATACGAAAATAACCTTTTCACCTTTTCCCTAAAATTTCTGCTAAAATGTTATCACTGTTCCAGGCTTCCTGTGCGTCCGTTCGCTCGAAGATATCCTTTCTGCTGTCTTGTCAGGATTAAGGAGTCTATTAGGATCTGAAAATACGTTTTACACCCTGTTCACTGTCGCTTCGGATTCTCGTAAAATTAATTGCTGATGATTATATTCGTCTAAATATTGCAACGCGCAGAAAGAACATTTCTGACGAACGTTTCGCAGCCAGAAGCCTGGAACCGTAACGATTCGTCGTTTATCCCTGATGTATCAGTCCTTCGACTCCCGAAAGCTCGTTTCGAGGACGTTCATCTTCTTCAGTTTCGTAGATCCTCAGCCACGGGCAAGACCGTTTAAAATTTGGCGTTCTGTCTTCGAAGATCGTTGGGAATGATGGTGGTGAGGAATGCACCGAAGGCCAGGGTGACGCAGAGGACGATGTTCGCCCAGAAATCGCCCCACAGGTTCAACAAGTGACCGTAGATGATCGTGAAGGTGATTCCAAACACTTGGCAGACGGCGTTCAGCAGACCAGCGGACGTTCCTTCCGGTTCCGGGTACGTCAGCTCGGCGGCGAACTCGAAACCGACTGGCAAGTAGCCAGTCATGAAGAATCTATTAAAAAATCGCGTGATTTTAATAATTTTATTCGAAGCATCGTTTACAGGGGAAATCTGTTAGCGAGACTTTGAGTATGTATCTCTTTTAATAATTTAATGTTTCGTACTTACCCCAATATACCAGCTGTTATGTAAAGAATGTATATTTGCTTCTCCAGGGTGAACGTGAAGATGATCATGCCGAGGAACGAGAAGAGGTACACCCCCAGAGTGGTCTCTCTGCAAAGTATTTAAAAAAAATACGTAAATATATCGAATATATCCGTCGTGTTGGATTTCTGTGATTACTTACTTGAATTTGTGCGTTTTGTCCAGCACGATACCACACACCACGGAACCCAACATCCCAGCGCAAATGATGGTCAAGCCTATTCTTCCAGCGTCTTTCTCGTGGTGCTGGAAAGCACGAAAAGTGCAAAATTAACGATGATTTGTACACGGATACGCGGAATCAGCGACGGGGGATGAATTCCGTTCAGTTATCCGGGTATTGCTGTAATTCGCACTTACTGGGAAATGCTGAAGAACGATGGTGTTTAGAAGAGTACTGATGGCGTAGAAAATACCGACATTGATCCCATAACTCAGCAAGAGCAACAAGTAGCCAAGGTTAGTGACTAGTTTCTTCACGGACTGGAGGAAATTCTCGGACGATTCCGTTTCCCTTTGCACAGCTTGGGCTGGACTCGGTGGCAACGGTGGTTCTGCTTTGAAAACTATAAGGGAACGAACAATGCACGGTTAACTATTATAAGATTGTTGTAACAAGTAGAGCGTGGATCGTTGCGTTTAAATGCACGTACAGAAAATGATGAGGCACAGAATGATGGTGGAAAAAGCCGCCACGATGTAGAACATGATTTGCAAGCCTCTTCCAACGACGCTAGGATCCTCGCTGCTTTGTACCAACATTGGTGGAAAAAGGAAACCTATGGCTATGCCCAACTGCGAACAATTATGGTTTCGTATTTAAAGTGCGCTCTGAATTAGATAGTAGTATGGTATTCTTTACAATTTTGATAAACAAGAGATCGATAGGATTCTCATTCACACATTTCACCCGAACAATACGAATACGAACGAAATCGTTGACCAGATAGAGAGAGAGAGAGATGCTCAGCGATCACTATTGTTATTTCGAGGAAGAGATCATTATTCTTTTCAGCCCATCACGAACGATTTCATAGAGAGTTCCGCTCTCGAGAGTTCCATGACACTGCGTGGTCAAGAAGGTCAACAATCTGTTGCACGCTCGCGGGCGCGATTATTACCGCTCGAAGTGATTTAAAAGGTGAATATCAATTCGAAATGAATATTTAAATTAACTAGCCGAGCGACAGAATGGTAAATCGTAATTGTAATCTGTATAATAACAGTGTACAGGCTGTTTTTGAAAAGAAAGGAGGGCATGAAACGTTGCTAGCACCTCGTCTGGATCACGGGGGGTCGACGGGGTGCAGTTTAATGGGGCGTACCGTGAAATATGGCCGTTTAATTCGTTGGATGGGGTCTGCTAGATCCCCCCCCTTTATCCCCGCCGCGAAATTAAACGTGGGTGAGCGGTTCCACTCGGTTTCCCACCTAATCACGTAACGGTTTAACTCGCGTACGACCCTGTCTCCATCGAATTAGAATTTTACCCAGCAGGTAGTATCCACTCGAGTTCCACTTATGTATAACCGTTGCCCGTTAAACATGATCGACGGGGATGTACGTCGGGAGATCCATTTACTCGGTCCCGTTGTCGGCAATCGTGCACTGGGACTGTCTTCGCAAATATAGACAACGTTAATCGAACTATATCAGTCACGAACTATATCTTCGACTCTCGATGGGATCTTGATAGAGTCGGGGGGATAAATCTCAAATCTCAATAGGGGTTTAAAATTGCTAAATTCATTTGTTCGATCACATAGAAATTTATTGGTATCGTGTTTAAACAAGTAAAATATGTGAGAGAGGACAGTTTCGTTAAGGTGATCGATCACGGACAGAAAGGGTAAATAAAAATGACACGTAGGAGGCCCTCTGCAAGGAGTAGACTCTTTGAAAAGCTTTGTAGGAGATCACTGACCTGATTTCCGAAAACGCCGATGCTGCAGGCGCTGCTGACCTGATCTGGACCGAACCAGACAGCCGCCAAACGCGCTGGAACCGACAGTATGAAGGTCTGGCTCACAGCAACTATCGTCTGACCGATAAAAGTGAGCCAGAATAGATTGGGACTCGCGCTGAAAGCTTTCACCCATGATCCTAACGTGGTCCCGATCGTTCCTGCCAGAGCAGTATACCTTAGGCCCTGAAAGTTAAATCACTTCTTAAATGCAACTTCTGAAAAAAGAAAATCCAGAGAAACTATTATTGCGAACAGTTTCTAGTTTTCCATCCCCTCGATCCTTTGGTCGTTCCGTGCTAGGTTTCGATATTGTTAGTTCTGGGTTTAGTCTCGCGGGAGAAGGCTCGATATAGATCGTGTGCTTTTCAATTAACGTCTTAGAATCCCAAGGGTTGACATTAACGTTTCGAGAAACGACGAAAGTTTCGTCCGTGCTCGTCGAGCGAGTACATCGAATTATCGAACGATTAAACTCGTCAATTACGTGAAGGGAAGAACGGCTCGAATAAAGTCCAAGAAATATCTTTGAAATCGAAGTTTATGGCTCTCGAGTGCTTCGTTCGAGAGTCGCGTAAGAGGGAGATCAAAAACGTCGAATGTGCAGTTTGTTTACCTCTCGATATGTTTTATTGCCACATTCCTCGATTTCTCTTATCGATAAGCCTTCTAACGCAACGGAACATGTACGCATGTATGGTTTCGCGGAGATATGAGTCGTCTCGATGAGTAATCTGATTAGATTAGGCCCACGATCGAGTTATAATAATTGAGTCGCGGTGTTTACGCACAAAGACTCGATTTACGATGCATTAATAACAATTCTGACGCGTCGTGAAATAAATCCCCCACGTCTGTGATTTTAAGCAATTAAATCTTTTGAATATCATTAATGAAATGGGAGCTTCGTAGAGGGTTTTTAAGTATTCCGTAGTTTTTTAAATATATAAACGTTAATAGGGTGTCGTGCAATTAATTAACGGAGAATATTTAATTGTGCGTGTGATGTTAAATTTAAAATTCGACGACTATGGCCAATAGAACGAGACCATTGTCGTTTCGATCGTTGTACTTACGAATTTGTCGAGTAGATAACTGGCTGGGAATATGAATGGAATGTAGGTTATCATAAATATCATGCTGGTCATGTCCACCGCTAAACTGGGGACGTTGTAGAACGACGACACGATGTTTGATATGATGCTGTATTGGATCCATTGCATCGCGTTGCTGGCGCTGTACAGCACGAAGATCATTAATATTAGCCATCGTCGCTTGTAGATCTTCGTTTCGACCATCTGCAATCAAACGATCGAACCGGACACGCGTTACTCGACCGAACATTTTCCAATCCAAATCGATTTCTTATTTAAACCCTCGAATCTGACTTCTCTCTCGAGCCTAACGTTCCCTCAAACTTAACTAACCGAGTACAATCTGGAAGAAAACGGAAACAGAACGGAAACACAACTTCATTGTTTCTTTTTTTTAAATTTGTATCTTCGAAGAAACTTTCGGTACTTTCTTCGTAATCGTAATCGTGACCCTTCTCTTTTCCAGAAGTTTATCAACGTTTTTTTAAGCTACTCCGTCTCGTTTTTTCACCTGAGTCGGTTGTACGCTACCACTTTCGATGGCCTTCACGTAATTCGCGGAACTTTTCATCTTTTTTATGTCCTGTCCCAGCTCCATTATTCGTTTTGGCGGACCTAACGCTGAAACGATTAGGTTAAATCAATCCCCTCGACTTCTTCTTTCTTCTTCGACTTCTCGCGTCTCCTCTTCGGTTGGCTGCCTGAGGAGAGACAAACAAGAAAAGTAGTTCTTCTTTCGAAACCAAGTCGAGCTGCTCTTAATGATCTCGCGAGGCCCCGGAGTACCAATTAGCAGCGCCCAGAATTTTTTTTCGTGGACGACGAATTCGGGTCTACAGAGTGCACAAATTCTTCGCGACTGTCCTTCCACGTTTTTGTGCAAGGTAACTCGAAAAATCAAATTCAATTCGTCAGGTTCTGAGAGAAAATGATGAAAGCAAAGAATTCGTTGGGTTACATGTGATCAGAGTGTCTGATCATGACTCACTGTTTCTACTTGCCCCTGTAAACAGTGGTCGTAGTTTAGTATTGTTTTCCCATTCGCGTCGCAATCTTTCAACTAATTCGAGTTAAAATAGATAACACTGTGCTATAATTAATGCTGCAATCATCAATGCAAGTAAGAACAAGAAGGCTAAAATAAGACGAAAATCAAGGATACTAATTTGTTGATCGAGGCACCGTTAAAAAGTTATAGAAACATTTCCAGTCACACGGTATATTTTCGGTAAAGAATTTTTTTCTCGAAAATGCATAGGATTTCAGGGGTGTGTCTATTCACCAAAAATGATTATAATTGACCCCCCTAGCTGAAAATAATTTTTTTAGAACAATTTAACATTTTTGTGTTCACTGAAAAATTTCACATTCCTCGAATTTTTTTCTCGAAAGTGCGTAGGATTTCAGAGGTACGTGTATTGACCAAATATGATTGTAATTAACCCCTCAAGCTGAAAATAATTTTTTTAGAACAATTTAACATTTTTGTGTTCACTGAGAAATTTCACATTCCTCGAATTTTTTTCTCGAAAGTGCGTAGGATTTCAGGGGTACATGTATTGACCAAAGATGATTGTAATTAACCCCCCTAGCTGAAAATAATTTTTTTAGAACAATTTAACATTTTTGTGTTCACTGAAATTTTCACATTCTTCGAATTTTTTTCTCGAAAGTGGGTACGATTTCGGGGATATGTCTATTCACAAAAAATTATTGCAATTGACCCCCGCAACCGTGTATTTTACATTTTCGATTCAATTTTGACGTTGAAGGCTCGCGAGTCACGCGTACGAGCGTCTGACTATTTCATTGCTATTTCTACTTGCGTTCGTGTTTATTAATAGTGATTGATTAGCTTTCCATTCGTGCGCCTTCGCTTGAAATAATCAGATATGAAAAAAATTTCATTCCATATTTTCGATTCATTTTTACAACAACAATCACCCTGTAATATTTTTAAAGACAAATAACTTGTGTTATTGTTTGATTATTTCTATTTCAAACACATGTTTTCCCCTTTTATAATAGTGTGCGTAGAACAAGCATAATCTTATTGATTGATTCGTACAATAATGTTATGCAACACGCGCGAAGATTTGGATAAGGATTATCTCACTTACGTTTCTGACCTCGCGTCAGGCTAATTAGCATAATTTATGATCGGTATTGAAGCCATTGCAAGCTATCTAAACTGTGAACGTACAGAATTTTACTTCGGAGTAAACTGAATTTAATAACCTTTCGATTCTCTGTGCTCTCAGTGATGGTCAGTGAATGCCAATTGCAACGATTCCTTGGCTTCTGGATCTCTATTAATCAGTCTGGTAATTAATTCATTTTTATTCCCGGTTATTCGATTCTTTCTTCGACTCTCCATCGTCGCGAACAACACAAAATCACAGACACTTTGACGATGTTTCACAAAACATTCAACGATTAAAATCACGTGAAAAAAATATGCAATGTCGTTTTATGGATTCCAATTCTAATATCGTAGAGCGTTTATTTGGATAAATTATTTTCCGACCGACACAATGAGATGGACACCGATCAATTAATAATTCGTTGCTAATCAACACGGTTGTTGACGATCGAGAAAACAGATGCATTCTTTTCAGGAATCATCGCACACATTTACACGTTCCTACAAAGGGTTAAATATTCGTGAAACGTGGATATTAATTTTTGTAATGTATTTATCTAGAAGTTGCAGAGGCTATTGATTATACTGGTTACGTTCGATCGAACGAATGTTTTGCAATTTGTATGCACGGGTGAGAAAGTGACATGTTTAAAAAGGTCGAATTGCGAAACGTGGACATAAATTATTGTGATATCAAAGAATAAAAGATGTTCAATGACATATCCAGTGATTATCCGTGGATACTGGTTTCCGTTTAGTCGAACGACCGTCGGTTGCACAATTTGTGTACGCGACGAGCGTTGACACCTTGGAAAAGGTTAAATTGTGAAACGTGGAGTTATTGGAAAACGATATTGCCGGTCGATCATCGAGCAAATATTAACAGTTTCCTCTTTTAGTGCTCCCGCGTTAAATATTCTGCAAATTTGTCCAACTAGACGCGTGATAACAGGACCGTGCATCGAAGAAAGATCGAGTCCTTGGATCGAAGGATTTTTTAAAGGTCGAGATTTCCCCGTCGTTGCTGCGAACGAATTTATAGGAAATCGATCGTAGATTCAATACGAGTTTCGTCCAGAATTCGAGGTTTTAAGGTCAAGGATTATGGGGTTGGAGAATCGTGTGTATCCGACGTGAATACAGAAACCTCGTTTCATTTCCGTTTCACCATTCCCAACGAGTGTTGTGGTTCCATAAATGTTGCAACAACTATACTCCTTTATATTTTAGACTCGATAAATCATTTTCAAACAGAGTTCCCAGTATCGAATCGTCGCAAAAATCTATTTACCCACCGCGGATATCGATTTTATTAATTTTCAATTCGCTCGGGACACGTTCGATACTTCCGTCTTATACCGTGAAATGAATTTTGCAGACGCAAGGTAGATCCACAGATTTTCTTCGAAGGAAACTAATAAATATCTTCGAGGTGGATTTTGCAAATGACAGTTATTCAAAGTGAATTTTAGAACATAGAGGGAATTGTGAGTTATATAAAATCGACGGATTACATATTTTATATTTTCATGGTGAAAGAACAAAGAAATATTTTCAAGTCTTTTAACGCTGGAATTATGAGACCAGACAGCCTTCGAAAAATCTTCCAGGCGCTGCTAATTGGTTGCCACGCGAACAAAACGAACGATAGTAACGACACATTTCTTCAGTGATTTTCGTACATGGAAATTCTCGCGAAATGTTGAAATTAAATGATTGGATTAAGATGTTAGCAAGCAACATTAATTACTCGTACGAAGAACACTGAAGGAGCTAGAAACTTATGCTCGAGGAACAAAAGTGTGCGATGGAAGCAAAAAATGTCCAGTTCTCGCGAGAACGAGTTTTCCCGGTGCAATATTTCCACTACGTTCGAAATAATTAGAGGATCGCATATTGGCGCGAGATAATCAATGTTTTGAAAGCAAATGTATGTAAAATGTTACATTCGTTATAATAGATAACAAATAATAACTAAGTTCACCAATTAATTTGCAATGTTTATTCGATCGAATCGAGATAAACGCCTTGTCGAACACGAAACTTAATAAAAGTTGTTTATCTTTCATCGTTGAAATCTTGATTCGGATAAGAGATTCGTCCATCTCTGAAAATAATCGATATCATTCCGATTGATTTATCGTCGTTAGAAATTAAAACGTAACGCTTCGACCCTTTTCTTTGGATTTCATTTCTCTTCGTACATAAAAGTTTCATAAACAAAATCAGTGTGTGCAGTTTAGTAAACGCAGAGTATCGTAGTTTGTATCTATTTCTTGTTTTCCGTATTTAATCTTAGATCTACGAGCTTAATCAACGCGAAGGAACTTTTTGTCATTCCATTGCGGTTTCCTGTATTACGCCTAGTTCAGAAGTTAACGATCCGTATTATGGTCGTAAGTGTATCACATTCTCCACGATACACCAACACTTTACTAACATCCATTCGGATACAAATTACAATACACTTATATTTAGCTAATATTCCACACTGTCTTTGTTTATATAATTCGACGTAAACAAAATCTCTGAGGGGTGTTGAAACATTACGTTTACGATAGTAACCTTCCTCGAGCACGGAATCCTTTAATTATTTCGATCGGAGATCGAGAATCGGTGCGACATCGAACGAAAAAAAAATGCTTAAAAACTTACCTCTCGAACACCCCGCGCGAATAATATCGTATCACGTCGATCGACGAAAGATCTCGTCCCTCGACCACGAATCCAGTTCCTGTTCTACCATAGAGGTTGCGATTCGTTCACGAAACCCTTAAACTCGATATCGAGACGGTGGTTGGCGCGAGACGCGATGCAAAAACGATCCAAGCGTCGTCCACGTGGTTCGCCGTAGTGATCTACGCCGGTCGAAACAGCTCCGTTTGTTATTCAGCCGCGCGGCGTGTCAAGTTCGATCCGTCGATCCACGTGCGAGTACTCGAAACCGACGACCATCGACGTCGCGTATCGATTGATCTCGAAAGACCGCCGGAAGGATCTGAAACGCTGGAAAGCTGTTGCTCGACACGGTTCCCGTGTTTCCGTGTTTCCGTATGGCGACAGCTCTCTTTCCCGTCTCGCGTGCTGGTCCTCTTTCAATCGTTTCTCTCTCTTTTTTCGGGTGGTATCGATCTGTTCCGCGGGGTTATGGATCTCCGATGGAACCGGCGACGATTCGAAACGCGGGGGAGGGAACCACAAAAAGGGACGGTACGCGCGGTTCAGCTTCGTGCCAGGTCCTCTGTCATGGTTCGTTCGAGCTGATGCGACATCCGAGACCACGGAGCGCTGGACATTAACTAGATCCGATGGATTCGGCGCGGCTCGTACCACCTACGTCCTTCGACTGATATCAGGCATGTCTCGCGCATCGTCCGACCACGGACAGCTCATTGCTTCTGCGCGAGATGCCCGATACCTCGAAACCAGCCGCGGAGATTAACAGACAGCGCGATAACACGACCACCATCAGCCTCTACCTATCGAACAATCCCTGGACCCATCCTGTTTCCTGTTTCCAACGATCCTGGTCCACAGACACTTCCGCCGCAATCTTGGCGGCCATCTTTCTTTTCCAACATTGCTCGAAACTAACCTATTCATCGTCCTTTCACGATAGTTTTCTCTCAATGCCTGTAGATCTTAATTTTGCTTTATTGAAATTTGTTATGTTGTCTCGCTCCAAGGAGATTTCCCGCGAAAAGTTGGCGGCCATCTTTCTTTTCGAACCTCGAAAGTAACCTGTTCATTGTCCATTTGATTTCATGATAGTTTTCTCTCAATGCCTGTAAATCTTAATCTTTCTTTATTGAAATTTGTTTGTTGTCTTGCTCCAAGGAGATTTCCCGCGAAAAATTGGCGGCCATCTTTCTTTTCGAACCTCGAAAGTAACCTGTTCATTGTCCACTCGATTTTACGATAGTTTCGATTTCAATGACTGTTTCTACCATTTGAAAATCTCATAGATCTTAATTCTTATTTGTCCTCGTCTTGGAAGTGTCTGAATAATATTTGTCCAGGGAAACTTCCCGCGAAAAGTTGGCGGCCATCTTGCTTTTCGAACGCACTCGTAGATATTAATTCCTCTTCATTGAAATTGTTATTTATTCCCGTCTGTGGACGTGTCTGAATAATATTTGTCCCCGCAATTTCTACCAGGAAATGGACTGATCGAGGAGTGGGTCGTTCCACTTATACCGTCGAAACGTTAATCGATTCTAACAGTTCTAATTGAAAAATGTATCTTTGTGGACGATACTCGTAACAAGCTTGGATAATTTCTGTAGAATTTCTGCTAATTATTTGGCGGTTAAGCGGTTGAAACGCGTAGCACGTGTTGGTCTCGAGCGACGTCTGACTATAGACGGAATGATTCTACTGAGATTTCGAAATGCCCTTCGCGCGTAGAAAGTCGCGCCAAAGCCGCCGTGTGCCGCGAATCGTTCAAACGGGCCGTGCAAACAACGTGATCCGTCGGTGTTCGCGGATACGTTGTTTCCTTTGTTCGAGATCGTTTGAAGGCGAACCCGGATTAAGGATATCGTCCGTTTCGCGAAATCGCTCGCGGAGGATGCGAGGCGCGAGCGTATCGGGAGCGTCTTATCGTTATAAAATGTTTATCAGGACTGTATTTTATTAGGGAAAAATGGCCGTCGAAAGGTATACGAGACGACGTCGGTTCGTGGTAGACGCGTGACAGTATTTCGAAGCAAACATCGATTTCCGACAGTATCGTCGGCTTATGGCAAATCCGATTTTATTGACTGGCAAATGCCGCGGTAAATAATTGTTGTGTCGCGAACGACGGTGACTCGTTGTCGCGAACAACGAGAGGGTAAAGTGTACAGATAGCGGTAAATAAAAAAAAAAAAAATGTTCTGCGATTCGAACGTGCGCGGAATGGTAATTAAATGGCGCGACCAGTTCGATTTTAGCGTATAAAACACGTCATTGATAAAACGTTGAACGACGATCGGTATTATCTATATTATCTACGCATGATGTATTATTACACGATATAAATTATTATGCTCACCGAGGCGCGAGCCGCCTACAACGCGTTCGGTTATGCAACGTTTGTCCGCGGGAGTATGTAAACCGTGCATAGAACGTGCTCCATAAATATTAAACGTGTGGAACGATTAATCCACCGACCGACGATCTTAACACTAGAACTGACCACAATTATCGTGCATTTATTGCTATCAAAGAAATTAAAACGGTACTTAAAGAGATGCATAATGCAATGGTAAATTATTAGAGATTAGAAATTGAGAGTTTTTCGATTAAAAGATGAGCAGACTATTGAAGAATTATTGCATTTAAATAATTGTTTTTTATCGGGTACAACGAACGATTTGTTTGCTAATTGGTGTTTGAGAAATAAAAGATCTTTTTTTACGATAAACGATTAGTTAATTAGGTTTCCAGATCTAATTTATATGGTACTTACGTAACATAATTTATTTAGACTTTTCGATTTAATTGTTTTTTTTTTTATTTACTTCGTGCTTAACTCTGTTATCCGGACAGTCGTAGCATCAGCATAAATTACGATATTTTTCCATAGTATGTGGAAACTCTTTAGCTTCGGGGATAAAACGGGTATTAAAGAAGGAATTAACCCCTAGAATTGCAGGTTTAAGAAATAAATAAATAACCCTGTTAATTTATGTCACATATTATATTTACATCTAAAGATTAGTACTCGTTTATATTTCTCACTTACCACATGCATACGTGATGTGTTTAAACTATCGTACATTGCATGTATATCAGACCCTAAACACTTTTTAAATTCTTGGAAAAGCTTCGACGAAAAGCAATAGTAATTTCTAGTAACGAATCAAACCATCGTTGACTATCGTTTTTTTCCGTTACAAATACCATTCTATCCGTTCATTATTTATTTTATGCACGAAAGTTTCCTCGGAGAATGCTCGCTCCTCCGATAAAAGTCACGAAAACAGGAAAGTTTTTACTATCTCCCGGAACCGCTATCTAATCAATCCGCACGCATAATAGAAACGAAAAGTAATTCGTACCTGAGATAGTGCTCGATGGGACGGTTGATTAGGGAACAGAAGGCTGTTCGATTCCTTGGGTACGTCACGGATTTCGTTCATGATCGATAAGCAAATTGCAAAGTCGCGTCGTTTAAAAAAAAAATCCTACTTCAGCCGCGCCAAACACAAGTTTCGATCGTCTGATAATTGTTTTCTTTTTTTTCGTTTGATCGATCCGTTCGAAACGAGTTTGTCGAAGCACGCGCGTGAAATTGGATCGTAAAATCGACCGGCGACGATCAATTCGGTCGGACGATCAAGGATTTAGCACTCGCGCGGCAAACTAGTCGCGTCTCATCCTTTGACGAGCGTTAATTGGCCGAAGTTAGAGACCATATACGTCGTGGATTCGCGTCGGCCGTAGGCGAACCGCGTCCGAACTGGAATATTAATTTTACTAGTGGAAACGTGTTTACATTCGCTAAACACGAACGCAAATACAAACACGCGCGCATCGGCTGATAGGAACTTGGGATTTACACGTTGGTTAGCCTCGCGAGAACTACGACGCCTCTATCTCGCCGATGACGAGTTTTCCATGCATCCCGGCCCTCTTATCGGACAGTGATTTCGCTGCCAATTGGAGCGTTTGTTATTTTTTTTTCGTGATGCACCGCCCTGTTACATCTACTCGATAAGAGGGAACAGTCCTCCTCCTCGAGACAATCCGTTATCTACTCCAAAGAACAAGTATACTTAGTATAGTTCTCGAGAATGTCTTTTTTAAATTTATTCTTATGTATTTTTTGCTTCGTAACGATTCTGACTTTCGTCGACAAATTAAAAAAGCACTTGTTGCCAGTATGGGAAAAAATGAAGCTCGCGTAATCGAATCACAGCTATCAAGAGGGTTTAAAAATCTTTAGAGATTCTCGGCTGTGTAATCATAATCGTTGGATCTCTGCTGGCGATAGAATATCTTTCACCGGTGTTTTAGAAGGATTATTTTTACGTATCGTAAACGCCGAATTATGGTCGACAAATATGTTAATTGACGCTGAACGATAATTCCGTCTCGCTTATCGAGGTTTCACTAAATCCCGCGTGGTAAAAATTCTACTTGGAACCAGAAAAATACCACTTTTGTATCATTTTAGGGATTCAGATGTATCTGGTTTACTTTATATTGTGTTGTCTAGTTTGCTCTGGTAGCGGAGCACATATTTACTTGCCCCAGTTAGATTTTTAAAATCTATTCGACTATCAGCGATACAGAAATTTACAAAAGAGCGCGAAGGATATCTGTACAGACTTTGGAAATGTTCGTCGAGAACAGAAGTAGGGTATTATAAAACGTAAGAAATACTTAAAGTAAGATACGAATTATTATATTTAGGTGTTGCACTAAGTCTACTAAATATATTCAAACAATTACTCCGACTTATAATAAGAAAAACTAGCGTGAATGGAATAAATATATTTCTCGGCGCGTCGATGACTCGAACAGCCCTTTTCGATTTGTTTTAACGTTGTATTTCTAAACAACGCAGTGGTAAATTTGATTCGGTGTTGTTCAGGGTGGCGAGAGTGAACGGTGACCCGGCTATCGTTTAGAGAAGTCATCAGTTCGCATTAAAACTGTCGAAAGTGGGACCCGCAGGGACGGAATAAGTGCCGGACGCGATTAAAACATGAGTGTTTATTGAAGTAACGTCCGGCGGTCAGTTCGAACGTACTTGATATGATAATGAGACTGCTCGTGCACGTACAAAACACTGTCCTTCGCTGTTATTGTTCTGATCAAACCTCCCAACTTTGGCCAACCGCGTCCACTAACCTTCGTGAGAATGTTTTCCTGCACCTAGACTGCTAACAAACTATAGACCTTCAACCTATTAACGAAGGGAGGCTTACTTTCTTTTTTTTTTTATTAACAATTCTTTGAAACACCGTTTAAGGTAATTTGCCTCTTCTAAGACAATTATGGTAATATTATTATAGTTGTTAATAGTAGCAACCCTCTGTGCGTCGTATAAGGGAAGAAAAACTGTTCCACGATCGCTAAGTTTACCGATTTCGATAGTTCCCTAGATCGCCGTTTGTTAAACAAAATCGTCGCTGGAAGACCACTGGTTTTTTTACCAGGTCGGTATTTCAGTTCGTGTGATGCAAACTTCCATACGATAGACTGTCCCACGTGTGCCTCGTGCGTGGTAGAAGCGTCGAATTTAGCCTGATCAGTGATTACCGACAGTGTTAGTCAGACGCGCCTGACGGAAGGCAACCGAGAGCACGTTGATGAATTTACGGTTGCCTTTCGCAGGGGAACAGATTAAAGTTTCGTATTATATTTACAATTATAGAAGTTCCTACTGATTATTGTAAATTCAAATACATTTTTTCACGGTTGTTAGACCCAAGATGTCGAACAGTAATAATATATTCTTTTACGGGATTAGAAATTTTTCTTATTGCTCGATCCGATGCACGGAGACAACGGTGACGCAACGTCTCAGATAAATCTTGCATAAGTTTTTTTCTCCGGCTGTACCGTTTTCTCAGGAACAGTTCCTCGTCGCTCTAATCGTCGCCACGATTTTTACTTTAATTAACGCCTCCAGGCCAGGGAAGCGCCTTCGTTTCACCTGCCGGTATCACCGTGGTCTCGCGGTCTTTCGTAACGCGTCGTTAAAATTTATTTCATCCGATCGGGTGGTCGGTTCCTTGGTTAAAAAAACAATTTATTCTACTCGTAGGTAATAAAGTCGCGATCCTTTCCTAGCGTCGCGTGACTAATGTCGATTTCTAAACTTTCTTGTCACGCGACAATCGTTATTCGCGAGGCTGTGATTTACAGACACAAAATTGGGACTGCAATGATTCGATCAGAAATATTATCATCGTTGAATAATACATTTTAACGAGCAATGTCCTTTGTCTATTTTAAAGAAAATTAGAGCTTTATTTGCGATCCAAGACGTTTAATTTGCACGCGTCTCCGGTGATATATCGTTGTTCGCGGTCGAACGATTTAAAACGCCGCGAGAACGTTCCACGGAGGCGATAAGTTTGAACAGAACCGGGAATCGGGGAAACTTTTCGCAAATCACCTCGTAAACCGTGACGGTCCAACTAAGCGACTCTTAGACGAAACGACGTCGATGTGTCGCGTATATGACGCGCAATAACGCGTTTAGCGTATGTACTCGACGCTCGTCGTCGGGAACGTGCACGCTGGAACTCTTAGCTCCGATTCAGTTCAATCTTATCGCGCGGTCCGTTCACATCTCCTGGATATACACCAGTCACCAATTTAATAACGGTACCGTGGCGCGGATTTCGAACATTTTCAGCGGGAAATGTGCGTGAAAGTGCGACATCGAAGCTCCGTTTCTCCGAACGCCAAAGATCTATCCGACTTCCGGTGCACCGTTTCCCTCAAACTTCGCGCTCGTTCGTCGCTTTTCTCCGTTCCGTTCAAACATTGTAGCTACTATAAAGGACATTGCATTTTTAATTTAAAGTCATACTCGAGGCATTGATTTTGAGAGCAATTTGACTTTCTTTAAATCAGAGATCTGAGATAGAGTTCAGTTTC